CCCCTAGTGGATGATAGGGGAAGTGCAACTTTTTTCACTTCCACGTTTGCTTCACTTTTGTCAGTTTCCCCCTTGGGTTGGTCTTAGAAAAAAAGCCAACCGTAAAAGGAATTTGTTGAAATATAAGTATCCAGATTACTTTGGTCACGCTTAAATGATTACTTTTTTTTTCATGCTGTTGATCCAAAAGTCCTAAAAGGACCATAAAAATCTCCGTGGATAGTAACCATCCTCATCGTTTAACATCCGACTATCATCTACTGGAAATGTTTTAGGATCAGAGCCAAAGTCAGGGTAAAATACAAAAGTACAGCAATGTGAAAAATGATTATGTGATTTAGGGTTTAGGATGCCCTGCAAGCATTTGTGCAGAGATTTGGTCTGAGGCTGAGCTTTAGCTCACAGAGAACGATGGCGCTCAAATTGGTTATTTCATTTGACAAATCCCAGCTAGGTCAAGAGTCGTGTTTTAGCCTGGCAGGTCTTTAAGGCCAGTAAATACAGCATCGGTCAAAACTGAGCACAAATGGGTGGAATTAAACCCCATTTGAGCAGACATTAGCTGTTATACACACTTGCAAGAAAAACACCTTTGAAGGTGGTGATGGAAAAAAAACAAGCAACCGATTTCCTCTGGAGACTCTTGAGATGTGATATCCACAAAATAAATACAGTTAATTGGCAGCGTCTGGTACGTGTCAGCTCTCTCCTTGTTGTGTTTTTCATCTCTCTGCTCCGGTTTGTTTCCATTAAGCATCGTAAACATCGACTCAATTCCTCCATCAGTTTCACAGGAAGACATTCGCTCTTATCCAGAAGTTCCCTCTCTGCTCTTTGCCAGCTGTGTGTTTTAGGCCTTCATCTTAGATTTGTCAATCTAAGGTTTTACATTTTCTGCCTGAAACTGCTACTAGGAAAAATCTTGAGTTTATAAAACAACCTGCATGCATAAATTATAGCGTGAGCCATTTATTATGCTCCTATTAGAATAAATATCAATGTACAAATTCATCTAGATTTGATTAAAACAATTATTCAACAAAACATGAAGATGATACAAGTTATAATTATTTATACAAAATAGTCGGTAATAAAATTACATTTAATGAGCGTAAAATGTGACATGAGACTATTTAGCTTAAATAAATTGAGTTTTTTAAATCTCATTTGAAGTTTTGAGGACTAATGCTGAACTTTCCACCAAACGTGTTTGTCTGCATAAAAAAACAAGTAAGTCTAAATAATGAAAATGTTTGTCTCTGCGTCTTTTTGTAATGAATTGCACTAATTTTCCCCATAACTGCAGGGATTTCTTTTATTTTTTGTTGATGGGCATTTTTGCATAAATCCGCAGATCGGTTAATCTTTTATTTACTTGCCGGGTGTTGTATATGATACAGGCGTTGCATCACACTGAGTAATCACTGAATAATAAATAACAAGGAGGCAAAGGTCTTGCCCGTCTCTGTTGATAAGAAACTCTCGAGTCTCACGTTTCCAACTGCTGCTTCTCTTAATTCCTCTGGCAGTGAGAAATTTTTCAAAACCTGCTTTAATTTGCTTTCCGCTGAGCGTTCAGGTGCTAAATATTCTCACCAATTGGATTTCTTTCCAACGACTTTCGACCTTGCAGACATGAAATAATTGAGCATGCCTGTGGTTTTTCCCAACAACCGTGGGCAGGTGCAGTCCTGTGAGGACGCTGCCAGTTGTAACCGTGCTTTTAAACTCTTCATCACTGAAGTCCTCTTTTAATGTTTAGTACCAGTAGGGCTCTCTATTTTTGTCTCCCTCTCTCTTTTCATGTGTCATTCTCTAATTTTTTCCTCTGCTTTACTCCGTCAGTTATCAGTAATTTTCATACAACTGCTTTAATGTCTCAAGATGCGTGAAGTAAACACAAAACTGGCTCACAGACTGAATAATGATTCCATTTTTGGCAGTATCCAAGGTAACATTATCGAGGCTCCTTTCAACTCATTGTGATGTAAACAAAACGGTCAGCTTTACAATAAAAGGCCATCTATTCAATTTTTATTAAGAAAATTTCATTATTATTGGAACTACTTGCATGGCTAATTCTAACTGTTATATCTTAAAGTAACGCAGAGCAGTTTCCTGCTCCTCTGCCCAGCTGGTTGAAAGTGGAATAACAGCTGTTTTAAACAATGCAACTGCACCTAGTGCTAACAATGAGCTAACACTAACGTGAGCCAACTAAACCACGAAATAAAATGATCCATGCTGTTAGACAAAAAATATTATTACTTACAATTCGAGTAGCAACAAGGCCAGGTCACCATCAGTCTGTGATTTTTTTGTATCCTAATTTAGCTCCCTCGAACTAGCTTTTTGCTTTGCCTCCAAAGACATTACTCTTAATCCTAATTTATACTTCTCCACCTGTGTCGGTGCGGAGAGACGCAACACAATTATACTTCCTTTTGATGGCTCTCCAGCAGGCTCGCAAGGACAGATGGAGTCGAGCTCTCTTTTCTAAACATCCATCTGACGAGAGGGAGAGCACAAGCTTGTGACTGGTCGAGATGCCAGTGTTCCCTCAAAAGCATAAAGAGAGCCGAAGATATCTAGCAGCAGACACGGAGCAACTTGAAGAATCCCTCGCAAAAAAAACCTCTAAAAATATTAACGTTTTATTCATCCGTGACTGGAGAAGTGAGTAAGCAGCAAGCTTTTTATTGTGGACAGAAATGATGGGAAACTTGGGATTAGAGGTATCTCAAATGCACAAAAACACGATATAAACAGAATAGTAAAGACAGGATACCACAGAACAGCGCTACGCCCTCTCTTGTCCTGGCGGGGAATTGCTTTCCAACACTCCCCAGGAGACGGAGAAGTCGGAAGTCAAAATGTCTCCATCTGTGCGGGCGTGCCTCTCCCTCTTGAGCTGATGAAGAAGTATAAATTAGGTTTTACTTTTACTTCCTTGCCCCACCCTGATGCCAACAGAAACAGTAAACTTCTTTTTCTTGTTTTTGTGCTTTTAATTGACAATCTACAAACTAAAAATGCTAACCGTTAGCTCCTTCAAACTAGTGTAGGCCGTGTCAATGTTTACTCCGGTTTTAGCGCTTTGCTTTGCCTCCAAAGACTACTACTTTTAACTCCTTGCTCCACTATGATACCAACAGAAAAAGCAAACTCCTCTTTTTTTGTACCCTTCATTGATGATCATTGAACTGAAAATGCCAACTGCTAGCTCCTCCAAACTATTGTAAGCCATGCAGATGTTCACTCTCGTTTCAGCTCTTTGCAGAAAAAGCAGACTTATTTTTTCCTCCTTTTGCTTTTTATTGACAGTCTTTAAATTGAAAATGTTAACCGCTTGCATTACAGTTAACAATCGTAAAGCAGGTAAATGGCGCCCCTAGAAAACCTACCGACTCCATTAAACAATCTAATGTGGTTTTTGGTCAGCAGAGGGCTGTAGAGTAGTTTTGGAAATGAAACTGAACAAGTTTCTAACCCACTGGCTCTAGCTTAAAGTTTAAAAGCTATCTGTTGTTACTAAAGCACATTTAGAAGAAGAAGAAGAAAATATCATTTCTATAGCGCCTCTCAAGGTAAAAATCACGAGGCGCTTCACAAAAAAAAAAAAAAAAGTTAAAGTATAAAAAAGCATTTAGAAAATGTTTAAAATATATTTAAAATGAGCAAAAATAGATAATTGGGATTTAAAAGGAAAAATGTTAAGAAAGAGAGTGAACAGGAAAGAGGGAAATCAGTGGATCCTGAGGAAGGTGGAATAGGTGGGGAGAGCAGAATAAAGAGAGAGGGGTTGAAGAAGGTCATAGAAAAGCCAGCTTGAACAAGTGAGTCTTCAGCTGCTTTTTAAAGGAGATCACTGAGTCCACTGATCTCAGGCTCAGGGGGAGAGAGTTCCAGAGTCTGGGGGCCACAGCAGCAAATGATCTGTCACCCTTTGGTCTTTAGCCTGGTGCTGCACAACCAGTAGGCTTTGATCACTGGACCTCAGGGACCTGCTGGGGGTGTAGGGACTAAGAAGATCACCAATGTAAGATGGTGCTTGTCCATGTAAGGCCCTATAGACCAGAACCAGGATCTTTACATTGTTGTTGAACATAGGCAGCTTGGTGTGTCTTATGTAGCTTACCAAAAGGTTTGTGCTGTCTCTTACCTGCTTTCCTATGGAAATTATTAATGTTGTAATGGGCATGGTAATGCTAACTGCAGAACAGTGTTAGCCTAAGCTAGTGCTAACGCTAACTTGTGCTAGTGCTTATGCTAGCCCACCCTCCAGGTGTGACTGACATCAGCCAGACACACACTACCTCATTACTTCACGAAAGTGTTAGTGTTAAATAGGATGGCCAAGCTCTAGTTGATTATTTTATACATTAATACCATAAAATGGGAGAGAAAAAACTCTGTTGTTAGTACAGGTCAATAAATAATATATTAATTAATTTCTGATTTGATTAGCATCCGTATGTTGTACAATGGATGTGTATTGGTGAAATTTTGGCGATACGGTATACAGGAGAGGCAATATATCACGATATTTTGCGATACATTCAGTCAGACATTATTGTCAATTTTCTTAGACTGATCTATTGTAGGAATATTCAACAAACAGTCCAAACTGATACTTAACATGTTTAACATGAGGTATCTGAACCATAATGTAGAGATTTACTTTTCAATAGTGGAAACAAAACCCATTGCACACTGCTGCCAACTAGCAGTCGGCATTTGAATTGCACTAAAAGAAAAGAATACACAAATGTTGCATGTAAATTCTTCCAAAAATTAGATACACGTCTTTTGAATATCGATATATCACGGGAAAACATATCACGATATATTGCCATATCAATATTTTCTTACATCCCTATTGCACATTAAGACTTGATTTATCGTTGCTTGTTTTCTAAAAGCTGTCATTCGTAAGTCTGAACATGGTGACATGCTCTGGTGCATTTGACAAACTACTTTAATCTCTTTTTCTCTTTTAGAGGAAATCAAGGAGGAATCGGAAAAATTAAGGTAAGTCAATGATAAATAATGTAAGAAATGGGACAGTGGGGGTCATTTTAATGGTTTTTTTCTCTCAGGCTCAGATTTAATATTGGTGACTTAGTTTTGGCCTCGCTGTAGATTTCTCCAGTGTTCAGGCTAGTAAAGGGGATTAAAACGTCCCGTGTGCTCTTATGCACAGCCTCCAGTGGGATTTTCTTTCTTTGTGTTCTTGCTTGACATGTTTCCAAAAGCCCCCCCCCCCCCCCCCCCCACCCCCGCACGTCGTCATTAATGGGTTTTCTACATGAAGCCAGGCCCGTTGCTGAAGTTTCCTTTCTTCTTCTTTGACTCTGTGATTTGTGAAAGGGTTTGCTAGGTAACACGAGCTTTGGAATGTGACATATTCCCCCAGTCTTTTCCTCTCCACACCACCTCCTTTTCCTTTTTTAAATTCCCTTTTTTGTTTTTTTCTTTCTCTCGCACAATCGTTCTCATTCCTGTTCTTGCTCTCTATTTGTTTCACCAGTCTCCCAGTTTCATAGTTCATGTTGTGACCTGAATGTAAAAGATGGATTTAGAGGCTACAGCCTTACCTAAGTGACTATGCTTCTCAATTTTAACAAAAAAATAAAAACTTCCTTGAAATCTCAATAAATAGTTTAGAGGTATCGGCAAAAAATGGCCTTTGTGTCGCTTCTAATCAAACAAATACTTGCCCTTTTCTGCCTAATTTAGTTTAATTGAGGAATAACCAATGCTGCCAAGTGTTGGAGTCAAATTAAACATTTACATTTGGAGATACATTAACAGGAACATTATTCTTTATAAAAAATTTAAATCACTGCTATAAAACCATTTATAGAGCCAGAAGAATAAAATGTTCAAGCTAAACCTTCAGTCAATAGAGATGCGAGCTCTTAAAATTTCTAAATATTATGATATTTCCATTTGCAAAACCTGTTATGTAGCAACTGTAGACCTTCAAACTTTTAATTCCTGTGTTAAACAACCTTAAACATGAGCTATAGCATTGGATTGGCTAGTTTTGATGGTTGATCAGGTCAGACCGATCTTAATGGAAGTTGTTTTTAGCTTCAATGTGTCCTACAAACACAGCTGCCCTGTTTATTGCTTCAACATATAACAGAAGTGAATAGTGCAGGGTTTAAACATTGTCTGTTTATTTTAGACTGGGGTGACACAATTTTTCTACCTCTCATATCTTAGGCCTCGAGTCTCATCAAACAAAACAGACGTATACATGTATAAACACTAATTAGCTCATAATCCCTCCCTCTTGAACCTGATGGAGCCGGTGTCAGGTCCACGTGCACTTCAAGTATTAAAGTCGTACCAAAAGCATGCTTAACATTCACCAATATATAAGCAAACTGCACACGTACATAACGGAAAGAGGCTCGCCTAAATGGTAGAATCCACAATATCTACCTCAACACCCAATTCCAACAATTAACCACTAAATCAAAAGGGCGTAAAACGACGCTAAATACACATATTGAGAAAAACGCACAGTAGTGACTATGTAATATCATCTTATCCACAGAAGCCATTGTTTAAATGAAAGCCCAGATTCTCCTCTTTAGCACAATATGTCATTTCTCTATGTGCAAAGCTCATGGAGCAAGCCATGAACAAAGCAGGAAAACAAAGCTCATTTCATGAAGTCTAAAGCAGAAATTCGGTCTTACCGTTGCTGATTCATGGTTATAATCCATGTTGTAGTAAAACAATATCCACTCGGTTCGGTAATCCTTTGTTCCAACATCGCACTGAGATGATTCCTGACTATTTTGGGCTGTTTTACACCTGCTAGAGAGCGTTTACAATCTCTTGACGCCACATCCCATCACTTTCTGGTTTACGGCGATTCTCTTCCTGTGATTGGTTTATGTAAGCCAGCTGAAAAAACTCAACAAGTGATTCCACTAGCTCAGAGGTTTCCACCAATGGCTGAATCACTCAACTTGTCCATTGGGATCTTGAGATACTCTCCTGCGTAACGGAGCTTCTGCCAATGCCCGTAGCTTTTATTACGCGTGACATTTTCAAATAGTTTAAAACAACTGTGTTACAGAAATGCTTTACAATGTTGGTAAATGGCCTGTATTTGTATAGCGCCTTTTATAGGGTTCTACAACCCCCCCCCAAGGCACTTGACAACACAATCAGTCATTCACCCATTCACACACACATTCACACGCTGGTGGGGGTGAGCTACGATGTAGCCACAGCTGCCCTGTGGCGCTCTGACAGAGGCGAGGCTGTCGAACACCGGCACCACCGGTCCCTCCAACCACCACCAGCAACAAAGATGGCTGAAAGGTTGGACAGCAAAATCTATTCAGTGGAAGTAGTGTTATTGCAAGTACACTGCCACTTGAAGGGTCTGTATATGAACCTCTGTAAAATTGCTGTTCTTCACTTTATCAGACAAACATCGTACAGATAATGTCAAGATGTAGGGCAATGAAGTTTGAAGCTACATCTGCCTTTTTGCAAAGAGGTATTTGTCCTGAAATCAAATTTAGTGAGGCGGCAAAGAAAAATCAACTTTTTTTTTTTTTACAATCTTCCATGTCCATTACACTTAATCAGCGACACATATACTAATATGTACATTTCTCAACTAATCCTACAAGATGTTTCTTTAAAGTGACTGTGGGTATTTTCCCTGGCGATTGAGGGGAGTACATACCTATATTGTTGCAAGCAAGCGGTGTTTTTGTGTTTGAGTAACCCCCAAATTCCACTACCTCCGCTCCGGTCCGCCCCCGCCTTCCGCAGCCGCTTGCTTCCAAACTCAATTTTTCTTGGTACCCGCTCTACAACGGCTCCGCTCCGGTGCGGAGACCTGAGGGGGGCAAACAAGCATGCGCGGGATTTTCGAGATCTTGCGATACAGTCCGAGCAATAAACGCGGAAGTTAGATCCAAACACCCGTTGTGTGGGAGAAGCATCGGCATGAACTGTTTAATCTGCCCATCATTTGTGTTGAGAGATCAGCAGTGTTTGGATCAACAAAGTGTGACTACTTTGATAGTAGAAACTGTATTTATGGCTTACTTTTGTGCATTTAAACTTCAGCCGCCGTTGATAGTTGTTAAAAGTTGTTAAACCTGTGCATATGAAACAAAAAAACGCCTTTTGTTTATCGATTTATTGTGAAAAACGGAAGTTGTGCTTGCTCCTTTTCCTGTTGGGCGGTTGTGATTCCTGTCCATTTACTGCGGAGGTGCTCCGGCGTCCGGCGAAAATAGGATCGATTCTATTTTTGCCGGACGCCGGAACAGAGGACGGCGCACGGCGCTGCACTGCCGGAGCACGGCCGCAGTAGTGGAATTGCTCTGATTGACTACAACGGGACCGATTTTGCTCCGGCGTTCGTGTCGGAGCGGAGCGGAGGTAGTGGAATTTGGGGGTAAGACCTTATCAACAGATGGCCATTAGGGTCAAAAATCCCTGGGAGCACAACCTCCAGCAAAATGATAAGCTGATGAGACTCTCTTTTATCACTGGCAACGACTGAAGAGGTAAATGTGTAAAACAACGTTTATGAATAGCAAACATTTGTTACAAATCAGTAAATGTGTTTTGTCCTCACGGGCTCCCATAAAAGGAAACATGGCATCTAATATGGCGTCGCCCAGAGACTCCCATGTGTTTTAGACCTGATATTTATGGTTACATGTTACAAAGCCACCGATCTTTTTCAACAACTGGTCATCATTTAATTAATGTTCAACGTTTTGATGGAAATCTCCAAAGATTAAGGTAAAAACTGCACACTGTCTCTTTAATTTTCTTAGCTCCACATTATCACACCAAAGACAAGCGTCTTCTGTTGGAGCTCTCCTAAAGCTTTAGTGAAATAAAGAGACGGGTATGAGCGGATAGAGTTGCTGCTTTGTGCTGATTCATAGCCACACTTAGATCCATCTAAAACATTACCTATATTTGTTTTATTTATATATATACGTGGTATTTGAGTTTTCTATCCCTCCACCATATCTTGATCTATAATTTTTCCACGTTTTATCTAAATTTTCCTCCCTTCTCTTCCTTTACGTGGCCCTTTTATGCCCCTCCATGATTGTGCCCTGCTAAACTCAGCGAGGTCGTCCCTCCTTTAAAGAGCTGAAGTCATCCTTTTTCACTGCCTGGACATAAACAATGCAACCTCCTCCTCTTCATTTGCTGTCTTGTCTCCTCTCTCTCTCTCCTTGGCACCCACCCCTGCTCTGTTTTTCCCAGCTTGAGCAGTGGGTGTGGCACCGGCGCCTGGGGAAGCTGTGGTTTCTGAAAGTGAAAGCGATGGTTCACAGTTTTCTAAATCTCAACGATTCAGGGAAATACTCCTGTATTACTCCTTGTACTACTCCTTAGCTAAGGGGAGCTATGTCGGCATGAACACTCGATGAAACATCAAATTTGGTGATTTTCTCCAGATTTCTCCCCAAGAGGAGCAGCATGTTTATTTTTCTTGCTCCAGTTCGGTGAAACGGACCATCCCTACCTCTTTACGCCTTGTTAGCAGTGCTTAGATGTCAGGAAAAGTGTCTGTTGGACTGAGAGCTCTGTGTTTTTCATCATTTCTCTTTTTTTCCTTGCATTTTTCCCCTTCAGTCCGCCCAGCGGAGATGGCAAATCCAGCTCCAGCACTTTACCACCAATCAAATCAAAAACCAACTTCATCGAAGCCGACAAGTACTTCTTGCCATTTGAGCTGGCGTGTCAGTCCAAATGTCCCCGCATCGTCATCACCTCACTCGACTGTTTACAGGTGAGTGGCAGAACAAATCCGACAGCTAAACCTGTGCGTGTTTTGGTGTGAGAGTCTTTTTTCATCCCTTTATAAACGTCTTACTGAGGAGCAAACCTGTAAAGATGGGAGCGGAACTTCCATGCACAACCCAAGAATAGTTGGTGATGTTCTGACTTTTATTGCGTTGACTCGTCTGAACGTTTGTGACCTGTAGAAGCTGATAGCGTACGGCCACCTGACGGGCAGCGCCCCGGACAGCACTGCTCCGGGCAAGAAGCTCATCGACAGGATCATCGAGACCATCTGTGCTTGTTTTCAAGGACCGCAGACCGATGAGGGTGTACAGCTACAGATTATTAAGGTGTGTGACTATTTTTCTTCTCATTTCCTGCTTTAAAAAGTGCAAACTGCAAAAAACACAATATGAAACAAACATTTCTAGAGTTTCTAAAAACGGACCCTTTGCACCTATGTCACTTGATCTCGTGGGTTTGCCATGTTGGACGTTAAAGATGCTATACCAAATTTGGAAAACAAATTAGCTTAAACATTTTTCCATGCCTATTAATGTTCTAACACAGTACAGCTGTCAATATATTGTGGAGATTTAAAAAACTGGGCAAAAAAAAGTAATAAAGTGGTTCTCTCCTCTTTGTCTAAAATCCTCCACCCTAAAGCAACCACTGGACCAGTAGCGGTTTTAGGCACGGGCAGACGGGGCAGTTGCCCGGGGCGGCATTTTTTCATGACACAAAAGGAGTGCACAAGCGCTGAGTAAAAAATAAAAAAGAAAGAAATTTGCTCCGCACCGAGGTTTTCTATTATCTGTCATATGACAGCGTCTGGATTGGTGCCCCCAGCAGCTGCAGGCGCTCCTGCTGACTGAGAGGGTTCAGGTGCTCTGCGTGTGTATGAAGAAGAGGAAGGGGAGGGGCGCGGCGGGGGAATTCCCCTCTGGGTCTTTCCCAAATGAAATGAGCGGGTAGGGGCTGAATCAACTGTATTAACATGGCTAAAGTCAATCACATCTTGATGTTCTTCCATTTAGCGCACATTTAATTCATAATATCATAAACACAGGCCTATCATTCTTTCAGGTTTTTCTGAACTGTGTGAAATGGCCGAATAAAAAAAGGAAAAACAAAACGATTTTGTGGTCACCCCCCCCATCAAGGTCGAATTGTTTAGTCCTGACTAAAGGAAACTTATTGAGTCAAGAGCCAAACAGAAGAGATGATTATAAAAAGGCTAAAACTACCAGGTGCCCGATTCAGGAAAAAAGAAAAGAAAAAAAGAGGAGAAAGATCAAGATATGTACGCTCTCATGATGCATGTTTTACATTTTTTTGAACCAGTTAACTGGGATTTTAACAGTTAAATTCGGTCAACTAATTGCTAACAGAGCTAATAGGGCTGAAATATTGAAACGAATATTCAAATGGTTCAAAAGAATTCCTTGAATCGTTTTTTACTGATTCAAACTAGGATTTGTCAAATGCTCGCTGCAGCCTGTGGCCTGCCTGAACAACAACAAACACATGTTGATCATGTTCACATAATAATAAATAAAACAACTCTATAAGCAGAAGAAAACTCCCCGGTCACCAATAACTATCCTGTTTATTTATTGCAGATGCTGCACTGATTATTTTTTACCTGATTTGTTCTGTAAAAGTTGGCATTTTTGGTAGTCTACAGTTTTTTTTATGTCAGTTTAAATTACAATTTCAGAGGCAATTCTAAAATATTATGGATCATGATAAAGATCTATTGGAGATCTACCCCAGCATTTGGACTGCTCTGCCAGTGACTGTGGCTCAAGCTGAGAGGAGCTTTTCAAAACCTGATCAAGTCATACCTGAGGTCAACTATGTTTCGGGGGCAGCTCACTAACCTGGCTCTGATTAGTATCAATCAGGCGCGCAGATAGGGTGAGGGACGGGGGGGATCTGTCCCCCCCAGATTCAGATCGACCCTGATCCGTCCCCCCCAAGTAAGGCCAGAAAGAAAACAAAATCGGAGGTTAAGCGCTTGAAGCTCCTTTTTCCAATTACATTGAATGCAGCATGACGAGAAAACAAACACTGACTCCAGAGGCGCCAAAGGAGTTGCTGCTAGGATGCAGGATGAAGCGAAAAAGGCAAGCAACGATTACTGCTTATTTCAAAAAGACCAACAGTGTAAGTAGGCAGGACCGATCTGTCTGTTTATGCATGTTGGTTATGGTTTCTATAGATTGTTGTCAGTGTTGGGACTTACTCGTTAAAAGCGCCAAAGCCTCATTGCTGTCTTTAACAAGTCTCATCTACAAATATGATCCCTCATGAAGTAACTACTTTACACCAGAAGATAGTGGAGATGTGTAATCTTCAGGCTGAGCAAAGTTTGGGAGTTTTTAGAGTTTGAAAATCGCCTCCCGCCGAGAGGCTCCCAGTCGGGGAGAGGAGGAGATGCACGCAACATGAAGAGCGCAAATATTAGATAAAACGTATAATTGCCGGCAGGTCTGGTCTTTGTTGACTGATCACTTTGTCTGGTAATGACTGACTCTGATTATGAAGCAGAATATTGACTCTGATGAAGAAATTCACTCATCCAGCCGGGAAGATTCAAAGGAGGCCTCGCCCGGGGAGTAATTCCATGTAGAACCGCCACTGCACTGGACCATCCATTTGTCAGTCTTGAGAACCGCTGCACGTCTGCACTTTCCTAGCCCCTCCATTCATATCGCACTTTTGTGTATTTAGCAACAGAACACCACTGGTGTGAGAGGTTCTCGGCTCAGTAGTATAAGAGAAGGAGAAACAGCCGGCTGCTACCACTTCAACTTTAGGACAAACTACCAAAGACTCAAAAAGAAAAACACCATTTGACGTCACGGACAGCAAAAGACGTTTGGACCTAAAAAATGGCGACTGGTGTTTAGCGCTATCTTGTTTCCTCCGGTAATGTGGGTTCCACTTCGGCAGAAGTGTCTCAAGGAAGAAACACGGGGGGGGGGGGATAAACAATCGATGATGAACAAGAGTCACTGAGTTTCACATGCTGGCTGAATGTGAAAATGGTCTTTTACCAGCATTGTCTGCATTAGCTGCCTGCCGATAGAAAATAGACAAGGAAAATGCTCGGATTAGAAGCGCCACACAATTTGACACCATTATGTCAAATTAGCATCCATGGACTCGCCCATCTTGGCTTAAGACGAAGAAGGCTCTGTGAGAGCCGAGAACTAGTAAAAGCTAACTGCTAGCATTAGCAACCCTACAAAATGGTCGAACTCCATCAGGCTTGTGGTGTTTGTGGAGAGAAAACGTCAACGTTGCAAAGCAAAAGGAGTCAGTGGTAGAGTGGCGTTCCTGCTAGCCATTCAGAGGCGAGATGTCAGAATGTCAGGAAATAAGACTCCAAATCGTTGTGTTCAGCTCAACTCTGATTTGGCTCACTTCTGGTTCCTTAAACATGAGCGCCAGAGCTTTTTTTCCCCCCACATAGACTTACAAGGCATTAATTTATACTAGAGACCACTTCAAATGTGGTGGGAAAAAACTGAACTTGGTCCTTAAGCCCAGTTCAGTTTTTGGACGAAGTAGCGCACCTAGTTAGGACCCGTTGAGCGTGGTATTTAGCTAGCTTAAAACCGACCCTGCTGCTGTGTACACCGATTTAATTAAGTAGCCACCTTTGCTAGAATTCACCCCACCAATGACTTACCATTGTGTGATAAACAGTGCATCACTTTACTCTGCAGCTGATTCAAAAGAGTCCTGATTCTGACCAGTTGTTTGTCTCTGGCTGGGACCAGATGCTGCTGTCAGCAGAGGGACAATATGTCTCATAACAGTGAAGCTCATCATGCAAAATAATAATGTCTTTTTCACACGCGGTCCTACATTGGAACGTTATTATTAGTATCCAGGAATTCAATGTCCAAAAATCCACTAACGCTTTGAGGGCTGCTAGTTTTTTAGATTGATAGCTGCTGTCCTTTGCTGCTCTCGTCTCTTTGTGCAAAGTAAAAGCGCTTCAAAAGGCTACAAACTAGCTTGATTTTGGATTCGCTTTATGGGAGTTTTATTGCATGCAAATAGTTCCTTTGATATCGTAATGGTGTGTATCCTATGAGCAGTGTGGCGTTTTGTGTAAAGGGTCACAAGGGAGGGCATGTTTAAATGAGGTCAATCTTCTCCCACTCCTCACCCCTCTCCGTCTCACCCCTCCAGGCCCTGTTGACGGCCGTGACCTCCCAGCACATAGAAATCCACGAAGGTACGGTGCTGCAGGCTGTCCGCACCTGCTACAACATCTACCTGGCCAGCAAGAACCTCATCAACCAGACGACGGCGAAGGCCACGCTCACACAGATGCTCAACGTCATTTTCGCGCGCATGGAGAATCAAGCAGTACGTCTGTCCTTCTCAAAACAATTCAGCGAAGAGACAGAAAAGACGGCTTCTCTTTGGAGGCTGCTTTTCTAGAAGCTACTTTTAGCTACTTTGCTTTAATTGTTTTCTGAACTTTATTCTCATTTAACCAAAAGCCTTCTTTGTGTTCAGAGGGGCATTTAAGGTGTTGCCTTCAAAGAAAGCTTGCTCTAATGTCATCTTTTTCTTTTTGAATGACACTTTCCTCCCCCTCCTCACCTGCCTCCCCTCCCCCTTCCTCTCCCCCCTCCCTTTTTGGACACATAGCTTACAAATCACAAGCTATCTTGGTCTCTGGCCTCCAGAAAGCGTGACCGCCAGGTAAAGCATGCAGGACTTGCAGTGACATTGCCTGATCGGAACTTTTCAGCTCCTATCCTGTGTGTGTTTGTGTCTGAGCTTTTCCCCTCATCCATCCATCCATCCATCCATCCATCCATCCATGCACTCATCTGTTCTCCTCATTTTGCTCCCACGCTGCACTCAGATTCAGTCTTCCACAGTATGCCTTGGCTTCCCCTCTCGTCTCGCTTTTCCACAACATCTTAGTTTTATAAGTGCACCTAGTTGTGCTAAATCTTTGGTATTGATGAGTGATGAAACGCTGAAACAAAGAGACGTGGTAGCCTTTGAGTCCTATTATTGTGCTGCATTGCTGCACAGAGATATCCACTTTCTTACTTTGTGTGTGTGTCCCATTGGCTGCAGCTCAGCATGATCTGATCACACCTACACACACAAACACACACACCCATCACTGTCCAACTGAGGTGGCATTTAAATAATGAGCTTAGTTTGTTTGTGCTGGCTCGACTTTCCCCTCCGGAACATTTGTCTGGTCCTGCCGTTGCACGTTATTAGTCGTTTATGTCAAAGTTTTGCTTCACTGAATTTATTTGGCTCTATTTACTTGTGACAAAGGCAGCAAGCTCGTTTAATTTAAATCAAACGGCTTCATTAGAAACTTAGTTTTCGAAGAATAACGAGTCCGATTAAACCAAAATGCAGTAAACGCCATAAAACTGATAAATTTGTGTCGCATTTAGAGCAGGAAATGCTTCAATAAAAATTCATATAAGGCTATTTTGGTGTGCAATATTAGTATTGTAGAGAATTTTATTAAACCAGACTTAAAATATACTCAAAATATTTGAATTCCACAAGCAAATGGACCCAGATTTCCCTAAATATCAACAGCAACTACACGGCGAGTGCCAGGAATATCGGATTACTGAGGCAGATGAATAAAATTGTGATTGCCTGTTTTCCTAATATCATGCAGCTCAACATAATTGCTGTGCTTTGTGACTAAGTTTCAACATGAACATTTGCACGCCAAACAATTTGTGTGCATTTGCATTCCATACAGCTTGGGACCTGGCCATGTGGAAAAGATCTTGTAAAGGTGTCACATGTAAAGGATTTCTACTGCAAAGTACCATTTAGTTTTTTTCATTCATTTTTTGTGTTTTGAACTGGTTACCAACAGTGAGGGACTGACTGTAGGACATGCACACACGTAGCTGGGGTTTTTGGAAAACCTAATATCAAATCTTACCGATCTAGGAGAAAAGCTTGTTTTCAGCAAAAATCCAGTGTTGTGATGCACATTCAAACGTATAGGTGGCAGTAGTTCCCCAAGTTATTGGTGTCTCATGCTAAGAAACATTCACTGGTGATGTCAGAGCATTTTTATTGCAGGCAGTGGTGTTGCAAAACCTAAAACCCCGGCTATTTACGTCCACAAGCAAATGCCGACAACGGAGAATTCGTAAATCTCCACTTTGGTCGTCCATCCATCCATCCATCCATCCATTTTCATCCGGTTATCCGAATTCGGGTCACGGGGGCAGTAGCCTAAGGCGAGACGCCTAGACTTCCCTCTCCCCAGCCACTTGGGCCAGCTCCTCCAGGGGAATCCCAAGGCGTTCCCTGGCCAGGTGAGAGACATAGTCCCTCCACCGTGTCCTGGGTCTACCTTTAGGCCTCCTCCCGGTTGGACGTGCCCGGAAAACCTCACCAGGGAGGCGTCCAGGAGGCATCCTGACGAGATGCCCGAGCCACCTCAACTGGCTCCTCTTGATGTGGAGGAGCAGCAGGTCTACTCCGAGCCCCTCCCGAATGACTGAGTTTCTCACCCTATCTCTACGGGAGAGCCCAGCCACTCTTCGGAGAAAACTCATTTTGGCCGCTTGTATCCGCGACCTCGTTCTTTCGGTCACTACCCAAAGCTCATGACCATAGGTGAGGGTAGGAACGTAGATCGACCGGTAAATCGAGAGCTTTGCCTTCTGACTCAGCTCTCTTCACCTGGACTTCACTGCAGATGCAGCACCAATCCGCCTATCGATCTCACGCTCCAGTTTTCCCTCACTCGTGAACAAGTCCCCGAGATACTTAAACTCCTCCACTTGGGGCAGGACCTCATCCCTGACCCGGAGAAGGCATTCTACCCTTTTCCGAATCAAGACCATGGTCTGAGATTTTGAGGAGCTGATTCTCATCCCAGCTGCTTCACACTTGGCTGCGAACCACTCCAGCAAAAGCTGAAGATCACGTTCTGATGAAGCCAACAGGACCACGTCATCTGCAAAAAGAAGAGACTTGCTTCTCAGGCCACCAAAACGGATGCCCTCCACACCTTGGCTGTGCCTAGAAATCCTGTCCATAAAGTTTATTAACAGAATCGGTGACAAAGGGCAGCCTTGGTGGAGTCCAACTCTCACTGGGAACGAGCCCGACTTACTGCCGGCAATGCGGACCAAGCTCTGACACCGGTCATACAGGGACCTAACAGCCTGGGCCCTGTGGGCCCCCCGAGGAACGCGGTCAAACGCCTTCTCCAAATCCATGAAACACATGTAGACTGGTTGGGCAAATTCCCACGCACCCTCCAGGATCCCCCTAAGGGTATAGAGCTGGTCCAGTGTTCCACGGCCAGGACAAAAACCCCATTGCTCCTCCTGAATCCGAGGTTCATCAATCCAATGGACCCTCCTCTCCAGAACCCCTGAATAGACCTTACCAGAAAGGCTCAGGAGTGTGATCCCCCTGTAGTTGGAACACACCCTGCGGTCCCCCTTTTTAAATACGGGGACCACCACCCCGGTCTGCCAGTCCAGTGGGACTGCCCCCGATGTCCACGCAATATTGCAGAGCCACGTCAGCCAACACAGCTCCACAACATCCAGAGCCTTAAGGAACTCCGGGCGGATCTCATCCATCCCCAGAGCCTTGCCACAGAGGAGCTGGTGGACGGTGGACCAGAATCTCCTCGAATCCGTACGGAAGTCTTGCTCCGTGGTCTCACCGAACTCCTCCCATGCCCGGGTTTTTGCCCTGGCGACCACCTGAGCCGCGTTCCGCTTGGACTGCCGGTACCCGTCAGCTGCCTCTGGAGTCCCACAGGCCAAAAATACCTTATAGGACTCTTTCTTCAGCTTGACAGCATCCCTAACCGCCGGTGTCCACCAGCGGGTTCGGGGGTTGCCACCACAACAGGCACTGACGATCCTGCGTCCACAGCTCCGGTCAGCCGCCTCAACAATGGAGGAATGGAACTGGGTCCATTTAGATTCAATACCCCCCACCCCCACCCCCCCGGAACATTTTGGAAGTTCTGTCGGATGTGGGAATTGAAGCTCCTTCTGACAGGAGACTGCCAGACGTTCCCGGCAGACTCTCGCGATACATTTGGGCCTGTCTGGTCTGACCGGCTTTGGTTGTAGTTTTTAAAAAATTGTTCCTGACACCGGGTATCTTTTTTTATTCAGATCACAGGCTAAACTGTAGAAAATGATCTTTGTTTTGTGAGACACCTGGTGGCTACGTGTGGACCTGGCCTTAGTTGTGAAAGAGATTTGGGTATTCTGAGTGTTGGAATCGGTTAGCCTGATCTGTGATTGCTAATCTAAAACTGAAAGCAGTTTGGTCCCTGAATGCATCGTCTTTGTGATGGCAGTACAAGCTCTTCCCTGCAACGATTTTACTACATGAATCATAATTTCACTCTTGATCGGTTTTTCTATGCAAGTCGGAGCTGTTGAAGTGTGAGAAATTGGCATCGGCTCTCAAAATCAGAATCGGTACATTTATTAACTGAATTGCAAATAAAATGAGGTTAAATTACAAACAAAATCAGGACTTGTTGTGACTAAATGACACCAAAACTGTAAAAGTGCGTGAAAGTTTTAATATTTTCATCCGTACCTCTCGTCATCTGTCTGCTTTCTTTTTAATCTGTTATTTTCTACAAATGCTCCAAAGCTGCTGTTGTGGGCTGGCTGAGAAAACTTGCACTGCTTGTATTTTTTTTCTAGCTCGTGTTTCTGTGACGGTTCAGATAATTGATCATCTCTGCTCTTAAAATTCAAATCAGAACCTAAATGTGAGCGTGCTCGGTGTGCAGCTTGAGAGGTGAAATCTCACAAAATTCAGCCGCATTTAATGCACGCTCTTGCAATGTCTTGTGACCCACTTTCAGCTCGAGAGCCAGCGAGCTGAAGCACGGCCACTCTTTGTCGCTCCCTCTATCAGAACTGCCATGACACATCAGTCAGGACGCGTCCGTAGGAACCATTGTCCACCATGGCGCCAGCATGAACTTGATCTCGCTGTGTTTCATTGCTCATTGAGTGGATTAACGTGTTGATTTGATGCATATTCACCCACCATACTGCAGAAACTTCACAGGTGTATTTTATGGTATCTTTATAAAATGTTTTTGCTGTGATCTTGATTTGGGCGCCGTTTGCTCACAGGAGAATTGAGTTGATCAGACTGACAAATTAATGCTTTTCCATTTTGTCTGCTTCCTGTTTTTGTTATTTTGCTTCCCCCCCCCCCCCCCCCCCCCCCCCCCAGCTGCAGGAAGCCAAACAGATGGAGAGAGATCGGCACCGGCAGCACTCCCCAGTCACCCAGCCCGCTGAGCCAGAATCCCCCCAGCTCCAGACCCACGTCCACTCATCTGCAAAGGCTCCCACGCAGGAGGCCAACGGGCCCGTCAGCCCTCCCACCCCCGGCACCACCTGCCCGTCCACCCCATCCACCCCGTCGACGCCCGCCCCTGAGTCCAACAGCAGGTCTGTGTCCGGGGAGCAGGAGGGGCTCGTCTACGAGAACCCGGACCCTGAAAATGGGTCGGAGTTCTGCGTGGCTGAAAATGAGCAAACGGAGGCGGACCAAGCCACCGCAGCAGCACAGAGTGAGACTTTTTACTTTCCTTCACCACAAGTTTGGGCGCAATAAAAATGTTGATAAAAACACTTGAAGTTGCAGGTTTAGAATCAAATGTTTGTGTTTTTAGTTTAAATTATGAGTCGGCGACCCTCCTCAGAGCTGAAGTTTTATTTGGATTTGGCTCATTTCTTATCGGATTTTCATTTAATAGGTGGATTTTTTTTTCTGTTCAGACTTTGAAGATTAAAGCTTCCAGCAAGCAGAACCGACCACGTTTCGGTCACAGCTGAATGTGTTGTTGTTCTAGATGCTGCATCCAAACAGCACGAAGGAGCGCGTAAAGAGGAAGAGGAGGAGGAGGAGGAAAGCCCGAACTACGAGGAGAAAGCCCAGGAAATAGTCCAGAGTATCCTGCAGGAGGTGGTCAACACTGTTGCAGGAGGTAAAGCTTCTTCTGTGGGCTTTAGCGGCATGTTTTTAAAAAAGGGAAGCGGCTAACCAGGCTGAGAGAGAGAACACCGCCGCGGTAGGCTGCGTTTCAGTTTGCTCACATCTCTGCAGAGAAGCAGCTTCAATTCCCGCATTCTCATTAAATCTTATTTCTGAGTAAAAAAAAAACCTAACACATGCATCTCCTCTCATTAACATAAGTGTTGACGTTCATACTTCTGATCACCATTCTGTAAATCAAGGTGTGATTTTTAGGTTTAATGTCCTTTCATTTCCCTCAGATGCTGACATAAATAAGGGGAATCACCTTTTTTTTGCTGAAGTTTCTAAAAGCCATTATTTCTTTGCTCTGGCAGCAAAAAAATGGATAAATGTGCTTGTCCACATGAAAGACACGCTGCTTTCCCTTCTTTTAATCCTGCACAGGTTTTCAGGATTTGGAGGAAAACTGAGCAGAAATCTACTCCAGTGTGTTTTTTAGGGATTCTTTAGATTTGCTGCAAACATCTTCTGTCTTTTTTCTTAGTTAGAAAGCCGAATTAGCTCCAGTTGGTCATTAGAAATCACATGATTTATGTATGTTGTCCTCACAGGCCACTGTCTGGATCCTGCAAACCTCTGCTCCGACACCCAGGAGTCCGCCGCGGATTCGCAGCCCGCCATGGCGGGGACCGAGGGAACCCAAAGCTCGCTGGAGGACGAGGGCACCGTGGGGAGTGACAGCGAGCACGTCCATGCCAACGGCATTCCTGGAACTCCGATTTCTGCCAGCTTCACGCCCTCGTTACCCGATGACAGACTCTCCGTCTCCTCCACAGACACTCAGGTCCGAGGAAGCGGGACCATTTCAGAACACCTAATCTCTTGTTATAAATTATGATTTTTGTTTTCATTTACTGCAAATATATGAAATAATGAATTCATATTATATCATATTAGTCATAAAAGATTAATGAGCCTTTAATGTCACATATAAAAAGTCTAAAAAAGACTAACTGAAAACATTTAAGGATTATTTCAAGCTTTATTCATTTATTTTGGAGCTCATTCGTGATGCTATGACTACATGCATCTTAATAACTGAAGAGGTTTCTTTGAAATTAAGGTTATTTTTGTCATTTTAGATGCAAATGTCCTTTTCATCCAAGTCAAACTGATTTCTGCAGGGAGTCATGATTGCAAATATTTCCGGATCACCTGGATTTCCACATTGTAGTGCAGCAGAGGAAAGTGAGTTTAGATGTCTGTTTGTTATTGGCTCCCCTCAGGAATCGGGGGCGACACCAGGACAGCTACCGGGCGCCAAGTTCTCCCACATCCTGCAGAAAGACGCTTTCCTCGTCTTTCGCTCGCTCTGCAAGCTGTCCATGAAGCCGCTTTCAGAAGGACCGCCTGATCCCAAGTAAGACTTTAAAAGATTTATGTCTAAAAGGGACAAATGGCCATCATATAAATGTTTAAAGGAGTCATCATTTAAATGAATCTGCTCATGAATACATTGGGAGTTGTTATTTGTGGAAGATGAGCTCTGGCACTCCTGTTTCAGGAAGTAGAAGTTGGTCCAAAAAAGGCAATGTTGGAAAATGGCAGGACTTGGATTTTTACTCATTAACATTAATGATATGCGAGCACATTGCCTCTGATTGGCTAATGGCAACCAGACTCTTCCGCTGCCTCCATTCACTCTTCTTTTTGGGGTAAAATATGCAACGTTGATGTTTGATCTCCACATGTGACACAAGCCTGGAGTAGGTCTGCAGTGTTGTGGAGTTGCTAATGCTAACAGTTAGCTTTTTCTAACCGAAACACGCTTTGATCTCACCTGGACGCTAAATGAACGCAGCCTTTCCCCGTCATAGACCAAGATGGGTGAGTCCGTGAACCAGAGCGTTTGTCCCGTCTGTTTTCTATCTGCGTCGAATTCAGGAAACGACCTCCTCAAATTCACGCCTACTACTACGGGGAGCCTCCGATTGGCGGATAGAATCAGGCAGTGGGGGCTTCCCGCAATGCGCGATTCATTATCTTTCTCGAAATTGTGGGGTAAACATCTCCTATGACTGAAACCGTCCCTGTCTGAGGAACACGCACACGCACACACACGCACGCACACACTTGCACACGCACACATACACACAGGCTTGAGCTGCCACGCTGGAGGACAGACACAGCAGTCTGGGTGCAATATCAGAGTCAGAGTCTCCAATAGCAACACCGCTCACAGCCGCCTTTGTTTAATTTAAGAGAGACTCCACAGACTCCTCCACACGTCTTTTGCCCCGCCCATATGAACGGACATACATGTTCTTGAGAAGTGTGTATGAAAAAACCCTACCGGTGCGAGACCTGGGCTCGACCCCATCCGAACCAGTCAGGGTCGACGTGGAAGCAGCAACATAGAAATGGGAGGGCGTTAAAATTTGGATTACCGTACTGTCGAAAACTTCTTAAAGGAGACATGTTGTATAAAACTCACCTTTTGCAGCCCTTTGTGCTGCCATTTGAGTCTCCATCGCCCCTATAAACACTTTGAATGTGAAAAAAGTTCCAGTTAATTCATTTTCTGTTTGGTTTTAGGAATTTTGTTTGTAAAGCAAGCCATTTTGAAAAGTGCCCATTTGTGATGTCACAATAAGGTAAATTATCAAACCTCCTCTCACCTGCAGGAGTAGAGCTGCTGCTGGAGAAGCAGCAGCTCTACCCCAAGCCCCTTCCAAATATTGGAGCTTCTCATCTTATAGCACTCTGAGTGGGTAATGGGTGGGCATGGCCAGCTCCAGCATGTTTTCTTAGAGTGGCAGAGCCCTGAAGCGGCTTATTTAGGAAGGTACTGAAAATGTCAAGAACAACACTTGAAATTGCTTTAGGTGAGAGGGATTTGTGACAAGATCCTTATAAACATGTTTTGTATCAACCATAAAACTATTAACGATAACTTAAGAAAAAAGTTATGTGCCCTTTAATTTGTATAGAAATGAAATGGTTGCAGAAAAGCTCCAATTCATCACGATTCATATGGTAGAGCTATGAATTATTCAACAGCTTTCAGACTAATTATAAATATGGTCTAATTTTTTTTGCTGTAGTTTAATTCTAATTTACAATTCTCAGTAGAGGAAGTTATTTTTTGCTACATATAGGCAGGTCATTACTTTCTTTTTCTTTAGTGGGTCCGTTTTTGACAATTAGAAGATTTTAGAAATGTTTTTCAACCGTCACTCGCGGTTCAAAGTGAGGATCCTCTGCAGCAGTGATGTTTTGGTAATTGTTAATGGAGACAGTGAGGCATCACTCGGCACTTCCTGAATCACTTCCTTGTTTTTGTGAGACACAGAAACCGTTTTAAATCTTCCCCTATAAAAAAAGAAAAAACGGCATAAGTGGAGTGAGGGATTCCACCTTTATTTAATGTTTCCTCTCCTTCAAGCAGGAGGAATCTGTTCTGATGAGTACACCTTTTTAAAAAAAAACAACAAATCTGGATTTCTTGTGACTGGTTTCTGTGAAAAACCCAATTTACAGAGTCTGCTTGAGATGTTTTCTCCCTTCCAAACCAGAGAAATGCAGTCCGAGTCTGTGTTGAATGGCTTTGAGCATTACTATGTTGGAAAGTCCTGAGAGACGTGTGTGTGTGTGTGTGTGTGTGTGTGTGTGTGTGTGTGTGTGTGTGTGTGTGTGTGTGCGTGTGCGTGTGCGCGTGCGTGCGTGCGTGCGCGCGCGCGTGTGTTTTGTTTATTCCTGAAGGCCACGCCAGTTACCTCCGATCTGACGTGTGTGTCAGACAGAAACCTTTTACTCGGCTAACAAGGCTATTCCGCCTGATATTTCACTCTGACAACACATCACACACATTAAACAGCTGCAGAATTACCAAGTTATCTAGAATGAATTCATGAGAATGACCAGAAGCTCATGCATCTGATTATTTTTACCAAAGTCTGAGGGGGGAAAAAAACATTTTTTACCAAGAAATCCTCCTTTTTTTGTCCTTGCAGAAAAAGTGAAAGTACATTGTTTTCATGCTACTTAAATCCCACTTTGCAAAAGCAGGAACGCACAGCGTAACTCGGTATATAAAATAGCTGAACGAATGATCTTTTTGATATTTTTGCTGCCTCCTGTCTCACTGCAACAGACAAACAGTCCAGAAAAGCTGCATCTGTGCAGCAGAGGCACTTTGATTAAGTTTCCTGAACACTGCTGCAGGTTTTTAACTCTGCGGCTGCAGAGATGGAGCTTCATGCAGACTTGCACTCTGCATCTCGCTTTGTTGGTGGATATAAATCTCTTCAAAGGACAGGTTTGTCTTGTATGTTTTAGTCACATTTGGGTTTTTTTATGCAGCTAAATGTTATCAAGTGACTGAAATGATTAAGTCTGTCAAAGCAGACAATGATGTTAGAATTTTAGCAGCTGGATGAAATCATATGCTTTATTTGCACAGGTAAATTCAGATGTCTCACCAAAGACTTATAATTACTAACACGCTATATGACACATAATAGATAAAAGCCTGTATTATAGATACGTCAACAATGGCACCAGGTTACGATACTCCTCAGTGTGTCATTGGAAGTTTGCAGGTAGTAGAAAGAAATAGAGATTCACCGATTGTGGTTGTGATGGCCGATACCGATGTCAAGGTTTTGCACAGCTCTGACCGGCTGATTCCAATTTCTCTCAAACAACGATGCTTGGTCAAATAAAAATAAAAAAATGTTAAAAGTTCTGAATCACACTACTCGGAGAAACAAAAACGTTCAAATGCTAGTTTCGATTATCGGATTTTCTGGATAATTTTACTGGATATTTACGATATGTGCTTGTGTCCGTTTTACCAGGCTGGACTCAAAAAGACTTTCCAGGCCATTTCAGGGACCAACAGAGTACCTGAACTAGAGAACGTACTCGTAAACGGCCCGATTGAGTTGCTGGGCGGGACTTGTGATTAACTTAAGCTGATTGGTTGTAACTCGATGTGAAATGACATCAGCAGATGTCACCAGACAACCAGCATTTGTGAAATTTCAACATTAGAGAAAAGTCTGTTTTTAAACACCTGAAGCCAAAATAAAGTGCTTCTTCTGGTCGTAGGACGCTGCTTTTTATATCACAGCTGCTCCCCTCACCTCCTAAGTTGATAAAAATATGGCGTAGTTTGAAACAAGTAAACTTTTTTTGTGTTATTAATGTCCTTGGACGCTTTCTGGCGCTGATCAAAGCAATCGCAATATGCTGAGGTCTTAAAGTGACAGTGTGTATCTTCCCTGGCGATAGGGAGCAGTAGATACCTAAATCATTGCAAGCAAAAGTATTATTTTTTTGTTGGAGTAAGACCTTACCAACGGATGCCCATTAGAGTCAAAAAGCCCTGGGGATTGCAAACTTCGGCAAAATGGCAAACACATCACACTTCCTTTCATCATTAGCGACGAGCGAGGAGTTAAACGTGTAAAGCAACATTTATGAATGGTGAAAGTTTTGTAACCCTTTGTTACAAATCAGTAAATGCATTTTGTCCTCATGGGCTCCCGTAGAAGGAAACATGGCTTCTGATATGGCGTTGCCTAGAGACTTAGACCCACTCCCATTTATTTTAGACCTGATTTTTTTTGTTATATGTTACAAAGCTGCCAATATTTTTCAACAACTGGGCATCCTTTCATTCATTTTTAACAACCTTTTCACGAATATTTCCAGAGATTAATGATAAAAACTACACATTGTCTCTTTAAAATCCTGAAAGTGCAGATTTTGTATGGAGATATAATGGCTGAGAGGACCAAGTCATCGTATATTCCCTATCTCTTACCCCCCTCTTGGAAATTTACCTGAGCTACTATAGTGGAAAGGCGGCCCAGGTGGAAGGTCCATTACTGCTAGCAGGAATTCGTATTATTGCTCTTTGACAAAGATGCGTTCACACATCTGCATATCTGCCAATCATAGTGAATCAATAATCAACATAAGCATCCAAAGTGCTGATTAGTCATTTTAGATTTAAATGAGATTTTTAGAGGTCATCTGAAGACTCCTACTTGGTATTTCGTGGCTCACCGTGGGGTCCTGATGCTGATTTAGCTTTTTAACAGTCCTTTCCTCGTTTTTGTGTGTGTTTCAGGTCTCATGAACTGCGATCGAAGGTTTTGTCACTTCAGCTTCTACTATCCATCCTGCAGAACGCCGGGCCTATCTTCAAAACAAACGAGATGTTCATCAACGCCATCAAACAGTACCTGTGCGTGGCTCTGTCCAAGAACGGCGTCTCTTCTGTGCCTGAGGTCTTTGAGCTCTCACTCTCCATTTTTCTCACTCTGCTGTCTCACTTCAAGACGCACCTCAAGATGCAAATCGAGGTGAGAAATATTTTAGTTTTTTTTTTCTTTTTTTTCAGCTGAAATACACACTTGATGTAACGTAAATATTCTGTGCAGGTGTTCTTCAAAGAGATTTTCTTGTATATTCTTGAGACGTCCACCAGCTCTTACGACCACAAGTGGATGGTCATACAGACCCTCACCAGAATATGTGCAGGTTTGTAGTGATTATTGTCATTTGTGTCCGAGTTTATAATATCATGCATAAACTGGTTTATTTGTCTCATTCAGATGCCCAAAGTGTGGTGGACATCTACGTGAACTACGATTGTGACTTGAATGCTGCTAACATTTTTGAACGATTAGTCAACGACCTCTCAAAAATCGCTCAGGGCCGCGGCGGCCACGAGCTCGGCACGACGCCCCAACAGGTGATTGTGATGTTTTTCACTGTTGGATGTTTCCTACAGTCATTTAATCATCTCCCATCCTCATCTAGGAGCTGACTCTGAGAAAGAAAGGCCTTGAATGTCTCGTTTCCATTCTGAAATGTATGGTGGAATGGAGCAAAGACCAGTACGTCAACCCAAACTCCCAGACCAGCCTTGGTGAGTAGACTGGTTTGACAAGCAGTCAACACAATTATGAGAATAAAGAGGCCATGACGGCTTAATGCTGAGTTCATTCTCTGATGCTTGGAGGATGTTGTTGGAGAATCAGAGGCCTGTTGCTGCTGCAGCTATGGCAACCAATAGGGGATTAAGTGTTTTAAAGAGAGGAAGGACGGACAGACGGACGGACGGACGGACGGACGGATGGGTGAAGAATGTTTGGAGAAAGTGCAGCTGATCCTCATCTCTGTACAGATTATACCAATGCACTAAGTATGTGGCCGCCAAGGGTGAAAATTGCTGGCCACCCCACTGACATCCCAAGGGAGTTTCCCCCTATTAAATAAGTCTTATTCATGTTCACACACATCGAAGCAGAAATTTGGAGTCTTTCTGCACAGAGGACACCATCTAGTGGCAGAGAAAACGTATTAAACATTAAGCCTCTCTCTTTACCTCCATTTACAGTGGGAAGCAATGCCTTTCGTTCAAGTTCACACACTTCCATCAGGGCAACAGAGCTAAAAAAAACAGGTTTCAATTTTCCAGCACCTGCAATGCAGCTCTAAACCGGACTCCAAATCAGTTTCAGTCAAGTTCACACCATTCTGAGTTTAATTAAAACAACCATTCTAACACAGAAAGTCTTAAGGACATCGATGAGTCCTCGGATGATGGGAAGAAGGGGTATTCATTGGTAGTTTCAGCTCATTAAGAAAAAGAGAGCTACAGTTGCGACTTTCCCATATTCTAGTCAGAATTGACTAAGCTCCTTAGATGAAAAGTGAAACAACTCAAACCCATAATTAATATATACCATTATTAATCTCACGTTATGTCATTTATTTTTAGGGCTGCACGATATTAGGAAAACCTGCGATATTGGATAACAATTATTAATATTGTGGTGACGATATTACTTACGATAATTAAAAATTTAACTCTGGAACAAAAATAATGAAAAACAAAAAAAAAATTCATAAAAATGAGAAAAACAAAAGATGTGAGGAAAGGGAAAAAGAAAATGAACCAGAAAAGGTAATCCGTGGATCCCGGGAAAGGTGGAATCAGTAAAGAGAACAGAGCAAAGCTAACTCAGGTGTTTGCTAACCATCTAAATGAAGCGTCGTCCGCCTCGGGGGCAGGCATCTAACCTATGAGAACCCACCCGATTAGCCAAATGGGTTAAGAGCTTGATTTGATTTGCTAAAATATCATCATGCTTCCATTTGATTGACAGAATGCATTATGTAGCATACATTTGAGCTGACCATTCATTGCGATATTTATCGGTTCATTGTGATATGCATGTTGTGCATGCTGATATCACGATAACGATATATTGACGATATATTGTGCAGCCCTATTTATTTTATTTATACCGGTATGTATTTTTTTTTATACTTACTGGGTTTTTAAGAAATGTCGCTAACTCTGCATCAGTCTAGGTACGTCCACAATCTTCCGTGCATGCTCTGTCATTGACATCTATATGTAGGCAGATGTCTTAACGCTATTGGCTAATGCTCAAGTCAAATTGCATATGGCTCTATGGGACGGGGGGGGTTAGCAACAAAAAACACTTGACATATTGCTAACATTATAACACAGACTATCACTTTTAAAGATTTATTTTAAAAAATCATACATAATTCCTGAAAGGGGGAAAAACTCCAGATTGCTGCTTTAATCGTGGCAAATGTAGAACTTAAGAAGTCTGTAAGTAAATATAGAATTAATAAGTAAATAATGTTTTTTATTCTAAAATCGGAGGTAGATGTGTTAGCTGTATTTTGTTTCTTAAGCTAAAATCTGAAGGGTCCCAGAGTTACCACAAGGACCGACTTGGTGTGCCACCCTAACATTTTCATTGGGCCCCCATGAAAGTTTTCGGGGTGCACCACTGTGTGGATCTCATCCAGCCAGATGTGGTTAAAGTTTTATTTTGGTAATAAAGTAATCAAGCTGTGCTGGCGTAGACTTTAGTGTAATCTGTCTGGTCTGGCTTCAGTTTTCCTCCAAGGTTAGAAGACTCAGACCCATTAGTAGGGCTGGGCAATATATCGATATTTTTAAAATATCGGTATAATTTTTAAACAAGATATAAGATGACTTTATATCTTCATATCGATATAACTGGTCAAACTGCTATGCTAGCTATTAGCCGCAATGCTAGCGACATGTTGCTCCGCCTCTAAGCGGTTATTACGTGTATTCTCACAAGTTTGCTCTATCTGAGAGCCTCTGGGTGAATGTGCTGCTCTAAACTTTGCATTTAGCATCCTGGTTTTTAATCATTTGGGGGCGTTCAACGCCAACGGAATTCTGTTTATCCGGAGACTAATCAAACCCCTCCCTCCCCTGTGTAATCGGGAAACATCTACGGATAGTCAGAGTGGCCAAATTACCTCAAACGTATTGTAACAGTTTAATAGTAAACTAGAGGGTTAACGTTTTATTTTGAAGGCGAGCTCAACGGGTGAGAAATGTTGTTCCGGTTCCGTTTTTTTCCGCTCTGGTTAGCTATGCTAGTAAATACTCCGTTACGAGCGATTCTGTTGAAAAAGTTAAGAGTTTGTAAGGCATGGGTTACGGCGACAGAAGCCCGAAAATAATCCCCATTAAAGAGCAACCAGAGACTCTGAGTCATTACAGTATAATCGCTGATATGAGTCAGTACGGTTAGATTCCAGCCAGGTTTGCCCTGATTACTAATAACTCCACTGTGCGTGATCCACGTCATCTTCAGTAGATGCAATTACATCATCATAAATTTAGCTTTACATGATATATTTTATTTCTCTGGACAATAAATATACAATATGGGCCACCTCTAGATGAAATTTAAATAATTGTACATTAATTATAAATATATAAATAAAAAGTGCCTGTGGGACATTTGATACACCTCTAGCTCCCAACTGTGTGTGTGTTAACAGACAGCTGTACCAGTGTTTCTAAAGCTCAAACTGGTAGCGAATAGGCACTAAGGTTAAAGTTTGACAAGAATCAATACATTTTTATGCATTTTATCTACTGATTTATGTATGTAATTTCTCAAGACAGCTTGAAGTGAGTTAACTTGTAAACATTTTACAGGAGGAAAAATATCGATATATATCGTATATCGGAATTCAGCAAAAAGATATCGAGATATAAGTTTTCGTCCATATCGCCCAGCCATACCCATTAGCATGGCCACAGTTGGTTGTGGGGTGTACAGCTCACTGTGGAAACGGCAGCTCCAGGAAGGAGGGAGAAAGAGAGTGAGCATTCCTCGGCTCAGTTCCAGCTAGAGGAAGCAGCCAGATGATGCTTCAGTGCACTGAGGCTAATCCAGAAGGTTCAGACCCCCTGAAAAAGAGCGATGTGCTACACTGAGCTGTGATGGAACGCCAGTTCGTGAGGCTGGGAGCACCAGCCCCGCGGGTCTTGGGCACAACAGAGGATTTCTGTCGTTAGCTGAAGGAGGAGCTCAAGCTAAGATGAAGTGCAACTTTATGAAAGAACTGGGAAGATATCCCATAAGCCCCTGGAACAATCCACAGGCCAGCCTCGGGCTGAGCTGTCAGAGTTAACCAGCAGAGACGGCCATGTTGGCTGTCAGGGGCATTAGTGTGCCAGAGCTCCTAACAGCTCATTAGTTTCCAGGCAGCAGCTCAGATCTGAACGTGAAATGTGCCCCGCTGGCTGCCAGGAGTTTCATTACTACAACGGATTTGTGATTGTAAAACATTAGTTTATTTACTGATTGTGTCCTTTTCTCCTCTTTCTAAATGACTCCAAAGCCAGAGCAGGTAATAAAATACTAGGATGCTGTGAAAAATCCCAGTTTAGAGCCTTTAGTTTGGGTAGGTTTGTGTTTTATAACTCGTGTTTGTTGGTTTTGTGTTACCCATAACCACCTTCTTCCTGTTTGTGAGTGTAAGTCATAAATCTGCTGCAGTATGGCATTGTCCTACTTTCTGTTCACCCGGCTGTGCATCTAACGCATCAGGGAGGTCTCTGAATGTTTTAGAGAGTTTCCGCTGAGTAATCAGACGCCCGCTTTGAACTCGGTGTGGGTTACGAGGTGGACCCGTGCTCCAGTAACAACGGTAGATCCTTCAGCTCCTCTCAGACGGACTCGTAAACGACCTCTCCTGGCATTTAAATTCATTTCCCCCATTTGGCCACACGGAGTGCTTTTAGAAAACCCTCCGTCCATAATATCCTTCCCCTCTGCCTTGCATAGCAACTGTTGTGTGTGTGTGTGTGTGTGTGTGTGTGCGTGCGTGCGCGCGTGCGCGCGCGTGTGTGTTTGTTTGTTTGTTTGTTTGTTTGTTTCTAGAATAATAATATTCCCCTCCTGGCCAACAACCACCGTTACAAATGCCTCTGAGTCATTTCTTGTGCCGTTTCCTCTTAGACTCACAGACGTTTGTCTCTTTTCTCAATAATGAATTTTTTTTATCTCCAGGCCAGGAGAAGCCTTCAGAGCAGGAGAGCACCGAGACGAAGGCCTCAGAGACCATAAACCGCTATGGCAGCATCAACTCTTTGGACTCCACAGCTTCATCTGGAATCGGCAGCTACAGCACGCAGATGTCCGGCACCGACAACCCCGAGCAGTTTGAAGTCCTCAAGCAGCAGAAGGAGATCATTGAACAGGGGATCGACCTGTGAGTGCCCATAGATCACCTGAGATGTGTGAGAATGTTTCTAATTATTATTGTTTTTAATACTTAGGTTCAACAAGAAACCAAAGAGAGGAATCCAGTATCTTCAAGAGCAAGGCATGCTGGGTACAACTCCAGAGGACCTTGCTCAGTTTTTGCACCAGGAGGAGCGGCTTGACTCGGTAACAGCCTGGAGTTTTATTTTTTATTAGTTATTATTCTAAAATAAAATAAAACATCTGACTGTGTCTGTCTGTCATTTAAATGTGTCTAGGCCTTTTATTTTTAGTTAGTTTTATTTCATTTATTCTTTTGTTTTATTTTATTTTTAGTTAAATTCATTTTACTTTTTTTGTTAATTTTATTTAGTTTATTAGCTATTAATTTGGGTTTTTTTTTTCATTTGTTTTAATTGTTTAGAATTTTTTTCTTGTTTCATTTAGTCAAAATAGTTTTTATTTCATTTTTAGTTACTTAGAAAACAATGAAAATGTTTTTGTTAATTTTATTTATTTTTTGCTGTATTTTAATTTGATTTTATAGTTATGTTTATTTGATTTGTAGTTGACTAAGTGTTTTTTGTTTTTATTTATTTTAATTTGATTTATTTTCTTTCATTTATTCAGTTTTTTTTAGTTACTGAATTATTTTTATTATTTTTTTGTACATTTTTAAGTTAATTTTATTTATTTGTTTTTCATTTTATTTACATCAAACAGGAACAATACATTAAATAATAATTTTTTTTAGTTAAAAAAAAGTTCCTGGAATTTTCTCTTTTGCTTTCTGAGAATCTCAAAACATTTTCAAGGCAATTTAGAAAAATGTAAGCTTTTGCTTTTCAAACCAAATTATATTTACAAAAACAGGTTTGGCATGAATCCAGTTTGTATTCTCAATTTTCAACAACGCGTTGATAGTTGCTTAGCAACAGTGGTGATAGAGCCTCTCCACCCTTTCACTTTGTACCACAAGAAAAGCAAAATCTCTCTTTTTTTTAAAGAAAACATGTCCTTCTAACTCAGCCTGTAAATATGGGTTAGACCTTTATAATAAGGAAAACACTCCGACCCCTTCGCTCTTTCAGACTCAGGTGGGAGAATTTCTCGGGGATAATGACCGCTTCAATAAGGAGGTGATGTACGCCTACGTGGACCAGATGGACTTCCAGGGAAAGGACTTTGTGTCTGCACTGAGGATGTTCCTGGAGGGCTTTCGGCTCCCGGGCGAAGCCCAGAAGATCGACCGGCTCATGGAGAAATTTGCAGCGAGATATCTGGAATGCAACCAGGGGTGAATAAGAAACACTTTCAGAAAGTTTAACCAAGGAATGTTTCCTCTGTGTGGCTAAACATATTCTTCATTTCTTTTCCAAGGCAAACTCTTTTTGCCAGTGCGGACACCGCGTATGTTCTTGCCTACTCCATCATCATGTTGACAACAGACCTCCACAGTCCCCAGGTAATGAAGCAGCGGGTTGTTACATGTTAGTAAAACACACATCACAGGGCTTTTGACACATCTCCTTGTTGTCACCTGCAAAAGGTCAAAAACAAAATGACAAAAGAGCAATACATCAAGATGAATCGAGGCATCAATGACAGCAAAGACCTGCCTGAGGAATATTTGTCGGCCATTTATGACGAGATCGCCGGGAAGAAGATCGCCATGAAGGAGACGAAAGAGCTCACCATGAAATCCAACAAGCAGAGTGAGTATGTAAGAGGTTTGAAGGCGGGGCCTATTTTTCTGCTGGGGTGGTTTCTGATGGGTTTGCGTGTTGGGCGGATGTAGGCGTGGCGAGCGAGAAGCAGAGGCGTCTGCTTTACAACGTGGAGATGGAGCAGATGGCCAAGACGGCCAAAGCTTTGATGGAGGCCGTCAGCCACGTTCAGGCTCCCTTCACCAGCGCCACACATCTGGAGCACGTCAGGCCCATGTTCAAGGTAACGCCAGCAGATGCACACACTGCTGCACACACACACACACACACACACACACTATGGTAACCATTGTCCCTGTTCCTCAGCTGGCGTGGACTCCCTTCCTTGCTGCCTTCAGCGTGGGCCTGCAGGACTGTGACGACACCGAAGTGGCCTCTCTGTGTCTAGAAGGGATCCGCTGCGCCATCAGGATAGCGTGCATCTTCTCCATACAGGTGCTGCATCCCAAACTGCAGGTTCTCACTGTGTGCCCCACCCAGCTGCAGTCTGACACCCTTTTTTCTTTTTCTTTATTTGTCTTTGAGCAGTTGGAGAGGGATGCGTACGTGCAGGCTCTGGCGAGGTTCACCCTGCTCACAGCCAGCTCGGGCATCTCAGAAATGAAGCAGAAGAACATCGACACCATCAAGACGCTCATCACTGTGGCGCACACCGACGGCAACTACCTGGGCAACTCCTGGCACGAGGTCTGCCCCTCTCGTCATGTTATGTGAAGAATAAACTGATCTTTAAAAATTTTAAACTAAAAGAAACCGACACATGGTGATTTCAAACAAGAGAGCAAAGTTTAAAAGTTGGTGATGTCCACCCGTCCACAAAGGGCACCACCCTGCATGCTTCAGATGTTTTTCTAGCTTCAGTGGGTGATTTGCAGGATTCTGCAGGACTTGAAGACACGTTAAATAGGTAGTTAAGGTGTGTTGGAGCAGGGAGAAGACTAGGAAAATGGGGGCTCGTCCGGGATTTTTAATACATTTTACGATTTTATGCTGCATTTATTGATTTAAACTTCCCGCTAAGGACTTTTAATGGCATGTGTTATTAAACCTTTTTTACTATCTTGCACATGCCTTTTGTGTTGTGCCCATGTCCTTCCATTTTTCCACCCCATCGGATTGTTACATATTCATATAAGCTATAACGAGCTTAGGTCTGACCTGGAAGTCTGTTCCAACTAGGAAGAAACAGGAAAACTATCCCGGATTCCAGTCCGATACTGTCTTAATTAGCCATCAAACAGACATTCCCTTTTATTTATTTATTTTTTGCTTCTTCTCAGATCCTTAAGTGCATCAGTCAGCTGGAGCTGGCTCAGCTGATTGGCACCGGGGTGAAGGCGCGCTACATCTCAGGCACGGTCCGGGGCAGGGAGGGCTTCATAACGAGCACGAAGGAGCAGAGCAGCGACGAGTACTTGGGTTTAGGTTGGAGTTCACACACACACACGTCTGTTTTAGTTTTTTAATTTTTTTTTCTCTAGAAATAGTTGTGAAGCTTCTTTTTTGCTCCTGTAGTTGGAGGAACTGTGGACCGTAAGCAGATCGCCAGCATTCAGGAGTCCATCGGCGAGACAAGCTCTCAGAGTGTGGTGGTTGCTGTGGACAGGTATCGTCTTTACCTTGAGCTGCATCCACTATGTCGGCATGATTTAAAAAGCTTTTATTAAATAATCTGTCTTTTTGCCGCAGGATTTTTACAGGTTCCACCAGATTAGATGGGAACGCCATTGGTGAGTCTAACCAAACACTACAGTTGTGTTCTGGATATTTTTTAAACCATAACGACTCACGCTGATCATTTCCTGTCCCCTCTCCAGTGGATTTTGTGCGCTGGCTGTGTGCCGTGTCCATGGATGAGCTGGCCTCGCCCACACATCCACGCATGTTTAGCCTGCAGAAGATAGTGGAGATCTCTTACTACAACATGGGTCGCATCAGGCTGCAGTGGTCCAGGATCTGGGAGGTCATCGGGGACCACTTTAACAAGGTGGGTGTGGCCTAATGCAGAATAGCCGGCAGCATTGTTCTGCATCCAGAAAGTAAAAGTGTATCATGAGTACAAACAAATAAGTGTTTCTCTGTTGCAACAGAATTTTAGTTTTTGTCGCCTTGGTTACGAATCAGTAGCAGGCTCTGCCCTCAAAAAGCAGGACCTGCCATCTCCATAAGGTGTGTTTTTTACTTGCTCTCAGGTCGGCTGTAATCCCAATGAAGACGTCGCCATTTTTGCCGTGGATTCTCTCAGGCAGCTGTCCATGAAGTTCCTGGAGAAAGGGGAACTGGCCAACTTCCGCTTCCAGAAGGATTTTCTGAGGCCTTTTGAACACATCATGAAAAAGAATAGGTGCGGAAACAGACCCCGCCTCTTTTATCCTCCCCTCAGTCTACCTGTGAGGGATTCTGCTCTCCGTTTGAAAAGCAACTGAACTGGAATAACCGCTTAGCTGTGAAGAGATGCTTGTCACCATGGCAACAATCACTGTAATCAATCTAGAATCGTCATCCCTACCTGAAAAATGAGCCCTGGGATGTTTTGGATGTGACCCGACATTGATGAAGAGATTTTTCTTGGCTGCTTTAACGTTCTTTCCTCCGCCGTCCATCAGGTCTCCCACCATCAGAGACATGGTGGTGCGCTGCATCGCCCAGATGGTCAACTCCCAGGCGGCGAACATCCGCTCAGGATGGAAGAACATCTTCTCTGTCTTTCACCTGGCTGCATCTGACCAGGATGAGAGCATCGTGGAGCTGGCCTTCCAGACCACCGGGCATATCGTCAGTGAGTCCCAACAGTTTTCCCTCTCCCGTTTCTGCTGCCTTGTTAATCAGCAGCCCGATGAGGCGTCGCCCCCGAACTCACGGCTTTGTATTTTTTTTCTTTCTGGCCATTTCACAGCGAATGTATTTGAGAAGCACTTTGCCGCCACGATCGACTCCTTCCAGGATGCGGTCAAGTGTCTGTCCGAGTTCGCCTGCAACGCCTCGTTTCCCGACACCAGCATGGAGGCCATCCGCCTCATCCGCCACTGTGCCAAATATGTCTCGGAGAGGCCGCAGGTTCATAAAAAGCACTAAAGCCATGTGTTCTGCATGTCTTCAGGCAATAGCTGTGTGTGAGGTAAATATTGATTTTCTCTCTGATTCTTGATTTCTGGCAGGCCTTTAAGGATTACACCAGTGATGACATGAATGTAGCTCCTGAGGACCGGGTGTGGGTGCGGGGGTGGTTCCCCATCCTCTTTGAGCTCTCCTGCATCATCAACAGATGTAAACTGGATGTCAGGACCAGGTAGGTGGAGTTTGGCGGTGGCAACATTCAGCTTTTGTTGCCTTTTGGAGCATCGGGCCAAACGGGTGTTTGTTTTTGCTCCCCAGGGGGCTCACGGTGATGTTTGAAGTGATGAAGACCTACGGGCACACCTTTGAGAAACACTGGTGGCAGGATCTGTTCAGAATCGTCTTCAGGATCTTTGACAACATGAAGCTACCTGAGCAACAAACTGAGGTTCGTTGAGGGTCTCTCACCTCCCTCCGCCTCCAACAGTCTCTGATTTCTGCCATATTTGTTTTGGGGCTCTCAGAAAGCAGAATGGATGACCACCACATGCAACCACGCACTTTACGCCATCTGTGATGTCTTCACCCAGTACTTTGAGTCGCTCAACGGCCTCCTGTTGGACGACATCTTGGCTCAGCTCTACTGGTGTGTGCAGCAAGGTGAGCAGTTCGTGTAAACTAGCTTGCATTCAGGAAGCTGTCACTCCACCTTTTCTGTGCAGATGAGACGGGCTAGCACAGTTGTTCTCTTTCCTCTGAAACAACGCTCAACACTATTTTAACACTTGGAGCTACTTCTTTCCTGTCTGTTTCTGTGATTCTTGAGCCAGACGCTTGAGAAGCTTCACTAGTAGAGCACTCTGCTGCCCTCTGCTGGCCAAAAACTACACTAAGTAAGTTTTGGTTCGAGTAGAAACAAGTGAGAGGTGGAGCATCGGCTGGGGTGGAGTTTACTGTGCTGGTAGCTTGTATAAATGCTAGCAGGTGGCTTTTTCAGTTCGCCGACCAAGAAGAATTTAGCATTTTTGTGGTCTTCATGGCGGAGTCTGGAATTAAAAGTTATGTCTTTGGAGATGAAACAAAAAGCTAAAACTAGAATGAAAATCAGTGCAGCCTACACTCATTTGTTAATGACAGTTGTAATTCTGCTTTCAACCAGTAGGGGAAGATTTTTAAGAGTAATTTAATTCAGTGTTTCTCACTAGTGGGGCGTGGCCCCTCTGGGTGACGCCAGAGTCAGGAGAATTTAATTTTTTAAGCTTCTTTTTTCATGCTACGCCGCCCCCAGTCACTAGGTGGCACCAGCACTCAGACTAGTCCACAGGCTGCCTGTTTACACCAAGCAGAAGAAGCAGAGCTGTCAGGAAAAAAACAAAAAGTGTTAGTTGGAGGGAGGGTGACGGAAAATAATTGCGAAACATGTCTTTAATTAGTCATTTCGTCATGCCCGCCTGTAGATAACGAGCAACTTGCCCGTTCGGGCACCAACTGCCTGGAGAACGTGGTCATCCTGAACGGGGAGAAGTTCTCCCTGGAGACCTGGGACAAGACCTGCAACTGCATTCTGGACATCTTCAAGACCACAATCCCACACACGTAAGCTGCTTCTCTGATGGATACAAATAAAGAAAAGAGTGTTAACTAAGATGGAGTTTATTTACTAGCTTGTATCTGAAGCTAGAAGACACTAAATCTAATAGGCTTTGCATGATGGGATTTGTTGTTCTCTAGAGTTTGATGTGTTGCATAATTATTTTTAAGGCTGTTGACATGGAGACCAGCTGGAGCAGAAGGAGAGCCCTTCACATCACACGGCTTGTCCGACAAACAGCTGGTGGGAAAATCTCAGATGTTTACCAAAATGTGTTTTAAATAACTCAAGTTGGGTCGTTTTTATTTAAATAACTTGGGATTTTTAAAGTACGATCTTTCAATTTTTCTCCCAGGACTCTATTTCTCAGAAGTCTTTGGACATCCAGTCCCGCTCTGAAGACCAGAACTCCATCAGCAGCGCCGACAGAGCTGCTGTGGACGCCCGGCGGCAGAGCCAGCACAGCACGGCGTCGGGTCTGTCTGAGGACGTCTCCAGGAACAGGAATCCAACCAGTAATTTGTGTGTGTGTGTGTGTGTGTGTGTGTGTGTGTGTGTGTGTGTGTGTGTGTGTGTGTGTGTGTGTGTGTGTGTGTGTGTGTGTGTTTGCGCGTGCGCGCGTATTTCCTGATGAATCCTTTGTTGTACAGAGATCCAGGAGCAGCGTTTGTTCTCGGCGCTGCTGATAAAGTGCGTGGTGCAGCTGGAGCTGATCCAGACCATCGATAACATCGTGTTCTTCCCCGCCACCAGTAAGAAGGAAGATGCGGAGAACTTTGCTGCTGCTCAGGTACAAGCCGCTGCAGTTAAACGGCGATCGCTGCAGATTTGTGCCGGTTACTCAGTTGAAGTTGTGTTTTGAAGCGGGATGCGGCGGGCGTGGCGGGCGTTCGGGTGGAGACCCAGGACCAGGGGATGTACCACTATCTAACCTCAGAGCAGCTTTTTAAGCTGCTGGACTGCCTGCTCGAGTCTCACTGCTTCGCCAAGGCTTTCAACTCCAACAACGACCAGAGGACCTTGCTGTGGAAAGCAGGTAGGAGGGCGGAGCTTCGTGTTGTCTCCGAACATCTCGTCACGACCCTAAAAACCTGATTTTGGTCATGTGCATGTTAAAGGTTTCAAGGGAAAGTCCAAGCCCAACCTGCTGAAGCAGGAGACCAGCAGCCTGGCGTGTGGGCTGCGGATTCTGTTCCGTATGTACACGGACGAGAGGCGGCGGGACGCCTGGGAGGAGGTCCAGAGACGACTGCTCAAGTAAGCTACAGAGACTCTTGTGACAAGAAGGTTGGATGATGCATGAATGTTCCTTTGATGGATTCGTTTTTGGCTGATACTGAATAAAAGTGACATCATCCTCACACTTTTGTCGTGATGAGGCAGAGGAGCAGATGCTGCTGGCTGTAGAAACGACAAACGTTTAAATATATCTGGTTTCTGATTGGTTTAATGTTCTTCCTTGTCTTTGTTTCGTTTAGCGTGTGCAGCGAAGCCGTCTCGTACTTCCTGGCTCTGACGTCAGAAAGCCACAGAGAAGCCTGGACCAATCTGCTGCTGCTCTTCCTCACCAAGGTGCTGAAGATCAGCGACGAGAGGGTAAGACTCAGAAGGATCTGATGGTGTTTTACCAGGAGAAGTCATTGATTTTCCCTCCTTCCTGTTGCAGTTCAAGGCCCACGCGTCCAGGTACTACCCCCTCCTGTGTGAGATCATGCAGTTCGACCTGATCCCCGAGCTCCGGGCCGTGCTGAGGAAGTTCTACCTGCGCATCGGCGTCGTCTTTCACATCGCACAGCTGCCTGAACCTGAAGCCCACCCCGATCGGGGGCGGGCGGAGCCAGAAACGGACACGGAGGTGGGGGAGGAGGCAGGGGAGGAGGCTCAATGAAGCTCCACTGAGGCCACCGCCTCCTGGCTCCCTCTGTGTGCACGGTTTCCCTGAACATTAGACTGAAACAGCTGATCCTAGACCAGCTGTTCACACCCACTCCACACTAGGGTCCCAGATGGAATCCTCAGCATCACAAATTTGCACCCCGGCGTAGCGCTGCCTCCGCCGACTACTGACCGACAGGCGGCTCCTCGGATCTCTGACCTAAAGGAATATATTGCAACACGTGTGCTTCTTACTGTATATTTAAAAGTGAAGAATGAACGGTCTCAACCAGACGCAGAGCAGCGACCGCCACCCGCGTGTGACCGATCGCCTCTGGGATGAAACTCGTATGTACAGATCTGCCGCTGTGTAAAATAATCCTATAACACTAGATTATCTTTATTTTTTTGTTTGTTTTAATTTCTGGATTTGCTGCACTTGATCTCATTTTTTATTTTTATGCACTGGAGATTTAACTTTCTTTTTTTTTGTTTGTTTATAATTTATTTGACTGCACCACCTCCGTATGTTTTGTCACGGAAGCAGACGGTGGAAAGTGAAGGGTTAAATTATTCCATTTTATGTGTTCTTAGGTTTTTAGACGTAACTTTGCTTTGGAAACTGGAAGACGAGGGAGCAAACTGATGCTAGCTGCTTTTGGAGTCACTTTTCCGTTTAGCTTTCACTCTTGTACAAAATCAAAATAATATATTTAATGTTTTTGTTTGTCTGAGCAGCAGAGAAGATGAGAAGGTGTTAGCTGTGCTTTAACGTATGAATGGGACGCACTCCTGCTCACGGATGTAGAAAACACAATGTATATGATACAGCAATGTAAAGTTTTCTATGTCGCAAAAGATTATGTACAACTTTCTGTACGATGCGTCGTCTGGCATTCTAATCAGGTTCTAGGTCAATAAAGTTTTTGAACTTGGTCGATTTGAAATGAGCAGCTTCGTCTCCTAATGATCAGTCGGGATATTCGTGAAAAAAATGAACGTTTAATGTTTTTAATAGAACAATCTGACAGGATTTATCTGCTACAAACAAGTAAAAAACTAACAAAAAAAGTGTTTTAAGATAAAGTAAGGATGTTTTAGTTTTGAGTGGAAGCGCCTTTAGACGCTTAGGTGACTCGCTGCGTCAGCCAGGGTAAAGCGCCCGACCTGATGCCTGGTTTCTGTCTGTGCGTCACATGTTTTACGGTGTCTGATGTTCCGGAGTGTGGCCAGGGCTCAGTGGAGACGGTTTCCATGGAGACGGGCCTCCTGCAGGTGAAGCGTGCAGACGGGACACCCAGCCTTGCTGTAGAGGACGGAGACACATTTTAGGTTATTAGATTAAGATGAGATTAGCTTTCAGATTGTGTTGGAGGTGATTTCTGAGTTCTGCAGTAGTGATCAGTCGGTTAACTTATCTCACCTGATCTGCTGGGATCACAAAAGCCAGGCTGGTTTGTGGCTTTTGGTGGTTGATGGTTCTGACCTCGCTCCTCTGTAGAAAGCTCCTGTTTAAAACACGACGAGATCCGTGACTAATCTGTGTTTGACTCTTAAAGTATTATTGTACTCATCAGGAGCATTCCTCGTAGGCTCGCTCCCTCCTCGGTGCCGTCCTCTCGCATCGCTCCTCTGTGGGTCGCGTTGCTCCCTGCTGGTAGACCCGGAGTTCACCTGCAGCACCAACATGAACATGATTATTTTGTTCATCTGCGTCAAAACTTTTTGAAACAAGTGAAGAAAAAAAACTTGATTGCTCCTTTTCCTGCCCTTGGCCTTTAAGCTGTTATCTCTGTACTGTCACCACCCTGCAGCTGACACCGGCACCGTGCTTCCTGTTCTGGCACCAGACTTTTTAACTGGCACAGAGAGAAGCTCCAAACTGGTCCAGCTAGTGGAATGCATGAGCAGCAGATCCAAACCCCTGTCACTTTTATGGAAAAGAAAAATATCTGGGTGTGTTGTTGCCACGACGTGGGGACGATGATTGTGGTCTTCATGAATCTTGCCCAGCAGCAGTGACTCAACATCCTCAGAGACAGGCTCCGCCCCTCTCAGATCTGACAACTGCAGCTTTCTGATTTATTATTTATAGATAAAAGTTTGATGTGTGCTGGACGCTCCCCCTGCAGCCTTTCATCCTCTTGCTTCTGAATTTTCCTGAAAACTCGTGTCCCGGTCTGGGAACCCGTTCAGGGACGGCTTCTCGCCCGCTTGGATTTCGTTCACCGCTGCTGCTAAACGTGTCGCTGAGTGACAGATGGAAGCTTCTTCTGATCTAGAAATACTCAAGTCTTAGTAAGGAGGACTGATATTCTCCTGTTCCCTCGAATGAAAACATAGATCAATTATAAGAAACCAGAAGGTTCTATTAATCACTTTTACTCAAGTGAAAGACGATAAGTCTCCCATAAAATGAAGAAAATACATGTAAATATGTTAAGGCAGACACAAGGTTACGTATTTATTACCTCCTTGTTTAGATGGATTAAACTCGCTCTGCTTTTGTTTTTCAGCTCTTCTAGAGTCACGAGGATGACTCTCATCCTTCACAAATTCAAAGGCATCCATCCTGGGTGGTCTTCTGTGTGTAAGCAAAAAAATAATAAAGTAATCTGATTAACCCACAGGTGTATTTAAGTAGATGTCGGTAGTTCAGTGCTGCAGCTTTCTGCATCAGACGTTTGTACCCAGAAAGATGCATGCAGATAAAACCAAATCAAACACCTTCCGAATCTTCAGAAATGCGCAGTTTAAACCTCTCGTTCACTCGTCATCTCAACACATCTGCACTGGTCTCCAGTATGAATGAAAGCTTTGTGATTCGATCTGTGTGGGGAGAAATCTCTGGTGTTCCTGTTACAGGAAGTACAATTTGGAGGATGGGGAGAAGAAAACTGAAGGAATTTGCATCTTACTCAATATTTCCTGATATTTGGACATCTCGCCTCTGATTGGCTAACGGCAACATGATTCTACAACTGATTCCATTTGCTTTGCAACGCTGATGTTTCATCTCCACAAATAACACAAGTCTGAATGAGTTCTGCCATGTGGGGGAGTTGCTAATGCTAACTGTTAGCTTCTACTAGCCAAGATGTGCTCTGCTCTCTCCTGGATGCTATATTAACAACAGCCACCCCCGTTTTGAGTCCAAGAATGTTGACGTTAAATGTTGCATAGATCTGTGAGGCTTTTTCTAAGACCCCATGTTGGCGGCCAGTGCAAGAAATAGGGGTAGACTATTTTCACATGTAGCCTGTATGTGATTTAAAAACGTAAAAAGTAAAAATCTCTTTCTCTGTGAAGCTGGACTTTAAAAGGCGGGTAGTTCTTGCAGAAGCGCATTTTGCACGATTCCCTTATGTGAGAGATCATCAGAGATCTTTCTGCCCACAGAGTGCTGGAGATGGGACACCAGCCCCCCTCGACCCTACATGGATAAGCGATAACGGATGGATCATCAGAGGATGAGAAGTGGAGTTACAGCTAATCTGGAGAAATCTTCAAAATAACTTGTGATCTGTTCAGTCTTTCAGTGTGTGATGAGGTTGACTCTTAGCTGCTACCACATCGAGGCTCAATACGATCCACGTGGATTTGAATTCCACATCTCACCGCTGCTTTCAGTCATTCATTCATTCAGGCCGTTGAAACACAAGGTGTGAAAATGTATAACTTGTAAGGTGAAACGTGAAACTGTCACTGGAATACCTGTCCAGGTGAGGGTGGGCGATCGCTGTCCGATTCATCTGAAGCTCCAGCTGATTCTGCTTTTTCCTCAGACAGTTACGGAGAGCTGAAAGCTCTCTGATCACTTCCTGCTGGCCATCTTTAGAATGAAAGGCGTTAATGATTGTGGCATCATGATTATGAGAAGACGCGGTCTGGCTAAATCGTACCGTAAAGTGTTGGGACTTTGGATGTAGCTCGTTGGACATGTGGGGCTGACACAGAGCGGCCCTGAGAAAAATAAAAGCATTTATAATGTTCTACATACTCTCTGCCATGGGGGGGGGGGGGGGGGGGGCGTACAGCTCTGGAAGAGTGTTGGTTGATCTCAGTCGAAGGCCTTGACGGCAGAAGAAGCAACGTTGGAATCGGAGGAGACGGCTCTCTCTGCAAGGATTGCTGCGCCTCATAAGTCTGATGTGAGGTCTTCTCCTTTTCCTCCTTGGCACTCTCAGGCACTCTCTCTTTTGAGGTTCTCTTGACCTCCGCTTTGTGAGGAGTCGTGGCTTCCTGGGTCATCATGTTCCGCAAGTTTTCCTGCAACATCGCAACAACATGAGGCGAACCCACGACAAAGACCTGTTGAACAAACTCCCCACCTGAGCTTCCCGCTGTCTCCTTTGCTCCTCTTCGTATTGCTGCTGCATGCGAGCCCTCTCCTTGGCCAGCTTCTCCTCCTCTTTCTCCTCTCTAATCCTGATCTTCTCCCGCTCCTCTGCCTGCCTTCTCTTCTGTTCTTCTATCTGTTCAAACGTTACAGTGAGATCTGTGTGTGTGTCCTAACCCTAAAACAAATGTCATTAAGATGATCTACCTGGCGCTTCAGCTCCTCCTTGTACCTCTCCTTGGCGGAGAGCTGCTGCGATGGTGAAGGATGACTAGAGTCTGCAAGAGGTAGAACGGACATAAAGAAAAAAGAAAATGCAGCCGACTCGTCTCAGCTTGAAGAGGAAAACTCCACCTGCAAGTCGGTGAGAAAAAGGAACCTCGGCTTCATTTGCAGCTGACATTTTGTTATTATTGATCCGGTGCATTTGTCTGAGGTCACCTAAAATAAAAGAAAAACTCGTGTACAACGTGCTGTAATCCGACATGTTTCATTCATTTCATTAAAAGAAGTTCACTTACTAACAAGGTCTCCATTTTGGTCTACAATAGGAGCCCCTCCTCCACCCCTTCCCCAGGGGTCGTAGGCCATCATCGCAGCCTCCAACTTTGCATATCGCTCCTCCTCTCTTCTTTTCTGCTCCTCTCTTTCTTTGATCTGGACAACAACAAAAACCACCGTGCACCTCCTCAAACCATCAACGCTAAAAAGGATCTTCAGATGTAACAGTTCACCTGCTGCTTGAGTGCTTCTTGGTAGCTCAGGACACTCTCTCTCCTCGGATTGGGCCGGTCCACGTGAAGCCCTTCGGCAGCAAAAGGAAACTCTCTGAAAGCAGACAAAGTAAGAAGTTGAGTAGTAAATAAAGCTCAAAGCAAACAAAATCACATCAAAATTAAAACAAGACTAAATCCAAAGAATTCAAGATAGTTGAAAACAAAAATGAGTAAAAAAGATCATTGTGTAGTATTGTATACACAGTACAGGCCAAAAGTTTGGACACACCTTCTCATTCTATGGGTTTTCTTTATTTTCATGACCATGACCGTTTGCAAAGGGGCCAACGAGTGCTAAACACCTCTGGGAACTCCTTTAAGACTGTTGGAAAACCATTTCAGGTGACTGAAGCTCAGCAGGAGAATGCCAAGAGGGTGTAGAGCAGTAATCAGTGTAAAGGGTGGCTATTTGAAGAAAATAGAATATAAAACATGTTTTCAGTTATTTCACCTTATTTGGTTAAGTACATAACTCCACATTTGTTCAATAGTTTTGATGCCTTCAGTGAAAATCTACCAATGTAAATGATCATGAAAATCTAGAAAACACAGTGAATAAGACAGGTGTGTCCATACCTTTGGCCTACTGTGTATACTATTGTATGTAGCACCATGTCTTTATTTCTGCATTCTCAGTCACTTTTGTACTATTTTGCTATCTGACTGAGCTGTAGAATCAATAAAGCCTAATTTTATCTTAGCTTAGCTTATCTTGTCTTAAACCAATTAATAAAGATCGTTAAAAACAAATAAAAAAATAATTATACGAATGAATAAAGATCATTTAAGAGCAAGTCACCCCCAAATCAACTTTGTTTTTCTGATAAACTACATGAATGTGTGTGTAATCGTGCTGCAGACACGTGTCGTCAATAGTTTTGCACTTTATTTCATTTTAGTTCAAATTTTCATATTCTGCCTAAAACTGTCAGTGTTGTGCCGTTGTCAGGTAAAATTTCTGCACTGCATTTAAATTTAAATCTGCCATCGCTATTGGCTAAGTGGTACCCTAGAACGTTAGCTGGTACCATATGATGTCACAATTTCTTTGTGAGCCTGTGTGTGTATTTGTTACCGGCTCCGCCCTCTCGGACTGCTAGGCAACAGCATTTGTTGCATTTTTCAAACAGGAAGCGGGAGTTGAGTAAGAATCTGGTAGGGGGTGACTTGCTCTTTAACAACAAATGAAAATCATAATTTACGACACAAAAGCTTTTTAGATGTACAGTTTTCTGTCAGGAGGGACATCTTTGGGAGAAAAATATATGTCCAAAACATGAATTCTTCACATTTTATCTTAGTAAGTAAAAGGGGCTGAGAGGGAAACGTACTCATTGGCGCTGACAGGAAGTGGCTGCATTTGGGAAGTAATGTCAAAAGTCCCAGGCTGCTCAGCCTCATAGAGCAGATTATCTAATGGGAAGATTCACAGCAAGTTAGTTCAGCTCTGACACGTGATGGGATTTAAGTCCGCTGCAGTGAAGATTTAATTCAGTTATAAAGAAATTACTGAATTAAGAGGTAAAATATTTCAAGTCATCTGAGTTCTGAAAAGAAATGAGACTTAAGCGATAATCTGTACTCTGATTTTGGGGCGGATGAGAATCAAATGAGTTCCTGTTGCCATAGTGATGAGATGCATCATATGGATCGTGGATGGCGTCTGGAATAACAGGAAGAAGAACGGGAGCGCTTCTGAAAAATAAAACCACAGTGAATGAGCAATGATGTTAAGTTACAACAGAATGTCACTCTGATCCACCTTGGGACGATCACGTCTGGTGTTCTTGTGACATTCCCGTGATAATCCTGGTTAAAATAGTCAAACGGTGCGCCTCCTGGAGTTTTCCGCATCCTAAAACCAGGCACAGCGTTCCCCGGCTGCTGACTGAACGCTGAGCCAAAGTCCACCTGGGAACACCCTCGAGGAGCTCTGTTACTCCCCGTGTTCTCACGAGGCTTTTCATCTCCCCATCTTGGATTACAGTCTCTCCTCGTGACATCCAGATGTGTTCCAGACCTGTGAGGAACATCCCGTCTCAGGTTTTCATGCTGCTGACACGCAGCTCCAAACTGCTGGATTCGTTCAGGCTAGACAAGCAACATCAACAAAAACAACAAATAAAGCATAAGATTTAGCAATACTGTAATTTTGGAGCAATGTTCAAGATTAAAATAAGCAATATGTTTTGAAAAATTAAAAATGTTCCTTGAATGCAACTGTACTACCTGTTTCTCTGGGTCTGTGGCACCAGTAGCAGCCACCTTTAGCTCAAGCCTCTTCTCTCTGGGAACAAGAGGGTGCTACAAATGTGCAAGCTGCAGAAACTCCTGTTTTAATTCAGTCATTCCTTTACATTTTACACATTAACTTTGCTGATTAAGTCCCAAACACGTCATAAGGGCTGGGGTTAATGCGCACTCAGAATTAACCCCAAACTGATTTTTCTATCATTAAAGACTCACTTTAGCTTGTTTCCCTTTTGTTCAGCCATTTGTAGAAGCAGCTCCTGCTTGTACTGCTCTTTTTTCATCTGGGTCACCGTCCGATCTTCTGCTGCTCCTGCATTACAGATAAAAAAAGACACAAAACACTCTAAAAAATGAAATGTTGAAGTTACTTAAAGCAGAAACCTGGAGGTTTTTTGTCAGAGGTCACCATATAGAGGCGCAACGGCTGGAAGCAACGCATCAGTCTAGGTGGGCCACACACTCAAGCTCTGTGATTGACATCTGTATGGAATCGGATGTCTGGCGCTATTGGCTAATGCTGTCAAAAAAAGACTGATAACCCCAAATTATATCACAGCACAGGGTGAGATTATAATGCCGGGTCTACACAGGATGCATCAGCGGTGCAGAACAGCAGCGGGACGGATTACTTGTGTGAGTCTCCGCGAAATCACAAAATCCCTCGAAACTTCAAAGGTCGTGGTTGGCTTATGCCGTCTGCCATTTACCCAAAAACAAGATGGAGATCACTTGTGATGTGCTATATAAAGCTGTGCCTCTTCGCTACTGGGGTTAAAGATATAAAAAACAATTTGTTGCACTTCACGAAAGATCTTGGGAGTAGATGACACAGATATGAAATCGCATCGCTGCAATAGTCTTTTATTTTGAAAATCACCTGATGTTTTACACTGAAACGGTGTATGATTTCCTGTCTAGTTAATTGTGGACGTTGATGTGTCCCTAAAGCGGCTCGTGGCAAGAATAGAACCCAAACCCAACTAGCGGCGTGGTGCGGTGCGGCGTGGTGCGGTGTGGCGTGGTGCGGTGCGGTGTGGCGTGGCGTGGCGTGGTGCGGTGCGGCGTGGTGCGGTGTGGCGTGGCGCTTCTAGGATGCGCCTGAAATGTTCCATGCCACGGCCAGTCTGAATCCGCCCTATGGACTATAATGGATTCATTTTGAAGCAGTGACATTCCACTGCCATTCCGCGCTGCTGGTGCTTCCAGTGTGAACCCAGCTTTCTGGATTTCTAAAAATCATTCACAATTCCTGAAAAGGGGGAAGTCTCTGGATTGTTGCTTTATCCAAGTTATCTCATCTGGTTCCTCTAAACCTAGATGGCTACATGTAAAAAGAGTAGCCTACATTATCATGTTAAAGTAAACGTATAATACTCTTTACATTTAAGCAACTAGGTTTAGTGGAAGCAAATGACATAACTTGGTCAAGTAAATTTTCTTTTTTAGAGTGTACAAGTACTGAGTCTCGCTTTTAAATTGGATTTAAGCAAGGGATTTCATCAACTATCTAGTAAATCACAAAAGCAATTTAGAAAGAGTGAATTTTTTCTTTACCAATTATGAGTCCAGTTGCAAACTCAGCCTCATCCTTCCTGGTAGCAGATGTTGATCTTACAGCTGTTCTCATCTCGTCTGGAGTTTCTTTTGTGCTGCAGATCCACAACCAAAATGAGACTTCACAGGAATCCCGCGTCTAACACACATCAGAGCCACACCCAGCTCTGATTTAACACCACGCAGCTAACAATCTGCCTGCAGAGAGTCCTGCGCTATAACTCAGCTGAGTTAATCGTTTTTCTCTCCAATCAATACAGCTCCTCTGACTGAGCCAGGATGTGCGGTGGTTGGCCTGCAGCGGGACCAAGACCCACTCTCCATGTGGGAACAGATCATTGACAGGAACTTAACTTAATAGCCTAAAACTGTGACAGGAACATGAAAAAGTAGGTCAGCAAAGTGCTGACCTACTAGACAAAAGGGATTATTTCATGTTCATGGTGCAAATTGAACTTAAGAGATTCATTCTTCTTACTGCGACTTTAAGATCCCATCGGTGTTGCTTGGATCATGTGGTGCTGAGGTCTTTATCTCCTCCAAGTCCTGCACAGCTCTGCATTTAAAGCTGAGAAAACAAAAGAGCTCTGAGATGAAAATAAACCAACCGGCACCACTTTCTGGAGTTTTAAATGATCCTAGAAAGACCTGTTCATTCTGGGTTTCCTTGTTTTCTTCTTCTTCTTGTGCTCCTTATCATGCCTCCTCCTATATCTGAAATCAAAGTCCTCCTCATCTTCTTCTGAGCTTGTTTCCTCATTAAGCTTTTCTGACTTACGGAGTTGCCATCTCCTTTGTCTTCTACAACATCCTCCTTCAGTCAGAGTGGCAGCATCTCTACAGGATGCAGATTGCTCCTTGTGAAGAGGTGGAGGAGGTGAGTTTGTTTGAGTACTGAGGAAGGGCGAAGGAGAGCCTTGCGAAGCCTGGTTAGGGATAATGTAGGGAAAATAATCAGTTTGAAGAAGTTTTTAACACATTTTGTGGCAGAAAGGCTGAAAACATGTTTTTCGCCTTTGAGGAGATCGGAGGTGTTCCTCTCTTGGACCTTCTCTTCTGAGCTTGCTCCTGGAGGAAGATGTTGTATTCTTTTTTCCTCTCTTCTCGTAGTCTGCCCTGTGAGAGAGTCACACATGTAACTAAATTTTTAAAATGTGCATGTGCACACAAAACATGCACACACACCTTTATTGATGCTCTCTCGTTGATGGGTAAGGAAAGACCCTGGTGCTCCAGCACCTGGGGCTCACAATTTCTGAAATTATATATCTAGAAGAAGAACAGTGCGGATGATGAAATGGTAAAAAAAAAAAAAAAGATGGTGACTCTAAAGCTGTTTTAAGATTTCTTTACATTTTTGAGTACATCACCAGACCTTAGCAACACAATCTTTGTTGTCCAGTTGCAGCTCCTGTAGAAGTTTCTGCTTGTTTTTTTCATAATCACTTCCCAGCCGCAAACTCATGTCCAAACCTGACAAATAAAATACTTTAAAACACTAAAACCCCACCCCCCAAAAAATGCTCTGCGTTACCTCTGTCTGGGTGCGATGCAGGCGCTGTTGATGCTGGACTCATACTAAAGTCTCATTTACTGAACATCATTATTCCTTGGTTGGAAAAGAAATCCACACAGCAAAATTACTGATTTGTTCATTACCTGAGGTGATTTGAAAGTATAGATGTTTACTCACCCAGCTGCTGCGTGGCATTTTAAGGTGCCTTTTCTGTGTTTTGCTCCTTTAAGATCTTCCCATCTTACCATTGACCTACATAAGTATATCAGAAGTATAGAAGGTCCAAATTATTCTAAACTTGCAACCATGGAAGGAAAGACGCTAATATGTTTTATCCGCATCTAAAACCCAAACAAACGCTCATCCGGAAGCACTGCATAAAGTGCGTTGCTAGGGGCAACCATGACACAAAAGATAACCCCAGGAGGCTAACTAACGCTGCTAATACAAAATTGTAAACAAATGTGTCACGCATATAGTCTGAAATTAATTTAGAATTTATTATTTTACTTTTTTACACCCGTGAACACGTTTTATTTAAACCGCAAGTTTACTCACAGCTAAGCTAATAGTAAATATTTTTAGGAGCTGGTTTATATTTAATACATTTCCTGAAATATTTAACAGTAGTTCGGGTTATTTTAATTAATGAACTGACGCAGTTTCTAAAGAAGCGTGAAGAAAAAAAGGGTGTCAGAAACAAACCTGCACATACAAAATCCGCCGCTAGATGTCAGTGCGTCATTAAGTGACTCAACAATAGACCTAACTCTCTGTGGGTGAAACCATCTCTCAGAGGGGTGTTTACACTTACACAAACTGTAACTAAATACCTAAAATCCGCTTTGTTACATATTTAATTTCCACACATGATACAGTATCAATCTTGAAATTATGTACAATGTTTTAAAATGTTCAAGAAAGGATTCAGTTTAAATATTGCAACCAAAGGAAACGTCAAACCTGGGAATTGGTATTGTTCACTGTCATGGCTTCCTGAGCGAGCGGTTGTTGGGGCCTAAATCATCTACGCTGAAATATCGCTTTTCTTCGTTCATTTGACTGGGAATTTAAGGGCTTAAATACTGTTTTTTATTATTATAATTATTTTAGCCCGATTAAATCATGATGACCGGCAACAGCACGGCTCAGAAAACATGGGAGCTGTCTAACAGAATGCAGGAAGTCCAGAGCATCGATGAAATTTACAAATATGACAAAAAGCAACAACAAGAAATCCTCGCTGCGAAGCCATGGACAAAGGAGTGGGTTAAATACGGAAACGAATGATGAATTTTCAAACACTTAGTCTTCTGTTGTGATATTTAGGTGTACTTAAAGCAATAGTTCGTTTTTTAGTTATGCCTCTTGTTTGTTTATTAACTGTGCTTCTTCTAACTCCCTCAGTCACCACTACTTCAAATACTGCAAGATCTCAGCTCTGGCCCTGTTAAAGATGGTGATGCACGCCAGGTCTGGTGGAAACCTGGAGGTGATGGGTCTCATGCTGGGAAAGGTGGATGGAGAAACCATGATCATCATGGACAGCTTTGCTCTGCCAGTGGAGGGGACAGAGACCAGAGTCAACGCGCAGGCTGCAGCTTATGAATACATGGCTGCCTACATAGAAAATGCCAAACAGGTAAAATCAAAGCCTGCATGTTGCTTCCTGTGGCGATACACTTCATTTTACATGGGTATAGACATTTTAGAATATTTTTAATTGTGTTTTAACGATACAATGTTAGATTTACCTGTAGCTGTCTTTATGGATCCACATGCAATCAGACGAGAATAAGCAAAGAACACACATGCAGTGGTGCTCTCAGAAAGGTTTTAATGGGGGGCCAGTGAAAATTTTGGGGCAGCACACCCCATTAGTGGAGTTTATCCTGTTGCCATTGAATGCTCCTTCACCTAAAATCTGTTAGTTTCGTTGACAAAATAGTTTTAGGGTTGTTATTTTTGTGACAAGTTAATTTTTGTGAACAAAAACTAAAATGTATTACTTCTATAAAGACTAAATTATGACTAACATTGATTGACGCATTACTTGATGAATAAGATGACAACAAAATTTGACTGTAACTAGGGCTGCAACAACAAATCGATAAAAATCGATGAAGAACTGCATTGGCAAGCATGGCCAAAAATGTATTTAGAATTCAGTAGTTTTATAAAACAGGTAACATAAAAACTCAAGCAGGTAACTTTCAGAATGTTCCTTTGGGGCGTTTTAAAGCATCTACCACACACACACAGACACACACACACACATTCATAATAACCATGTGCCATTGTTATTTAGGGTGGTCGCTTTCTTTTATCTGACTAGAAATAAATTTACAGGAAGTTGTTAGTGACATTTAACCTTTATTCTTTTTTATTTAAAAAGAATAACAACAATTAATTATTTATAATGACATTTTTATCATAACTCGACTAATTCCCAGGAATCTATCGAAGGCAACAGGCGTGTGTAAATTAAAAATGTTTTTCTAATAAACAAGTTGGCTCCTTTGTTTAATTAGCAATGGACCGATATGAAATTTTTGGGCCGATACCGATAATAATAATATCACTGTTATGGCCGATAACCAAACGTCGATACCGATATACTGAAATTAATGCTTCTGAAATCAGCAGAATTTGTATAGTCTGAAAATTATTAAAGCTGAATTTATGTTATTATGTACACACAACACACACATTTATGCTTCTGAGATGATTACAACCACTGTCACATGACTAAACAAACACACATCATCCCCCTCACCCTCTGAAACAGATAAACAAGTGGAAACAAGATGGAAAAAATATCAGTTGTTAATATTGGCCTGGTTTTATTTATCGGACGATAACGATATGTTAAAAAATGACTAACATCGGCTGATATTGATGCCAATATGTTGTGCATCCCTAATGTCAACAATTAGATTTAAAACAATATTACTGCTTATTTCTATTTGTATTTGGCAGAATGTTAATTATGAGTGTGAGTGCAATTGTACAGAAGCTCTACGATGCACATTACAAATGCATTGTGTTGGAGTTGGAGCTGGGTGCTGAATTGCTCTGTGTTTTTGCCGTGGTGAATTTCATGCTGGAGTAATAAAACAAAACGTGTGCATCAACTGTTTCTACTACTCCACTAGGGTGTGATAAATGATTTATTTTTCCCTTTTTCCATCGTTTTGAACCGTTTTTTAGGATAAAACTGTTGTTTCTCTAGAAATAATCTTCAATTTGAAACAGTTTGGAGTATTATATTAACTAGTAGGGAAGCAGTCCTTTTATAAAAATGTTTGTGTCGTATTAAATCTGTACCATCGGTCTCATCTGGTAGGTTGGTCGGTTGGAGAACGCCATTGGCTGGTACCACAGTCACCCCGGCTACGGATGCTGGCTCTCCGGCATCGACGTCAGCACTCAGATGCTCAACCAGCAGTTTCAGGAACCTTTTGTTGCAGTTGTGGTGAGGCAGGAAACGCCACTTTTTTGTTTCTTCAAACAAATAAACATGAATGTTTATGTCACTGAGAAGATGTATGAGTTGTAGCTTTCTGTGTTGTGTTGATGCAAACATGGACACTTCATTTGGTGCAGCGGCTCTTGGCTGCCAGCGGCATCACATAATTAAGTGTGTGTGTTCTGTGCTGTGACAGCTCCGGTGGTCAGGTTTGAGTGGTCCCCGGAGGCTTTCGTGACCTCTGACCCTGTTTTCCTGCTCTACTGTATCTCTCTCTCCACAGATCGACCCAACCCGGACTATTTCCGCAGGGAAAGTCAACCTCGGTGCCTTTAGAACATACCCAAAGGTAGAGGAAAAGAGTCGGGCAAATTATGTGTTTAACGTTTTTGGGACACAAAACACGGGTGTGCTGTTACAATAAGTTTCAATTAATGCTAATCGTTTTAAATTTAAATCTGTTCACTTTGGTTTTTAATTTAAAAAGTATTTTCTCTTCACTTTCAGGGTTACAAGCCTCCAGACGAGGGACCGTCAGAGTACCAGACAATTCCTCTGAACAAGATTGAAGATTTTGGCGTCCACTGTAAACAGTGAGGAGCTGTAGAATAAAATCATTGCATTAAGGTCACTTTAACTTTGTGAAACTCCTTATTATTTATTTCTTTTGTAGGTATTACGCCTTGGAGGTAACCTACTTTAAGTCATCCCTTGACAGAAAACTCCTGGAGCTCCTCTGGAACAAATACTGGGTTAATACCTTAAGTTCCTCCAGCCTCCTGACGGTATGTAAACAAGCTCAAAAATCAAAATGTGCACTAATTGTTTGGCATTTTGATTTATGGTTAATTATTACACTATAACTCATTCAGACATGCGCTCAGCAGCTTGAGATGTTGTGATTTATTGCTGCAGAATAGCTAAGCCTCCTTGTTTATTAGTGTTAGTAATAAGCTTAATGTGGACTTTTGTAACGAAGATGAGTAGGAAAGTTAGGCGCTCTCCCGAGACTGATGTGAATTTGCATGGTGGCTCTGTCCTGAACGGGAATAAATATGTCAGGCTTGAACAAACGGTGAGTTTTGGGGGATTCTGGGTGAGGATGAATTGACTAGATGTCAGGAACGAGCTGCTCCACGGGCGACAGGCTTTGTCAGGAGCTATAGTCACCCTGCAAGGTCCCCGTGTCACTATTAAACGCAGCCTCACCTTAAGTCAACATTTCAGTCATTCACCACCAAAGTGTCCCAGCAGCCTGTCGGACAGATTTGTTAGCCTCCTGCAAAAAAAAAAAAATCCTATGTAGAAAAATCTTTTGCTGGCAAATTGTGCATGAATTGGTGTGTGTGTGTGTGTGTGTGTGTGTGTGTGTGTGTGTGTGTGTGTGTGTGTGTGTGTGTGTGTGTGTGTGTGTGTGTGTGTGTGTGTGTGTGTGTGTGTGTGTGTGTGTGTGTGTGTGTGTGTGTGTGTGTGTGTGTGTGTGCGTGCGTGCGTGCGTGCGTGCGTGCGTGCGCGCGCGTGTGTGTGTGATGATCAGAACTCGGACTACACCACAGGCCAGGTGTTTGACCTGTCGGAGAAGCTGGAGCAGTCCGAGGCCCAGCTTGGCAGAGGCAGCTTCATGCTCGGCTTAGACACACACGACAGGAAGTCCGAGGACAAACTGGCCAAAGCGACACGAGACAGGTAGCTGGATAGGGCTAGACAGTTCAAATCAAATGTTAACTAGTTTATTTTGTCATCACATGGATCATTTAAATGGGCTCTTCAAGGTTCGTGGTTCATAGGATCACATTGATTGATTTTATTATTTTAACTGTGACTTCTGGCATTAGTCCACTGAAGTCTTTTTCACAGAATGACATAAAATCTGTTATTTACTTTTGTAAACTTTCAGATTTTAATTAAAGCCCTTTTTAGGCTTATTAATATTATCTATTATTTATGAACCATTTAAGTCACAATTCTGATTAAATCAACAGTTCAATTTTTTCTAATTCTAGACAAAAATCAGTTTTTGAAGCAAATGGTTTTTTATTTATATTGGGCCATACTCAGATTAAAAATATGCATTTGACACTTAATTAAATTAAGCACATAATTCAGATTTTTCATTAGAACTGTATTATTGTCTAATGTACCTTTCTTTATTTTTGTGTCAAAAATTTGTTTCTTTGCTTTTTTCCACAGAATTAATTATCAACAAAATATCAGGAGAAAAATACAGACTTTAAAATTCAAAACAAACTTTACTGAAGCTCTGTTTTGTCTTTATAATGTTTTCTAACACCAGCAGAGATGTTTTATCTCTGTGTCGCACTAATTTTTTGTTTTTCTGTTTCTTTTTAGCTGCAAGACGACCATAGAGGCGATTCACGGTCTGATGTCTCAAGTCATAAAGGATAAGCTCTTTAATCAGATCAACACTTCCTCCAATTAAAGCTCCACCCGGAGCCAATGTGTTAGTTTTACATGGGATGTCTTTACTGTGCATGCATCCACTGTTTAACTCTGCACCATTTCTCTTTGAAGTGATTTTTGTTTGTCCGAGAAGTGGCCAAGATCGCGACAATGCAAGCAAAAAATAAAATATTAAGTGCAGATTGTGTCAGTGATTCATAATTTTTATTTGTTCATATGGTTTTTTTTTGTTGTTGCAGGCTCAGCTCACTATCCAAAATGAATTAGATGGATTTTATTATTGTTTCTTTATAAGATTTTGCCTTTGAACAGTTATTTTTCCTCACATTTCTCTGCAGCTGAACATTTAAATAACACACTGTGGTCACATTTATGTCCTAGCCCTGCTGCAGGCGATCATTGCTTGTCATAGCATTACATAGTGGAACAACAAACTCAACCTCCTGCACAGGCTCAGCGGGAATCTGCTGCCATGAGTGGGTTGTCGCTGGCGTCACTTTCCCGTGCAGCTCGGCGGGCGGCGTGCTGGCAGAGTGGTTGGGGAGGCAGGTTGCTGCGAGGCTGTGATGCAGCACAGAGACAGAAGCCTCAGACACAGAAGTCCATTCACCCAACGTGTCTGCTCTCCATCGAAACAGACACTCACCGAGTCTGCCTTTTATTCTAACTGACAGCTGCTCTGGTCTGGCTTTGTGTCATGTCTTGTTTTTTTGGTATTGTAATGGCTAAACGTATATTTTTGGTGTCATGTCCTGCAGAGTAGAGAATCCCTGTGGGACCGGTTACATGCCTGTGTTTTCTCACGCACATGGGCCTTTGGCACCAATTCTTATAATGATTTTCTTCTACCATTATAGGAAATGTCGTAAAAATGGAGCGGTTTCAATTTAATTCTGCAGAAGTGAGAAATAATTTAAATATAGAAATAGTTTTAAAGGCAATCTAGTGAAAAGCTTGTGTTTTTGCCAGATATCTAAAGTAATTTCATGGCAGAGAGTCACCCTTTTGAATAACTATGTGAAACATGCACAGCTGAAAGATTTGCTTAATGTTTAAGTGTTTCATGGGGATTTTACATTTGTTGGAACACATTGAACTTGTTAAATATGGAAATTTGATTATCACCAGATGGAGTTTTGTGTGTGTGTGTGTGTGTGTGATTTCGCCAGATGGAGTTGTGTGTGTGTGTGTGATTTAAGTTTGTAATAAGAAAATATATGTACATCTTAATCAAGTCCAAGTTTGTGCAGCCAGAAAAAACATTACCCTTATTTTCTGTTTGCTTTTTAGCACAATTTTAAAACCTTAAAGCACGCTCATTACTGTAAGCAGTAAAAACAAGATTTGGCTCCAGCTATTTTGGGTTTAATGACTTTTTAATCTATAAAGCTCAAATTTCCAGCTTAGATTAGTCAGTATTTATTAGGACAGTCAAAATAGCATGTTTTTAATTGTTCTTCAATTTTTTCTTTATTACGGAGGCAAATTTATTATAATCTTTGATTTTTTTTTTGCTCAAATTTTAAAATGTTCTGACTTTTAAAAATTGTTCATTTAAAAAAAATTTAATTAGTTTTGTTTCCCAAGTGGGAAAGGATCAGCTAATGCATAAATAAAAGCTGAAAAAAACCCAGAAAGTCTGAAGAAGTAAGTAAATAAAGCCACTTTAAAATAGCCCAAGAAGGCTTGACATGATTTATTTTTGTTATAAAAAATTTACTAATATTTTTTCTAATAAATGTTTATATATTTCTCTTGCCTAAATATTGAAATAGTTTGTAATAACAGTTAATTAAAAATTTTTTAATCAATTTACTCATCAATTCTTTGTTTACAACTTCCGCCTGGACAAAACTTGACCGCTGCGTTGCTTACGTAGTTTCCATAGCAACCGCGTGATAACCTGTAACAAAAGTGTCTCAAACTTACCGTTTGTCTTACTGCCTTTTAAACAGCTAGTTGGTTCGCTGGCACTTAAGACCTCTCCGTTGATCTCGAAAGGTAGAATAAGTTGTTTTTGTTTTATAAACATTAACTATTTTAAAGAGAATTTTTACGTAGTAAGCTAACAGCTAATCGGGGAGCTGTGAGCTTGCTTTGAGTTTGAGGCTGTTTTTATTTACGAATTCGCAGCAGCTAACATCTCTAATGTTCTACAACCGGATACTTTACTTTATTTCACGGTGATGAACTGCTTGTTATCAATATATTGATGTCTGTGGTTTTACTGATAGTGCCCTGGGGTGTAGGAGTTTGATTGCTTCTGTCTATAAATCAGCCTCAGTTTATCGATCAGTGACACTTCGCTCCTTTGAGCTGGTCCTGATAAGTTTTGTTTTCATGTCAATATAATGGTGCAAAAACGAGTTTTAGAAAACAAATGACAAAAATAATGCGGATAATCATTTTAGTCAAGTTTTCATTTGTGTTTTTAATTTAGGAAAATTCTGTTCATGCCTCATTGGAATTAATATATCTTTTAAATTTAATAAATAAACATCTATTTTTTTTCATAGTTTTATTTGTCTCTGGAAGACCAAATGGCCCTTTCCCTGACTCCTTGAGCTCTTGGGCCCGTGCCTTAAGGCTGATTCAGTAATCCGTCTCAAACTACACACACTGACAGCTGTTTATTTAGCAGGTGGAAAGGTGATATATAGCCAAGCATATTATATAAGCAACATAAAATCAAAGCGCAAAACTTAATACCTTGGTGTAAGGTCAAGCTCATAAAAAAGCCCCTTGGGAGTGGAGTATCAGGAAGCAGAGGAAGCTCTGCTCCGACTGAGTGGAGAAATGATCACCCTAATTACAACACAAATGGAGTTGAAGTTTACCCTCAACATTTGTTTTCCTTTGGATTGTTTTTAAGATTGAGTTTAAGATTAAAGTTGAAATCTAAACAATGTATCTGTTAATGTGAGTGCAAATATTGCTACCAAAGAGTAATTAGGAGGAATTCATCTTTGTGTTATTTCAGCTAATGTGGGTCTGTTTACAGCTCACGTGTGTGCCGTGCTCTGAGTGACTGCTTCAGTCCCTGAAGCCGAGCTCACGTCGAGCCAACATGGTGCGTCTGACCATAGATCTGATAGAGAAGTCTAAAAGCTACTTCAAAAAGAAAAGAGGCCTCTCGTTCCCAAAGTACCTCAAGACCCTCACCCATCTCCACTTTTTCAGCAAAAATATTGATGAAATTGTAAGTAAACTAACTTTGTCTCTCCTCATTTGTTTCCCAATTAAATCATTTGAATGTCATTTTAGGGTGACGTCTCCATGTGCACGAACCTCACTGTTCTCTACCTGTACGATAATAAGATAACAAATATTTGCAACCTCGACTTTGCCTCCAAACTCACCCATTTGTTTTTACAAGACAACAACATCTCTAGCCTAGATAATCTCCAAAATCTGAAGAGACTCTCCAATCTGTGAGTAGAACGTTTTAACAAACTCATTTTTCGTGTTTAAAGATTGTGCGTGAGCATGTTTCCTGCTCTTTAGGTACCTGGGTGGGAACAGGATTACTCTGGTGGAGGGTTTGGAGGAGCTCCATGAGCTCACGGAGCTTCATCTGGAGGATCAGAGGCTGGCTTCAGGGGAGAAGTTGCTCTTTGACCCCAGGACTCTCCTCTCACTCGCTGTATGACCTACATTTTACACTGCTGAGTACAGAAATTGCACTTATAATGTTCCACATACTTTTGTAGATCTTTCTTTTTGTGTGTTTTTACATTTGTTGCATTAGCTTGATTTATTTTAAAGAGCGAGTACTTTTAACGATCGTTCACTAAAAGTGAAAATCACCCTCTACTCCTATTTTTTTCATTAGTCGCCGATACAAAAAAGATGGGTAAAGATCTATGTCACACTGAAAATTAGCATTTATGGACTCACCAATCTTGGCAGAGTCCAGGAGAGAGCAGAGCACATCTCAGCTAGTAGAAGCTAACTGTTAGCATTAGCAACTCTGCAACATGGTTGAACACATTCAGGCTTGAGCTATTTGTGGAGGTAAAACATCAGTGTGGCAGAGTGAATGAAAAAGTGAGTTGCTGTCAGCCAATCAGAGCCCAGATGTTCGAATATCATGAATAATAATGAGCAAGATTTCAAATCCTGCAGTTTTCTGTCCCCCTCTCCTCCGACTAACTTCTAGTTCCTGAAACAGGGTTGCCAGAGCTTTTTGTTTCCACAGAAATCTACTCACAGGGTCATTCTTTTATACAAGACTTGGTCTTTAATGTTTCTGTAAAGGCAATGTGCAGGGGCTGACCTCTGTAGCTCTCTGTAGTTTGTCAAATCAGATTTGTTTACTCTGTTTATAGCTTAAGCTAGAGGTAAACAAGTCTCAGCTCCTTGTTTGTTTGGCTAAATTAAAGAAATAGCTGGCCAAATGAAACAAGTCAGCACTTTCTTTTTATTAATGTGCTATTATGGAGCTTCGAAACGTTTTTAAAAAACCAACAGAAGAATAAATTGTGTTTATATTTATTTTAGACAAAACAATCATGCAATTTGATTAAATTAAAACTCTGCTTTTACAATTAAAGCCTCTGTATTTTCATCATACACTGCAAAAACCGATTTTCAATAAAGTAGAAAAAGCGTTGTTTTTAGACATTTTATCTTCTTTTAGAAAAAATTCTTGTCTGCAAAAACAGCACCGTTAGAAATAGACGCTCCCTCAGCGGGACGTTTTGGTGCCACAACAGCAATTAAATTCATTAAAGAAGTAAAAAAGAAGAGTAAAAGATAATAAAAAGTATATTTATGAGGTAAATATTCTTAAAAATGATCAAATTTTCTTGTTTTGAGTAAATATTTAAAAAGAAATCTAACATTAGAATAATTTGCTACTTTAATTATTCTAGCCAAGCAACTGTTTTTACCCCATTGACAAATTTGTACTGAAAAACTAAATTTGTTGTCATATTTAAGAATATTTACCTTCTTTCAAGCAGTGTTGTTTCTCCAGATAAGATTTCTTTCTTTTGAGAATAAAAATGAGGCGAATTCTTTTTTACTTTATTGAAAATCGGCGTATAATCATAAGATTTGACATTTACGGTACTTATATTACAATATTTGTGGTTTTTGTTATTTCTCCTGTTATTTTAGCTCCTGTTTTTGTTCACTCTGGTGATTTTTGTGTGTACAGGAATCTCTTTGTGTCCTGAATATTAATAACAACAACGTCGATGATATCAGGAACCTGTCTGTGCTGAAGAAGCTCCGCCATTTTTCTGCAGCAGATAATAAATTGCACAGCATTGGGGTAAGTAAAAAAAAATTAGTGCTAATAAAAAGTTTTTCCAGTCGTGCACATTGTGAGGTGAGTGCAGTAAGTCTGCATGACACGGCGGATTAAAATCAACATGCCATCCATTAGCTGATGAGGTCAACGTGAGCACGGCTCTGCAGCGGTGTGTGAAATGATATGGAGGACGGGGTTGAAAGGAATTAAATCCTGCAAATCCTGCCATGAGTTCCCAGTCTCCACGACTCACACAAGGTCAGAATTATTCAACAAATCAGCGAGCTGCTCCCCTGAGACGTTTCTCACCGACAGCTTTAAGCAAGCACAAGTTTCTCTGTTTCCTTGGGAGGCTGATGTTTCTCCCTGCTTCAGAATCCTGTTTGATATCTTAAACCAGCAGAATATCGCTTAGACGAAGGTTGGTCTCAATAGCGTCCGCTTGAAGAGTCTGATGATTTGATTTTTACTTTGTGATCCAGGTAATTGTTGTCACTTTAAGCAGATCTCCCAAATAATTTATACAACCCCGTCTGCCACTATTGATTCCACAAAGACAGCTCTATGAAGGGTCGATTTCTCCGTTGCACCATTCGGTGAAAATCCCGAGGAGACATTATGGATTATTTAAAATAGATTATGACAGGCAGTCAGCCGGGGTGACAAATGGGGAGCATCTTTGGAGGCTGTTAGCTGCACATGGGGCAGAGAGGACAGAGGAATCGAAGCCGTGGTCAAACGCAGGCCTGTCATTAGCTCAGCCCACAGTCAGCCAGCGCGTTTCAGTGAGAATCCAGCCGCTGCTGGTCTCCACGCCCCCGCGTGGGGGGCAATTTGGCGTAGGGCTCCTCTTCAGCGAGGGCCTTCTGAGTGACGGCCCTGACACGATCATTTATCAAAGCCTGGGAGCGCGCGGTGCTCAGGGGTCCCCTCTGAACTGATTGCGGCTGGAGCTGGAAAAGTGGAAGCGCTTTGGCCAAGACAGGAAGGCAATGAACAATCAGAGCGTGTCCAGAGAGTATTCATATTTCCAGGCTTGGATTAATGTGCCTTTAGATAAACATACAACTAGAGGCAAGTGGCTGGAGGAGCCAGCCTCACGCTGCCCCAGGAGAAAACTTGTAGTTACATGACACCGGCGACACTGTTTATTAAAACAGACTGATGTGTTGTTTACCTTCTGCCGGCCCTTTACCCTGTCTTCACAGGTTTGTTCCAAGCTTGCCTCTAATTATTATTCATGCAGCAAATGTGCAACACTTTAGTTCAGGATGGAGACACGTTTAAATCAGTAGCAGTTCAAATGAAACAAGTTTTCTGTGTGTGTTTTTGCAGGAGTTGGAGGCTGTGTGTAGCCTCTGGCCTGAGCTGCTCCAGATGGATCTGAATGGAAATCCTGTTTGTAAAAAACTAAAGTACAGAGACCGCCTCACAGTTTCATGCAAAAAACTTGGTAAATTTGAAGATAACAGACTTCAAAGCTTTATTCTTCTCTGGTTCATAGCCAAAAGTCACAATAATAAAAGTTTTATAAAATCTTATTTAATCTATTTTAATTTTCTAGAGACCCTTGATGGAAAGGAAATAAAAGAGGTAACCCGACAGTTCCTTAACAACTGGAAAGCAGCAAAAGATGCCAAGAGGAAAGGAATAGTCACTCAAATACCATCTGGGTCATTAATAGCTCTTCCTCTAGACAGTAAGTCATTAACATTTGTATCTTATTACATTAATTTAATCATTATTGATCACATTACAATTTAAAACCTGTTAATTTTTTATGCCAGATTTAGATTTTTTTTCTCTAGAGTATGTAAAACTAACCTATTGCATCCTTTTGTGCTGCCATGTGGGTCTCTGCTGTTTCTATAAAAACTCCAAATGTGAAAAATATCCACCCATCCTTTTTCTGTCAGTGTTTGGTTTTAGAAACGATGTGCCTAAAACAAGCCGTTTCAAAAAGTCCGTGTTTGTGATGTCACAAAAGGGGAATTAGAATACAAACACCTCTGACATGCAAGAGAGAGCTGCTGCTGGAGGAGCAGCGACTCTACTCCAAGCTTCAGATGTCAGAGCTTCTCAGCTTATAGCAGCCAATCAGGGGGTGGGTGGGTGTGGCCAGCTCCAGGTAGTTTTCTGAAAGGGACAGAGCCCTGAAACAGCTCATTCTGGGAGGTACTTAAAATGTCAAGAATAAAACTTCAGAAATTTATTTACATGAGAGGGATTTAGTGCTTCATAAACATTTTTCGTAGAACATTGAACTGTAACAACTTCATAAAAAAGTCACAAAATTCTTGTTCATGTAGAAAAACAAAGTTTTAGATTAATCGTAATGAATTAATCTGTAAAGATTTTTCTTATTGTCTTTCATGCATTTAGGCACATTGTCCTCTGTATATATGGCTTTGTTTACGTTGCAGATGACTTTAACAAGGGACATTGTCCACTTCCTGGTCACATCTACTGCCATAACACGCCAGGGTGGGAGCCACATCTGTCTCTCAGGTCCAGTACTAGCCTTGCTGGGCTTTTGTTCTTATTTGCTTAAAAAGCAGATACTAAAATAATCTTGTGTGATGAGATAACTTTATATTCATAGGTGTATATATGCAGGACGTATAGGCTATGAGACTAAATATTTATATTTTTAATAATTTCAAGGCACCAATTTCATCCTTCTGTCATTTCCACCTTAACTTATCTTAGAAATCTCTTTAAAATCATATTTATGAGTAATAATTTTATTCTAATGCTGGAATAAACACAAGTCTCTGGCTGCTTATAACTAATTATAAAGGTCTTTTTTTGCTCTCTGCTCATGCAGGACACAGAAATTAAAGTTTCCCGTGAGCAGATTCAGTCATCTGTCCATCTCACCAGCCATCTGCAGCCTAGAGGACATCTGAGACAAACCTGTCTTCCCTTGAAATGTCTTCACACACAAATCAACCGGATTCTGGGACTATAATGTACATTCTTGATGTTTCCTCCTTAAAGCAGATCATTTGTTATAGCTGCAAAAACAATGAAGTGGTGTGGAAAATGTTGTAATGATTCGATTTCATGAAGTTTTTCCAACTAAAATAATAAATAAAACAAATATCCCTTCTAATCTGGTTTATCTTTATCTTTTTTTTTTTTTTTTTTTTTTTTTGCTTTCTGCAGAATTAAATCATGCATTTTCACAGAAAGTGCTACATGATGTGATTTTTCTTCTGAGTAAGATGCAGAGAGGCACAATCTAAATGATCCCTCTGAGCCTTTATTACAAGTCTTTACATTATCCAAAGCTCTTATCCAAACAGCTGTAATAAACCACTCAGGAACATTACTCCCGTATTCATCATGAGCGATACTTGACCACCCTATAATAATCGGGATAATTAAGGAATCAAGCTTACTTAACCTCCTTTAACTTCAGCTGTTTTAATTAGTTGCCCGGGGCAACGCTGTTACTCCATCCTTACAAAAACAATGTTTACAAAGAGCGGTCTGAGAATATGAATAATTCCTTTCATTAATTCACCGACATCTCCGTTTGGAGCCACAAAAATCAGAATGATTAATTTATGAGTCTCGCAAGAATTTCCTAAATGCCTGCCTGTTGATTGCAGCTCCCGAGTTTATTTATTAGCTGCTCCAATCACCTCGCAACTTGAAGCACGCCGGCAATTCTTCAAGTGTTTTGCGTATCATCTTACGCATGTCACTTTGTTTGCACTCACAGCTGCAGATAGCTCTTTTTTTCTACTTTTTAAAAGTAATTTCTACTAATTCCTTTCTGTTGAAACGTTTTATATGTTTTTTGAAAAAAAGAAAGAAAAAAAGAAAGCCTAGTACAGGATCAAGTTCTTAGCCAATTAGATGAGACGTGGCCGTCGGACTTGGAGAGAGGGGAGTCCTGACTGGTGGAAAACGAGCCTCCTCAGACACAAACACACTGATCTCCTGTGAGAGAGTCATTAATTACGTCTGAGTGAAAAACTTGTCTACAGCTTCGTGTGTCCAATAAACGAAGCTCTCCGGAGACTTTTACGCACACATGTGAGGCGTTTTGGATGCGCGTAAAGAGGAGGCTGCTGCGCTACCCACCACTCCTGCACACACGCGCGCTGGACCCGAACCTGGACTTCACACTGAGGAGTAACGTCTCTGTCCTAATCACTGTTTAAACTGTCTTCATGTTGTTTATCAAGACGTCTTCTTGGAGAGACACAAGAGGTAAACTGTAATACTTTTATTCTCGGGTAATGAGTCTGTGTGCAATCAGCGCAGCTGGGTTTTTTCTTGTTTTATTTATGAAGTTAGGAAATCTAGACTTGTGTTTAAATTATATCATAAAGAATAAGCTGAAGGCCTGCAGTTTAATACAAGTTACAGATTACAATAAATAAAATAGGATTACATGTCAGTTATTATAACTTAAGTTTTATTTTGATGTGCGACATATGGCCAGTTTCAACAATAATGAATAAATAAATAAATACGTATTGAATCTCTAGGTTTGTAGGTGCACCCTTATGGTCGGAAGTCAACAAACATGGACAGCGGGAATTGTTCCGGGACGGTGGTGGACGACAGTCCGGCTTCCAGTCCGAGCTCCAGCCCCAGTCCGGACGGCCGTCACCGCGACCTTCACCGGGCCAGAACGCTCCAGAACGGCGGGCTCGGCGGCAGAGGGCGGCCGGCGGCAGCTAACGCGGCGCGGGAGAGGAGCAGAGTGCAGACGCTGAGGACCGCATTCCTGGAGCTCCAGAGGACTTTACCGTCTGTGCCCCCGGACACCAAGCTGTCCAAACTGGACGTCCTGATCCTGGCCACCACCTACATCGCCCATTTGACTCGAACTCTGCAGGAGGAAGGGACAGAGGAGGGAGAGAGCACTAAACAAACAGAAGCGTTACATTCTCTAAAAGGAGAAGGATACCTGCACCCAGTCAAGGTATTCTTGTTTTTGAAGTTATTTTTGATTTGTTTCATTCTAAAAATAAAATGTATGAAAAACTTTCAATTTGAAAAACAACAATATTAATGATACAGAAAGTAATCGATGAAAAACAGCAGTATTATGTTTAATTCATTTCTTTACAGAAATGGCCGATGCGATCCAGATTGTACGTTGGAGCAACCGGGCAGTTCCTGAATCCTCCTTCAGAATCAGAGAATCAAGGCCCATCAGCATCATCATCATCATCATCTCAGTAGATTTAAATCACATATTTATATTTGCATGACTGCAGAACAAAATCTAACTTCCATTGAAGCCCGACAATAGACAATGTATATTAATATATGACGTGAATGTGAATGTATAGGTTTTTGAAAGGAGGACGAAAACAGCATGTATTAGGTTTCTGTGTTATTATTTTGCCTTTTCCTAAATGTGCACTGTGCAGCTCCACACATGTCCCAAGTATGATATTTGCAGAACTTCCATGGAACCCGTCATGCTTGAGCGTGCACTTTGACCGCAGACTTTTGCACTAAATGCATGTGTGAATAACTTAACATCTGTCATGTGAAGTGGTCTGTCAGGAAGTCCACAATGGAAGCTCGTCATCTCATGTTCCCTCTTGTTCTTCTTCTTTTATGTGCATGGTTGTAAATGTTTGTGAATAAATCACTAGAATCAGAAACGTTTCCAACGTTTTAACGAACGATGTGACCTTTTATTATAGGTCCAATTAGGGGAAAATGTTAAAATACTTAGTCCCTATTATTATTATTATTATTATTATTATTATTATTATTATTATTATTATTATTATTATTATTATTATTATTATTATTACTACTACTATTTTTTATTCAAAATATTGTTAGGCATTTTAAGGTGATTACATTGGTTTTCCTTGAGTCTGAAACAGCTGAGCATTTTCGCTTATTAAGTTTTCAATCATAACAGGCAACGCATATCTAATAAATTACTAAGAATTTTGCATTAGAATTTAGATTGAACTGAAGAAATGTAAAAGGCTAAATGATAAAAACACATGAGATAATAAAATAAAAACAGTTTAGAAAATAAAGGTGGTTTATTTTGGAATACTACAGGAATATTACAACTCGCATAGAAATAAAAAATCATGCGCATTAGTTTTTACTATAATAAAGGCTGACGTATTTTTATTTGCAGTTTCAATTAAGCTTTCGGCCTCATCAACCTGATGCAGAGCTTTTAACTATTTTAAAAATAAACGAATTTGTCGCCGTTTACATGGATTAAATCCTTTTTAATGAAAACATTTTGCAATAGCTGAAAATCTTTCCAGAAAAATGTCACTGTGAAATAAATCATTTGAAACCACCGGTGAAAAGCGATAAAGAAAAAGCACCTTGTGCTACAAATTATGAAGGAAGCGCTACTTGTCCTGTGAAGCCAGCGTACACTGCGCAGCTCTGTTGCGCATGAGCGGAAGCAGTGAAGAAAAGCTCAGACGAGAAGTTGAACGTGATCTGTGTGGAGCTGTCGTGGCAGCCAGCAACCTCTCAACCTTAATGCGCAGGTGGGAACCACTGGAGTAACTGTGTGTTTGCGTTTTTAGTTTTAATGCGTTAAGAAATGTTGTTGGTTTCTAGTGTTGGAACTAGCCTGATTGTTAAGTTAGCACAAGGCTAGTTAGCATCGACACCACGTGTTCGTTCATGAGCAGCCGACCGCTCTGTTTCACACTAAATGAGTACCAAATGTGGACCTGCCCTTAATGTTTACTACATTAACGGAACGATGCGATGGTCCCAGCGGAGCAAAGTAAGACTTTATCCTTGAAATCCACCGTCCACGTGGACGTGGTGGCCTGGGAAGTCCACGTGGGCTTGGATGATGAACTGAAGCGTTTAATGTTTGTGTTCGTGGAACATGATCAGCAGGGTTATTGTAGAATGACGATCTTTAACTTGTTTTGAAAAAGAAAAGATAATGGAAACTTAATCCGTGCTAAATCCTCCTTGCTCCACCTCAGGCTAGCAACCAGGCTCTGCTGCTGGTATTTTCATTCATAATGGTCGTTAAGAAATCCAGATACGTTTTTGGCCGGGATCTAATTCTGTTAGTCTTTTAACCAGGCGTTTGCTCTTGGAGGCTGTTCATATTGCTCACCCTTTGAACAACCTTGGTTTAGAGAAATAGATTATCTCATAACTGGATTGATATTGGCTTTTAATGCCTCAAGATAAAACTCACAGATGCTTCACAAGGACAATGAAATAAAAAATGAAAAAGATTTAAAAAATATAAAGAAGACAGATGAATTTGTTTTTTATAAAAATATTGACCAGTGGAGCTTTCTGCCACTTTAAAACATTCTTAAATATTAGATTTATTTGGTAAGTAATTACATGGTTACTCATATAGATGTGCTGTTGCATTTTTGTGTAAAGATTAAGACATTTTGCATAAACTACACATTGAAGCTTAATTTTGAGACAGTAGCAACCTTATTTGTGGGTCATAGTTAGCATGTCTGCTAACTACATCAGGTTGAAATGCTAATGGTTAATAACCTTCCCACTGAACACCTCTGAAATGGGTGGATTATCCCATTAAGATGCTCTGACAGGGCTTAGGTTTAGTCCCCTGTCTCAATATGGACAGATCTTGTCCCTGTAGTACGACAATAAATCATCGTTTGTGACATTTGAACAGGGAAAAGTGTCCCCAGTGTCATTCAGCCGACTGCAGACTTGTTTATGTGTGATTTTAAGGAGAGGTCAGCAAAACTAATGCTGGCCAGGGAGTCACCTCGCAAGTGTTTCACTGGAGAAAGTCACTGTGCTGTGACCCGCACACACATCATACACACACACACACACAAAGGACATGGGGGGTCATTTCAAAGGTCATGACCTGCTGTTGAACCTGTCCTTAGATCTGTGGTGATGACTGTGTTTCCAAGCTGTGTTAAGCAGTACCCTTTGACCTCCAGGTGATCAGTCATCTAACCTCACTCTATTGGCTAATCATTCAGTATGTTTTCTCCATTCAAGCTCAAAATCAATGGCGTTGTGCTTGTTAGAGTAGTACAGGAGTAACACCAGTGCTGCTGATCTTACTGGGCAAAGTGCCGAGCTGGAATTGGTTAAGCCAGCTTCATAGTAAAATGTATTTCTTTAATTTCAGGTGCTGTGCGGTTCCTGCAGATGAGCACACGCCTCAGCTGTGTGGACGTTTAAGGTGAGCGGTCTGGTTTATCGTGGCTCTATTTTGATCTCAGCTGTTGCTGGAATAATGATGAGTTCACTCTTATGCCGTTTACCCGTCAGACACAAAGATGGTGACCCTGTGACGAACTGAAATGCTAGCGTAGTAGACTTTGTGTGGAAACTTGATGTGTGGATAATGGTAACTGCGGTGTAATTTTTTTTTTTGGGATCCAGATTTTCTGATGTGGTTTTGATGTCTGCTGCCCTGATAAGGAGGTGAGTGATTTTCTCTGCTGTGCATAAATGTTGCAGGAATAGCATGAGTTTTTATTCTCTCTGTACCAAAAGCAATAGTAACTGGTTAATTTGAAATTAATTCATACTTTCATGGATTTCTGGGATAAAGCCTAGTTTATGCTTCTGCGTCGGTACAGAGACATGCAACGCCATTATTCTTCATTCCTGGTGGGGAATTGCTTTGCGACACCCCCCAGGTGACAGACGTCCGAGGGCAAAACCTCTCAGTCAAAGCATGTGCGTCTCTCCCTCGTGGAGCTGACGCAGAAGCACAAACTAGGGTTAAGTCTACCTGTAGTAGTGTCAGGACTGTGTATTATTTAGAAGTGAGCTAGGATTGTGATGAGTTCACATTTTTGCCGTTTACCCGTCAGACAATGAAGTGGTGAAACTGTGACGACTGAATATCCGGCTGCGTTAATGAAACAAAATACAGACATTAGTTTATTAATGTTTGAGTTTAAATTTAATAAAAATGTTTATAATCTGCAGGTAGCGGCACGGCACGGCCATATCTGTGGCTGCTCCCCCTCATCTACGGTAAGTAAACTGTCTTTGTAGACGGGGGTCTTTAACATTTGTGGTGATGAGTTCACCTTTTCGCCGTTTACCCATCAGACTAAAACAGGCTGCTGAAAATGTGACTAACTGAACAAAACCTCAGCTTTATCGTTTAAATGACTAAATATTGTAATTTTTATTTATTGGATTATTTTTTTGTTCTTATTTTGACAGGGTTTTGGAGCCAGTTGAAAGAGGAAGGTTAGTATGAAATCTGTCAGTTTGGGTTACTATAATCCACATTTTTGTGTCTATTGTAAATTAATAATTTAGCAATAAAGAACAATCCTTCCTCTATCTATTGGTTGTTTTTGTCGTGTGAATCTGAATTAGCATCACTAATAAAATGTGATGCTTAAAAATGTTTAAAGCACATAAATCACATTTTAAGTAAATACAATTTGCAACAAAACTTGTGTTTTTATTTTATCTACCTTTCCTAACTGCAGAAGTGGTGTTACTCTTCTGTGATGTACGTGTCTGCTCCAGGTGCATAAGTGTAGATAAAGCGTAGGATATTCTGGTGCAGCTTGTCCAGGATTCTGTCTCTCTTGTGCAAACCGTCCACCTCTCTGACATCACAGGGAAACACGGCGTCGGGTGGAACAGCAAGAGCAGAGGCTCCTGGGAGAAGAAACGGTTAATCCTTGAAATTTGGTCAGAACAGTAATACAGCTAGGTGTTAGCATTTTTTGCAACTTGGTGTTTTTGCTAAGGAATAAAAAATGTACCGTGTCTGAGAGTGACGGAGTTCTCACACAGGAGCACAGCGATCACCGCATCCTCCTCCAGAACCCGACTTCTTAAGGACAACTTGCAGTGAGCCTCGGCCAAAGAGACCCTGTGACAAAATCCAAAAGCGGTAACGGCTCAGTACAAATGCAGATGTTAGGTAGATGGCTGTAGATTAAAAACCTGACATGTAATTTAGGCTTTAAGTAAAGCTGGAAAAGGGATTTTAAATTTGGTGTGTAACTGGGCCTGCCTGCTCACTGGAAACATGAGATTTAAAACTCGAAGCTCACGGTGGTGGAAGAGGTTTGTAAACGGTCATAATTCAGTGAAAAATGGTTGTGAAAACTTGATGCGAGTTGGTGCCATCTACTGGAGGATAATAGCATTACAGCAAGGGCAGGATGAGATGCTTACAGAAGTTTGATGGAAGCCGGAGAAATCTTAACAGCTTGATTCAGAGTGCGAGCTCGGCGGCTCGCCATGTAAAAACCATGAATCAGTTTCTCAGCTTCGGGGCTCAGCTCCACTTCCAGACCCCGACAATAAGCCACCAGCTGAAAGAAACAAATTGATTGGGACTGATGGGATTTTTCTTTTCTAAATTAAACGATATAACACAATTTGTTAATAAACCTCTCTGTAGTCTTCATTTGAAAAGTCCCAACTAGACGAGGGGGGCTGTTTTCTTGGCTGCACCGCCTGTAGGAGGGTGTGCACAGTCTGAGCGAGCAACGCCTGCTCCCCGACTCGATCTCCACAGTGAATGACGAGGCCGAAGGCTTCTGCTAGCTGAACTGGGACCGGACCCATCTCCTGCTCACAAGACAGAATTTAATGTCCTAGGATAGATTTGCCATCAAAAGAACACTGCTGCATGATATTCGTCCTTACTGCAGTCCCCAGAAGAGCAGAGTCCATCCTCTTGGAACAACAACAGGAGTCTGTGATGCCCCAGAAGCTGCACTGCACTGGTAGAGAAATCTGCTGATCAGCATCTTCGCCATACTTCTTCCCTGGGATGAACACGGACACAGAGTGGCTCTCCAGGACTGAAACACAAACAAAGATCTAACACTTTACATATTTATCACAGCAATTCTTTGTAGCAGACAGAAACATCTCCCAGTACCTGACTGAATGGAGTCCATCTTGTCCTTTTTGTAAAGACCCAGATCTCCCAACATGCAAATGCCTTCGGTGGCGAGTAACGCAGAACCAGCATGGATGTTAGCCGTCCCCGCTCCGTGTTCGTCTCGAGACAGATATGCAAACATCTCCCCTGAGGCTTGATGCCTGACCCCACGACACGCCAGGCTCAGGCTGTATGTCATTAGTCTTAACACACACACACACACATTGCAGCTATTACAAGAGTGTAATCCAGATGAACGTAATCCAGATGTATCTTTACCTGTCTAGTATGAGGGCATCAGTTGTCACAACCAGGAGGTCTACACTGTGAAACGTGTGGTTTGTGTCCGTCCTGGTCTGCACCAGGCTGAGCAGCAAACCCAGTTTCAGTGTGTCATATAAGCCAGGGGGAGCCAGGTCCAGTCCAAAGTGGTGAGCTACAACGGCAGAGAACCTCCAGGGAGAAGATGAGGAGCTCTTCCACAGCTCCTGGAATCCCGGAGACACTTTATGGCAACCTGTTGTGAAACAAAATAACATGCTAATCAGCACGCCTTTAGATAGAGCTGTGGTTATGATAGAGCAGGATTATTCCTGCCTTACACTTTGGCTCCCACAGTTGGACACTATTTGCCTCAACACTCCAGGTAAGGTTGGGCCACTGGTGAACAAGCACAGGAATGCCTATCACCCTGTAGAGGCAACCAATTCTCATGGAGCCACACAGCTCGTCTGCGAAGTGGAAACAAAGCAGCATTCCTTAGAGAGCCTTATTACAGAAACATGCCACTAACACGTCCCGCCAAGACGAACACAGCCAGGCTCTCTGAACAAAGATTTGTGTGTGTGCGCGCACGTGTGTGTGTGTGTGTGAATCACACGGCCAGCTAATGAGTGTTCCATGCACTTATTAACATATATGTTTAGTAACTGGAACCCGTTGGATTGAGTTCCTCCACAGGACTGGGTCAACAGTTGGTGCTGAGGTTTGTTTTGGTCCCAGGGGTCCAAGCAGGACAATGTTATTAGAGGGGACAGAAACAATGTCCTACCATCAGACAGAGCTAGTTGCTCAAAATGTACCTTTTGAGCTGCAGAATAAATCTCAATGAGATAATGGTGAACTTCACCAGACTGCAAATAGAAGCTTTTCTAACCACATGAATCAAGACTGGGAGAGTCTGGTTATATACGCAAATAATACACTTTCATGCTTTTAGGCTAAATCAGGGGTGTCAAACTCACACTGGACCGAAATTTAAATCTGGGACGAAGTTGCGGGCCAAACTTAATATTTTTTGAAAAAGTGACGGCAAATTTACACATTTTCTTTATCAACATATATGTAATTTTGAACCTTTTAATTTAGAAACAAACTTATTTTTGCATTAACGCTGAATGTGGAATAACCAAATTACACACGAGCAAGTCAATTTTAAATAAAACGCATCAGTGGTATTCATTACTTGTGGTATATTCAGGATTTTTAAAATCTATTCAGGATTTGTGTTTTCTTGTTGTTTTCATATTTATTTTTTATTCTCCTTTTTTTCTCCTGTATTAAGTGTCATCGCTGCTGTGACATAAAGCTTTCCCCACTGAGGAACAATAAAGGGATTTTCTATTCTATTCATCTATCTGCAGCCTTTCCACTTCCTGTTTACTGTAGGTTAAATATTTTCTCACAGGCCAACAACAAAATAAAGATATAATTTTATCTTAAATGAAAATGCAATATCTCACCTGTTAACTTTCATGTTTTGGAGCAGAAAAAGAGCATAAAACCAACATATTTAAAGCTCAGTTGGCGCATAAAACCAACATATTTAAAGCTTAGTTTGCTCCACTGATTTACTGTGATGCTCACCTGTTCCAGCCAGATACCTGCATCATGGAGTTGATCTGAGCTGAGGAGGAGACTCCTGTTGTTTTGTTCATCTTCATCATAATAATGACAACATTAGATGACAACAGGTGCTCACATAGGTCTGTGCTGCTGAACATGTCTGAGCAGCTTGACCACGTTGTTGTGTGTCGGGGAGGAAAAATAAAAACTACAGCAGCCACAAAGTCATGATGATTTGAGCGTGTCACTGCTCGCTGGAGTTATATCAGCTCTGTCTGGAAGTTAGTTGGAAAACTTTCTCTTTCAGTCGTGAACACATTACTGTGTGGTTAAAATCTCCGTTTCTGGGCTTCAACGTCGGCAAATAGCTGAGTGAACTCGGCGTTGAGTGAGAGGAGTGTTTAGTTTGGCCGAGACAGCGGAGCTGCAGACATCGGCAGCAGACCCTGGAAAAAACACAAAGGAGGAGGCGGTTCGGCTCCGCACTAACGCCGCAAAGCATCATGGGAGTTGTAGTCTTTGCGGTAAAATCGGCCAGCGGGTCAGTTTTAATATATATATATATGATAATGATCTCGCAGGACACATAAAAATGCTCCGCGGACCTTGTGTCTGACACGTGGGCTAGACGAAGCACCTGAAAGAGGATGATCAACTAAACAGTGTTTTTAAAGGCATGATATGTAAGAATTTTACAGTGAAATATCACAAAACTGTTTCAATTATGTTGGAAGGAAGATCACATTGAAACGGGGTTGTTTGTTTTTCTCCTTTCAAACTGAGACTCCACATGATTGCAAAGTCTGCATCAGCATTTGTAATTTGACATCAACAGGCAAAAAGCTCCAGACTTGCGAGTAAACAGGAGCAACCCAGAAGGTATTTCTTGTACCCCCAAGAAGCCACGGCTTCTTTTTTTTAACTCTAAAATCGAGTGAAGCAGAATAGAAGATAACTTTGAGCTAAGAATGCTTACAGTGAATTAGAAGCAAATAGTCGGCTCTAAAAATATCTTAAGCTACTTTCACAATTTCAAACAACTTGACATTACAGTGAAATGTATGTGTGAAGTGAATAATGAGTAAAATGTGGCATTTTACTTCCTTAAATCAGTCATTCAGAACTATAACAGCAAGAAGACAAACTCCTTACATAACCATAATATGTGTAGTAAGTGCTCGCTGCCATAAAACACCCAAGGGTGCAAGCACCAGATATGATCATATATTTTTAAGGGTGTGCAATCTTAGGTACATCATGGTTTGATTTCGATTCAGGGTCCTTTGACTTGATTATTAAACAATTCTCATGATTAACACGATGCATTATTTCACCGTTCAGTTTTTTTCTCCGATCATAGCTCTTTGATTCTTTCAAATTAATTCAGCACACATTAATTTACGTTACCAAACACTTTTAAGTCCACTATCTTATTCATGTAATACTGAACACTCAGCATTAGAGGCTGACCAATATGTTTTTTGAAGGTCGATACTAAATTTTAAAGAATTTTGTTGCCGATGGCCGATATCTAAACCGATTAAGGCCGATTATATATATATATATATATATATATATATATATATATATATATGTATATATATATGTATATGTGTATGTATGTGTGTTTTAGCAGCACATTGATTTTGAAAGACAACTGAACACTCACTATGAGCAATATAAATGAAATAAGTCAATACATTTCTTCATATTTATTGAACTTCAAATATAAAACAAATTCAAAACATTAAAGAAACTGTGTTTTGGGGTCCTTCAGGTCCTTTCTTCGGTCTAGTAGTGGCGGTGGCGGTAAAGGATCTGCTCGGGTGCAGGATCGGCTCGGGGTCCTTCGACTGCCGATGATGTCACATTACTGCAAATCTACTCGGCTTTCACACATACGTTTTGGAAAGACATCAGCAGTTTTGTTAATAAATTCTTGTTTGTTAACACCTAAATGTTTTCTTTATAATTGTAATTTGTTAATAAAACACCATATTATCTTTGTTTTGTAAACAATGTGAAACTGCATAAAACCAACATCGGACTGACAGAAAATAGAACAGTTCTTATATGTGAAGCCATATCTGTTTGTATTAATGTGGAGCTCGTCTGTATATTTCCTTAGTTGTCATCTAAATACATTCTTTGACTCAAAATATTGCTTGGTGTCTTTCAGTAAAGTTCTTATATTTTATTTTGCCCCATTTCATCAACATCAAGAGCTTTTGAGGGTCACCGTTTATCATTTGCTTATATTTTACATTTCCTTTAGAAATTCAAACATATTTTATCCAAAAACTGTTGATTTTTGGACTACAGGACTACGACCGCAAATTTGTTCTGACCAATCAAAATCAAAACGTGATAACGTCACTTCCGTAAGCTTCATGTTCAGCCAATCAACTACTTTGACGTCATCTGCAGTCGAAGGACCCCGAGCCGATCCTGCACCCGAGCAGATCCTGTACCGACAGCGGCAGTTGGCCACACGTGCCTGATTTATTTATTTTTTTAATCGGCTTTCAAAAATAAATTTGGCCGATGGTCAATATAGAAAAAATTTCATATATCGGCCGGCCGATATATCGGTCTCTACTTGGCATACTTTTGGATGACATCCACAGATAAACGTGAGCTTCTGGTGTTTAGATCATCTGACAGTTCACGCGCGACTGTGAAGAACAAACACCTTTTGGAGCGGCTTGTAAAAAATAATAAGCAGCGTAGCATCAATCTACATAAAAAACAAGTTATGTTCATGGTCCTAAAAGGATGTTGTGACGGGTCAGACGGCCCCCACGCGCTTTATCCCCCCACCACATAATCTTTGTGAAAACACATGATCGCCCCATATTACCACCACAGACTGATACCTTTTAAATGACCAGCATTATTTATAATCGTTTATGAAAGTTTGCAAATCGATCTTGAATCGGCACGTGCCACAATGTTATGAATCGATTAAATGGTGAATTTGCACACCCCTAGTATTGATCTACTTATCAACTTATTGTGTATGACTCGTCATCTAGTCTTCTGGCACTGATACGCAACTGGCAACAGGCATGAAACTCACAAAACGGGAGTGACATAGTGACTTTTTGTGTAGGAAAATGGGCTGCAGTACCCATATTTAACCACAGGATGTCATTCTTACTTCATTCTTATATATTGCCTTGTCATCTAACACCAGTTTTTATTTCTTTCTAGGTATTTTGACATCACACTAACTTAACTGCACTATCTCCAAGACTTTTGTTGATGCTGTTTGATAATTTAAAAATGAACCCCCTACCTCTCAGAAACAGGGTGATGGACTGGTATCTGAGTGAGCTTTGCTGATGACCTCTTAGAACATCCAGCGCTTTCACATGGGTCAGCTCCACCAGCTGTTTGTCTGTTTCCAACAGGAACACAGTGTATTCATGCACAAAAGATAACAACGCAGTGAAATGAAACCCTCTCACCTCCTAAAACTCTGAACTTCACGTCCTCTTTCAGCTGGGAGCTGCAGATCGTGCAGCTGAAGTCGTTTCTCACAGTAGCTGACTCTGTGGCTCCGGGAGCGTGGACTCGGATGTAATGGAACCCTGGAGCCAGAGGATTGTGTGGGAAATGCTGTTTGCATGTTGGAATTTTACTCTGAAGTGTCTTTGATGTTGCAAGTGTGTAAAAGCCTTTAGTCACAATCTTTTTTCTTAGATCAGTCTTCATTGATGGTCATTTGGGCTTCTTCAAGACATTTTACATCTCTTCGTTGGATGTTAGCTTACTTTAGCTTTATTTATATATTTTTTGGCATTTGGTGTACCTTGTACCTTTTTCTTACACTTTTTCTTTCTTCCTTCTAAAAACATAAACAAGACCGAGAAGATTCTGTTTCCTGTGTTATGTACCTGCAGAGCAGGAGCATTCTTCATTAGTACACAGGAACCTTGCCCCCAGAGTGTACTTCGTTACTCTTGTCATGGCAATAACTACCCCCTCCATGGAGACGGGCCTCATGGGCCCATACACACGAGGAAAACTACAAAGCTCCAGTGTGTACTCAGGGAATGGAGGCAGGTGTGTGAAGTTCAAAGAGATGTTCACCTCAAAAGAAAGACCAGAATACACAATAAAAAGGTGGGTTTGGATAATTAAAATCTCTTTTACAAATTCATGCCTATATGTTAAACTTATATAAAATGTTCACGCAAACAAAAATAAACAGATCTAATATAATTATTTAGAATAAAATCTACATTTATTGTTGTGTCTAAATGTTAAAATTTTGATATGTCACAAGTTTAAAACTAAATATTTGGCTAACATGCAAAATCAAACTGTCGTTAAACAGAAGTAGGATTTAGAAAATAAAATGCTGATTGTAAGTCTGTTCCTCAAATCAATGTTTCTTTATGTGTTCTCACCTCACATTAAAACAAACTCACTCAATGAAAAGCTAAAAACTCTTTCACTTATGTGACAGAATGAATTTGAACGTTAGCTCAATATTTTGTGTATGAACTGCCACATTTATATACAGGTGCTGGCCAGTAAATTAGAATATCATCAAAAGGTTGAAGATATTTCAGTAATTCCATTCAAAACGTGAAACTTGTACATTATATTCATGCAATGCACACAGACCAATGTATTTCCAATGTTCATTACATTTAAATTTGATATTCATAAGTGACAACTAATGAAAACTCCAAATTTGGTATCTCAAAAAATTAGAATATTCTGAAAAGGCTGAATATAGAAGACACCTGCTGCCACTCTAATCAGCTGATTTACTCAAAACACCTGCAAAGGCCTTTAAAAGGTCCCTCAGTCTTGTTTTGAAGGCACCACAATCATGGGGAAGACTTCTGACTTAACAGCTGTCCAAAAGACAATCATTGACACCTTGCACAAGGAGGGCAAGACACAAAAGGTGATTGCTAAAGAAGCTGGCTGTTCGCAGAGCTCTGTGTCCAAGCACATTAACAGACAGGCGAAGGGACGGAAAAAATGTGGTAGAAAAAAGTGTACAAGCTCTAGGGATAACCGCACCCTGCAGAGAATTGTGACGACAAACCCATTCAAAAATGTGGGGGAGATCCACAAAGAGTGGACTGCAGCTGGAGTCAGCGCTTCAAGAACCACCACGAGGAGACTCATGAAAGACATGGGATTCAGGTGTCGCATTCCGTGTGTCAAGCCACTCTTGAACAAGAAACAGCGCAAGAAGCGTCTCGCCTGGGCCAAGGACAAAAAGGACTGGACTGATGCTGAGTGGTCCAAAGTTATGTTTTCTGATGAAAGCAAGTTCTGCATTTCCTTTGGAAATCAAGGACCCAGAGTCTGGAGGAAGAGCGGAGAAGCACAGAATCCACGTTGCATGAGGTCCAGTGTAAAGTTTCCACCGTCAGTGATGGTGTGGGGTGCCATGTCATCTGCCGGTGTTGGCCCACTCTGTTTCCTGAGGTCCAGGGTCAATGCAGCCGTCTACCAGGAAGTTTTAGAGCACTTCATGCTTCCTGCTGCTGACCAACTTTATGGGGATGCAGACTTCACCTTTCAACAGGACTTGGCACCTGCACACAGTGCCAAAACCACCAGCACCTGGTTCAAGGACCATGGTATCCCTGTCCTTGATTGGCCCGCAAACTCGCCTGACCTTAACCCCATAGAAAATCTATGGGGTATTGTGAAGCGGAGGATGCAATACGCTAGACCCAACAATGCAGAGGAGCTGAAGACGACTATCAGAGCAACCTGGGCTCTCATAACACCTGAGCAGTGCCACAGACTGATCGAGTCCATGCCACGCCGCATTACTGCAGTTATTGAGGCAAAAGGAGCCCCGACTAAGTATTGAGTGCTATACATGCACATTCTTTTCATGTTCATTCTTTTCAGTTGGCCAACATTAGAGAAACAAACATTTTTTCATTGGCCTTTAGAATATTCTAATTTTCTGAGATACCAGATTTGATGTTTTCATTGGTTGTCACCTATAAATATCAAAATTAAACGTAATAAACATTGGAAATACATTGGTCTGTGTGCATTGCATGAATATAATGTACAAGTTTCACGTTTTGAATGGAATTACTGAAATATTTTCAACCATTTGATGATATTCTAATTTACTGGCCAGCACCTGTAAATATTGAAATTTAGCATTGATTTATTTTCTGAACATTTGCAAAATTCTTTTTTTTAAGATCAAGCGGGTATATACATATACACAGATATGTACATATACATATATTATGTATGTATGTATATATATATGTATGTATATGTATAAAACTTGTATAAATTTCAATATTTATATAAATGTGGTGCATATATGTTTCTTTTGTCCTCACTACACGTCACTGTGTAACTATATATATATATATAATATATATATAAACTCAGCACCCCATACATAGTAAAGATTATGACTTTTTTTTATTTTATTGATGGGAAAATAATGTAAAAGGCCAAATAAAAGTTCTATTCAGCTAAACAAAGGATTTCAGGGGTAAAAAGAGAATTGTACTCATACCTGACTCGCTGTTTGTATTTTTTCTGAGAGTGAAAGAGTCTTTATAGCCAAGAAACAAACCTAAATATGAAAGTTAGGACGTATAGTTAGCATAACAGTAAACCTATGTACATGTAGCATTTTAGCTACTTACCGACTGAAACAGAACTGTGGCTTTAAGCGGGTCGTGCAGAACATAGTCGCCCAGAACGGGATCCACTTCTATTAAATCAGAAGGATTAACACCAACCGTGAACCTGTAGACTGCCTCCGTGTGTTGGAGGTCTGGCAATGAGGCACAAACAAGAACATTTTAAGTGTTCCAAAAGCGTAATTTTAGCCTTCAGATTAAGCTAGCACAGTACCATTAAGTGGTTTGCAGTCGTCAGCGAGTTTCTTAAGGCCACCGCTTCTGTCTAAATAAATCAAAACTGATTCTTTCAACGCTAAAACACCAGCCATGTCTTATAAAATGTTTAGATGAATCTTAAGTGTTGTAAACTAGCATAACCACTGTGAACTCCTTTAGCTAGCGTTTGCCGCCATAATTGGAAACTTGTCGCCATGGTAACCACTCAAGTTCATGGAAAACCATATATATGTTACGTATTTTTTATACAAGTTGCGTTTTTTTTACGCAAAATGAATACATCGAATATTAGATATATATTTTTATTATTGTGAGAGTACAGGCCTAATTAACTGCCTGCCACAGACAAGCACTGATGATTTACATTTTCTTGATAAAAAAGAAAAATGAAAACAAAAGTATTATTTAAACAATTTATCAGCATTTGTAAAGACAAAATGTAAAGTAGCTGTGAGTCCTTCTCATGTTTTTTTAAACAATTGTGACCTATAAATCAAAATCTCTGTTTTCTCAAGTAAACTCCACATCATACAACTTAGTTAATATTTGTACAGTCTATTTTTTATGAACATATAATTCCACTTAGCAGTCAAATTGTCCAGTGAACTATTCAAGTTTTCATATTTCTACTTATTGATTTTATTTCAGGGATGAATTTAAGGCTTTCAAAGGCTCGTTTACAATATATATCTATTGATAGAACACATTGTGCAATATTCTAAAATAAAGCATCTGTTATAGATATTTATATGAATATAAATACAAACAGGTAAAATATAAAGATTTTCTTCCAATGAAAATCCATTTAAGTGCAGGTTATTCTCCACTGTTTGCTTTGGTGTCATAGAAAAAAAAGAATCCATTGTATAAACTTTTCCCTTTAGTCAAAATTTTTTACAATGGTTAAGGCAACTGAAGATCTCATTAGGAATGTCTCATAGGAAAGAGTCATCAGAAGCTGGGGCGTAAGAGAAGCCCACAAAGGCATCGTCAGCCTCTATAACACTGGCGTTGACAATGGAACGTTCTTGAGTCCAGCAGATGGAGTTGGGAACCTTCTCCTCTGTGAACTCGGGATCAAAGTTTGAGATGTCACTGCAAGAAGACTGTAAAAAGCACATAAGAAGAAGAGCATTAATCAGTGGAAGGTTGTGCAACATTTCTGTGACTTTGTTTTACAAAAAAAAAGCCATAGTGTTGAAAAATATATTCATAGTACATTTTTATTAATGAACAGGTGTGAAATTGTGGAATGAGTTAGATGATGATTTGAAGAAATGTACTTCTTTACTAAAGTTTAAAGCAGGTGTAAAGTGTCACATATTTACAGGGTATGAAAAGTATGTATAGACATTAATGAATTTTCATTGTGGATATTTATATTGGGGGAAAATAAAAGAAATGTATATTGGTTATGTATCTTAGGTGGAAAATAGGGTAGGCTAAAATAAGCATTGCTTCAGCCTATTCCTTTTTTGGTTTAAATTCAAATTGTTAATATTGTTTTGTTTGAAAAGAAAAATTTTATGTTAATGCTATAAACCAAAATAAAGACCGAAAGAAAGAAAGAAGAAAGAACAGACAGAATATTTACCACATTGGGTTTGAATGGAGGAGGGATTTTCTTTTGTTCAAGGTCATTCCAGTTGATGGATAAGAAGAAGCTGTGAGCTTTAATCTCATTCTGAGGAAAAAAAAATGCATCAATTAGAGTACAATTATGTACCAAAACACACTTAATAGACATCACAGTAACAGATCAGTCACTAGAGGGAGCTAGAAACTAGATATTGTGCTGAACGCCAACAGGAAACTTACAAAGTCATCATTGGAGCCCAGTCTTTGTTCTCTGTCTTTCTCCAGCAGACCTTGAATCAGAGACCAGGCAGAACTGGACGCACCGGCTCGCTTCCCCAAGGCTTTGTGGAGAATGTTATCATACATCTCATGTGTGTCCCTGCTATAAAACGGTGGCTAGAACATACATAAAATAAAAATAGAAGCATGTAAATGAACAGGTACTTGATTCACATTTTAAATTTGAGTTAATTTACTCAAACTCACCAAGCCAAATAGCATTTCATACAGCACTGATCCCAGACACCACCAGTCCACAGTGTTGTCATAAGGCTGCTTCCTCAGCACCTCTGGGGCTAAGTACTAGTCCCAAGAAGGAAACACAACATTCTATTTACTTATAGTTGTTAATAAACCAACAAAGAGCTTTTGCAGACATATGCTCATCCCAAGCACTTAAAGCAAGATGGAGCATAGCATGAACACTGACTAAATTGAGGACACTGGTGGAAAACAAGTTAAAGACAGGTAAGTGCCCATACCTCAGGGGTTCCACAAAACGTAGTGGTGGTATCTGTCAGAGAAATGCCTTCCTTACATAACCCGAAGTCCGTCAAGACAATATGTCCCTTCAAAGAGAGGACATGAGCATTTTTAGATACCATGTGCCACACAAGCAGCTCGTTATCGCTGAGCACTGAGGCTTCTATTGTTGCTAGGAATGTTGGCTGCAGTGCAGCTCAGTCCGTCCCTTTCACATTTCCAACACCTTTTAAATCAGACTAAACAGGACAATCATTAGTAGGAGCTAAACCAATCACGTGCATTCTGTTCAGCTGGTACAGGAAATTACAAGGTGGATATTAAGGTTGGGCGATTGGACAAATGTATCAACCATCAGCGATTCTCCGAGCCCTTTGCAGATCGCAGATTTAACGTGAGATATTTATTTATGTATATCAGAGACATTCTAACACAGAGTAATTTTTCCTCCACCTCTTCATCTAGTCACCACCTCTAAACTCGCGTTTCCTGTAACTTCCTGACACGAATAAAAGGTTTGCTGCATATATTTGTACTCCTTCAGTCACGGGTGTATTAACATTTATATCGTCAGACTTTTTACACAAGACAGTCTTCAATCTGCTCTGTGTCGTTCACTAGATGTGTTCAGTTCTTGTTTTATTTCTTTGAGGGGGAATGGCGTTGCTGTTGACGAAGTTAAAGGAAGCAGCATCCTGACCAATCACAGGCTTGTGGTCTCCAATGCTTCTGAAGGATATTTAGAAAAGTCCGTCCATCCTTGTGAGCTTTTTGGAGAGCCCTTGTGACGATGGATAATTGCATTGTGTGTCTCCATGGCTTAAGTTCTGAGTTGGAACATTACAAACTTCCATATCAATTGGTGTCTTTTTGTAACAGCCGTTCTACGTACATATACCTATATACATCAATAGAAAGCTGTGAGTGTTGCGATTCTAATGATTTATGTCAATCAAGAATAAATCCATAACTGTAGATACTGTAAACACTCAGAAATTCAAAAATAGTGTCTACCTTGTTTTCAAAGTCTCATATCACTGACAGAAAAGGGACATTTCAAACAAATCAAACCTGAAAAATCCAAAAAGGTAAAATAAAAGTACACCAACAAAATAGTTGGTCCTCAACAAGTCTTATGTTCACAATCCAACATAATAGAGCACTTAAAAACTGTCCTTAAGATTTGTCTCTTTCTCATTATAACTCATTATAACCTGTTAGCATCCCCAATATTAGCTTCAAACTTTCAATCAACAACTTAGCTGATCCAACGGGGTGAAGGATCCCCTCACCCCCCACAGAGGCAAAAGCTATATTCGCTGATTGGTCAGAAGTCCCGCTCCTTATTCTAATGTGTAGCTTGAACCAACTACGCAATACTATTGCAACAAGACAACAAACAACAACCTCAAACACGAGGACCCCTTGTGGTCTGCTTGCGCAAACTGAGCTAAGGACGACTGTGATTGGTGGATTGCTGTGTGCAGTGTGTGTCAGGTCCATCGTCAATTTCTTATAACGACGATTATGTTTATGTATTTAGCAGACGCTTTTGTCCAAAGCAACTTACAAGTTATAATCAGCATGTTGCCCTTGAGGCTAACAACAACAATAACAACAACTACTTGACATCAATCATGGAGAGGAGGGAAGAAAGGAGTGGACAGTAGAGAGGGGGGGGACGGGTGCAGACAAGGTGCTAGTTAAGAAGATGCTCTCTGAAGAGCAGGGTCTTCAGGAGTTTCTTGAAAATTGAAAAGGAAGCCGCAGTTCTGGTAGTGCTTGGAAGGTCATTCCACATTTGTGGAACGATGCATGAGAAGAGTCTGGATTGTCCTGAGCGTGGTGAAGGCACTGCTAGCCGACGATCTTGTGATGACCGGAGCGGCCGGGCCGAGACGTAAGCCTTTACAAGAGGATTCAGGTAGATGGGAGCCGTACCATCTCGGACTTTGTATGCTAGTTAGCAATTTGAATTTGATGCGTGCTGCTCGCGGTAGCCAGCGGAGCTCAATGAACAGAGGGGTGATGTGTGCTCTTTTTGGCCGATTGAAGATCAGACGCGCCACTGCGTTCTGGACCATTTGAAGAGGTCTCACAGTACAGCCTGGAAGACCAGTTAGAAGGGCATTGCAGTAATCGAGGCGGGAAATGACAGTAGATTGCACCAGGAGCTGGGTGGCATGTTGTGTTAGGTATGGTCTGATCTTTTGTATGTTATACAGCGCAAAGCGGCATGAACGAGCAACAGAGGTAACATGATCTTTAAAGGTCAGGTGTTCATCAATCACAACACCCAGATTTCGAACTGCCTTTGAAGGAGCCAGAGATAGGAAGTCATTTTGGATTGAGATATTGTGCTGTATGTATGGTTTTGCTGGGATGACGAGTAATTCAGTTTTAGAGAGGTTGAGTTGGAGATGGTGGGATTTCATCCATTTTGATATGTCAGAGAGACAGTTTGATATTCGTGCAGATTATCACTTGGAATAATTTATATCACCCAACCTTAGTGAATATGAATGGAAAACTATGTCCTGAGCAGTAAAATGTTAAATTATTGTAATCAAACAACTTCCAGGGGTTGATGCATTTCATTATAATAAAAGTTTGACTGAAACACCGTAACAAATATAAACGCTCACCTCATGGTCAAGAAGGATATTTTCTGGCTTCAAGTCTCTGAAAAAAAAAAAAATTAACAAAAACTTTCACAAAACAGACCCCGATTACACTGGCATCAACCATAATCGTACCTGTAAACAATGTTTAGAGAATGCAGATATCCAAGTGCACTCGCCATTTCAGCAATGTAGAACTTTGCTCTTTGTTCAGGAAAGGTTCGCTCTTTTTGAAGATGGAAGAAAAGCTAAAAGGAAAATGTTCCTGTGAGTTTTGTGAACATGCATTTCTCATTCGAGCGCGTAGGAGGCAGGCTGCTGTTAGTCACAGTCACAAATGGCAGATGATCACACTTGGTGGAAATCCACACGGATAGTCACTCTTTACACCAACCAATGTTGGGTTTTCTAGCAGGGATTTCACACATGCAGATGTGTCAGCTAGCAAAAGTACAGCTCTACGGTTTTCTATCCCGTGTCACTTCATTCCACAGTGAAGTCATGTGAGTCATTCCAGTGTGATCTCATTATTCACCAAACCGAAACAACTTACTTCTCCTCCATTGACGAAATCCAAGACGAAGTACAACTTGTCTGTGGTCTGAAAGGAATAGTGGAGCCCAACCAAGAACGGGTGTTTCACGTTCTTCAGCAGCACGTTACGCTCTGCCATGATGTGTTTTTGCTTATTGGAGGAATAATTCAGAGATGGTCACACATGTGCAAAGATACCTGAAACCATCCAAACCACATCTTGTTGCTCACGTTACCTCTTTTCTGTTGAGAATGACTTTCTTCTGTAGGACCTTGACTGCATAATACTTTTCGTCGTGCTTATGTTTTGCAAGGAAAACCTGTATTGCAGGGAAAACCAGGTCAGTTAAGAAGGCGTAAAAGAGTTTAGCTCAGTGATTCCTAACCAGGTTCTCACTTCCTACGTAGAAAGTCGAGATGTGCAGAACTAAAACTTGTAACTTCCACAAAAAAGTATTCAAGACAAGTTTCTAAACCTCACACATAGACTAACTGGAAGACTTATGAGACACGCAGTGACGACTAGGTTTATTTGTACTGATTTAACACACTTGTAGATTGTTTTGTTTGTTTTCATTCAGAATATGGTTCACCTACTTTTCCAAAACTCCCTTTTCCTATAACTTTTAAAAAGTCAAAGTCTGTAGGCTTGGCTCTGTAAAAGAAATAAACATTTTATTTTACCAATGGGAAAATAATTGTGGATGCATCATAAATGTTTTAATGTTTAACAAAGTTTGAACTAAATAAATATTTAAATTACTTACTGTGGATTTCCAGAGAGACCCAGGTTTATGTTTCTGGAGGAAGACCCATTCTGGTAAACAGAAACAACATTATCCACATTAGTGAAATATTGAGTGAAATTATTTCCCAAAACTCCATCTTTTTTCCCCCGATGATTTTAATGATTAAGATGATTTTTATTTAAAACCCTGGCAGGATAAGTGGCAAGCAATATAAATTCTTAAAGCAACAATGTGTATTTTCTTTGGCAATAGGGGGCAGCACACACCTAAATCATTGCAAGCAAGCGGTATTGTTGTCTTCGAGTAAAGCCTGATTTATGCTTCTCCGTCTGCGTCAGTGCGGAGACACGCAACGCCATTATCCGTCCTTGCGTAGGGCTCCGGCAGGCACGCAAGTACGTACGGAGTCGAGCCCACTTTTTTAAACATTCGTCGAACGAGACGGATTACGCAAGCTTGTGATTGGTCAGGACGCCGCTGTTGTTTACAGCGCCGTCATTGCAAAGAGAGCCGAGGAAAACTAGCGGCAGACACGGAGAAGCTTGAAGAATGCCTCGCGAAAAAACTCTAAAAATATGAACGTTTCATCCTCCCGTGACTGGAGGAATGAAAAGATGTGCAGCAAGCGTTTTATTTGTGGACAGAAATGACAGGAAACGTGGGTTTAGAGGTGGGGAGCGCATGAAACGGTGGGAGAATGAGAGACAAATATGTCTGTGTTAAAAGTCTCTTATATACACAAAAAACACAATATAAACACACGATCTTGGACCGATACATGACAGGATACCACAGAACAGCGCTACGCCCTCTGTGGTCCTGCCGGGCAATTGCTTTGCAACGCTCTCCAGGAGACGGAGAAGTATGAGAGCAAAACGCTTCCGTCAAGCCGTGCGTGTCTGTCCCTTGCGGAGCTGACGGAGAAGTATAAACCAGGCTTAAGACCTTACCAACGGATGGCCATTAGGGTCAAAAATCCCTGGGAGTGCAATTTTTGAACGAGAACTTTGTCAGGTCTTTCAACTTCCCTTTCATCACTGGCGATGAGTGAAGAGGTAAATGTGTAAAACAACAACGTTTACGAATGCAAACTTTTTGTGACCGCTTGCAAATGCCTTTTGTTCTCACAGGCTCCCGTAGAAGGAAGCGTTGCGTCTAATATGGCGTCGAGACTTAGACCCTCTCCCTTGTATTTTAGACCCAATTTTTACAGTTATATGTTACAAAGTCAACTGGGCATCATTTACCTCATTTTCAATAACATTCCAATGGATATTTCCAGAGATTAATGGAAAAAACGACACACTGTCACTTTAAGGAACGCTAGAGCTTGAAATCAGAGGGTTGGCAGTAAAACAAATCTGCAAATAATTTTAAAAAGTAAGCGATTCGCTAAAATGTTATGAAATGAGTTACAAGCCACTTACTTTGTCATCTTCATCCTCAGATGGATCTGAAGTCTTCCTTCTGTCCATCACTAGAAAGATCCTCACATCTGGACTGTAATGTTTAAGAGAAACCAGAAAATCACAAAACAGTGACTAAATCTAAAGTTAAACACATTTTACCTAAATATGTTTCCAATCGGATTAAATGTTAAAGCATTCGTGTATATTTATGTGGGCACTTACTGGTTGTAGAGCTGAGGAGTTGAGACGATCCGCTTAATGAAGTCGTGTAAACCAGCTTGTCTTTGCTTCAGGAACTCTGTTGGGTGGATTTGAGTGAATACAACACTAAGCTAACATGGATCTACCCATGTGGGTACGACATATTGTACGTTAGCATGCTGTGCAACGTTACCTGGGTCAAAGTTGTCCCCAAATATTCTCTTGGGAGGAATTTTTAAGTTCATGGATGGAAACTGTTTTCTTAACTGTAATAAATGAAGAAAACAGCAACATATGCATATAAATGTAAGACGTATAAACTTTAGTAATTTGTTATGTTTTTGATTTGTTGTAAAGTCAACTCACTATGTTGTAGAGTTTATCAAACTCTGCATATCTCCTGAAGACGAACCATTCCTCTCGTCCAACAGACACAATCACCTTGTAAACCTGTGATGAAAAAACCAAGAAGAGTTTATAAAACTAAGGCCTAAAGTTCAGTAACTCGTCTGTACTTTTAACTTCACGGCAAAGAAAACTTGTATAAATACTCAGACGTACTGTGAAACGCTTCTTCTTGTCCCTCTGCTCGTCGTGGCTGGGTATGCTGACGTTGGGGAGACCCGGCTGCTCTTCCATCTTCAGCTTCAACAGCGTTCACAGGCGCAAAGGTGGTAAGTGATGTGTCCCAGGATCGAGCTTCAAGTATACAGCAGGTCAATCTTCATGCTGCATGAACCACTGCATGAACCAAAAAAATATAGATGTTTAAAACATGTTTCAGCCTGTAATTCAATATCATATTTGAATCTTATATGCACCAGATTGTCTTCCTAAACATTTTGCTGCCTTACACTTGATCAAATATAGCCTTTCTAGGCTAAGAGACAATGTTGGATCACACATAAAGGTATTTAAAATCAGAAGCATATTGAACATTCACTGCTGAATCTAGCAGTCTAAACTATTTGTATTTATCCCTTTGACCATTAGCCCACTAGTATGAGTATAAAAGTGAGGTGGGGTTTTTCTGGAACATTTTTGCAATATTGCTTGAAATTCTCTTCACATACTGAGGGCAACAAATAAATTATCTGTCTGTACGGATCGTGAGTTCTCAGCTCAGAGCAGCTGAAAACGAAGGACAGCCAGAGCTAGGCTAGCTAGTAGGGATGTAAGAAAATGTCGATTATGACAATATATCGTGATTTTTCCCCAGCGATATTATATCGATATTCAAAAGCTGTGCATCGAAAATATCGACATCGCAATATATCATGATATTTTTTCTTGCAAAAATGTATCGATATTCAAAAGTCATGTTTCTAATTATTGGAAGAATTTACATGGAAACATTTGTGTATTTTCTTTTCTTGTGGTGCAATTCAAACGCTAACCACTAGTTGGCAGCAGTGTGTAATGGGTTTTGTTTCCATCATTGAAATGTAAATCCCTCTGTTATGGTTAAACATGTTAAGTATCAGTTTGGACTGTTTACTGAATTTTCCTATAATAAATTTAGTCTAAAAAATCGCCAATATCGTCTGACTGAATGTATCGCAATATATCGTGATATATTGTATTGTCTCCCCTGTATCGTAATACGTATTGCATCGCCAGAATTTCACCAATACACATCCCTACTAGCTAGTGAAACAGATTGAACGTTCCATTCTGTTATTTGTTTGCTAATTTAATTTAAGGAGGTGTTTTTTTTATTTAGAGTCTAGTTTTGTTTTAGTAAGGGAAATTTTTAGGTAACGGACCTGTAGTCTGTGAACGCAGCCTGTCATCTGTCGGCTGGCAAAGGTGTCAGTCAGTCTGTTGTCTTGGCACTACATGAGCCATATGTTTTACCATCTTTTTTAGCTCTATTAGTCAGGAGTTTTTTTTTATTAACAAACAAGCAGTTTTGAAAAGCAGAAAACGTATTAATGAATGATTATGAAAGTTTCACTGTAATTGAATTTAATTGTACTTCTGGGTTGTCTGAAAGTCCTTTCATTATTTTCTAAAGATGAAAATCTGTTAAGAGAGCTCACTGGGAGTCAACAGGTGGCAGGTTGTTCTCCCTCCAACTGGGCAAACATTTAATTCACTCCTTCCTCACTTGTGTGCGTGCCTCAGGGGTAATTTATCCACTCCGTGGAAGAAGTGAGAGAGCTTTTCTGTTCTCTCTCACTTATTCACAGTGGCTCTGTGACATGTTACTCCAACTGCTTACTATCACATCATTGATGAGCACCGAAAAGCATCTAGTCGATAGAGATCAATGTTTTTATCTTTCAATTTGTGGGCCTGGTTTTAAATTTTAGGCGTATTGTAAAAGTTTTTTATTGAGTGATCAAACCAAATGCCACAGAGAATAACATCCTTCACTTGGGAGTTACACAACGTCTGTTCAACAACAAAGCGCTTTGTCTACTGCTCTGTTTGTCCATTGTTTGATCTCGATGAGGTCAGCTCTGTTTGTTTAGTAGTTTTATATCTCAGAAAACACACAGAAAGCCTTTGTGTCAACTTTCTCAGCATCCATATTGATTCTGAATGCATCCTGAAGGTAGATGTTAGGGGCTTTTATTAGCAAGAATCTGGCAACACAGAAGAGATGATACAATATATGTCAAAACTAAAAGCCAGATGATTTTTGCACATTTAAAGACAGAATTTAATTAGAAAACTCAGAAAAGACGCTTCCAGGACACATCCAGTGTTATCACGGGATCTCATTGCTCTGTCAGAATGAAAAAATGGATGTCCTGTATTTGTATGGCTCCTCGTAGGGTTCTACAACCCTCCCAAGGCACTTCACAACACACCCAGTCATTCACCCAAGCACACACACGTTCACACGCTGGTGGTGATGAGCTACAATGTAGCCACAGCTGCCCTGATGGAAGCAAGGCTGCTAAACACTGGCGATAAAAACTGCTACCTAGCAGTTGAAGTGTGGTGCGTGTATATTTTTTCCATACATTTTCCCGTTGGGAAAGGTCCTACGTGCAAGAATGATGAGCCGATACAAGCAACCCTCTCAGAAGTGGAGTTATCCAGGAGGCAACGGTGTAAACGAAGCAGTCCAGCTGAATGTCTCAGACATGTTTTTAACCACATTAAACATTATTTTAGTTTCAATTGAAGTCTCATTAAGTGAGACAATAATTTACTATACGGTATAAATAAATGACACTTGTAGAAGGAACATCTGATTTTGTGATATACATTTTTCCTAAACTGGTTTAAAGTTAAAGTCCCACAGTCATCATCACACACTGGTGAAATTCATCACCCCATTTGACCCATCCCCATGGAGGGAAGCGGTGAGCATTGGTGGCTGCACTCAGGAACCATTTGGTGATTTAACCCTCCAATCCAACCCCTTAAAGAAGAGTATCAAGCAGGGAGGCATTGGGTCCCATTTTTTAAATCTTTGGTATGACCCGACCGGGAATCGAACCACAATCTCCCAGTCTCAGGGCGGACACTCTACCACCAGGCCACTGAGCTGGTTTAAGAGCTTCATAAGACAACCACAAACTGACGTTAGAGCTTATGGAACAGACTTGAAATGTTTGCTTCCTTTGATCAGTTGAATGTTTTCCCTTTAAAATACAGAACAAGGAATAAAAAGTTAGGTTATTTTGTGTTTTAAAAATCGGACGTTTGTGCAGCTGTGACTGGTAAAGAAGAAAAAAAAAGAGTCTGGGGTACTTCCCTGGGCCGTATAACATCTGCTTTTGTTTTCATGGTTACATAGCTCTGAACATGCTCAAGTAGGAGCTGCTTTTTAACATTCCAGGAATACTTTTGTCAAAAGTAGAGATGGCCTACAATCGTCTTTTCTTGTGCAACGTACACTTCAGCTGGACACTTACTCCCACACGAGGAATGCTGCTGATCACCACACCCACAAAGAGCCCTTGTAAAGGTAGATGAAGGAATTGATAAAAGAAAATACTCTTCATGCAGACAGAGCATTAGACAAAGGAACTAGATTAGAGAACCACATTCCCACAATGTAATTTAAACCCAACACACCAGAGCATGAATTAACATGAGCTGACAGGCACAAATGGGCTGAGCTACAACACGGGATCAAAAACAAGCTTTCTTCTTGCAAAGCACACGCACACACACACACACACACACGCACACACAATTATTCTGCATGGATCTTCATTTGTTTCACTCCGTTAGTGTGGTTGTGTATCACAACAATCAAACATGAAAACAAAGCAGAAGTAACACTAGAATAGGAAACCGGACATGCAAGCTGAAGATTTGAATGGAGTCCTACTTCCAAAGCTTACAAAGAGCAGAAAAAGAAGTTTTTATTGGAACATTTGTGTATTTTCAGGAGATACTTTTAAAAGAATCTGTTTGGATTGGATTACCTTCCTACTTTTAAACTGTCCTATTTGAGGGTCAAACCAAGTGACTACTAATGTTATTCTTATGTCAGCTTCTAATTAAAATGCAACAGAGACAGATCTCTGTTTGAGGAAGTGCAGCTGGAGAAGCTTGACAGGAATTAGCTCAGTCAACTCCAGTCCATACCGCTGATGCAAATCCTACCTAACCTTCAACCCAGACAACTCCTGGACAGGGTCATCCTTTTAACCCTCTGGGTGCAGGCGTTGCACATTTGCAAAGTTAAAACCTACCTACCTGGTTACTCCACATACGTATTTCATGAGCATTTTTTAACTCAGAAGTACCCCTGAAGGACTTGTTCGTTGTTCGTCCTTTTATCAAAACTTATTTTGAGCCTGAGAGGGTTAAAACAAGTCTGATGAGGTTTGCACAGTGGTGACCAGGTCCAAGATACAACTTTAACCTTCTGTTGTTTCTCTGCACATGTGCAACTTTTTAACATCTTTGTCTCTACGGTACCCCCACACCAGCTCTGGCTACATTTCTTATGAAAGTGCATGGAAACACTGTGTCTGAACTACATGAAAAATTTGTAAATATTGTCTATTGTATCGACTGTATCTCAATCACACACAGAATAATTCTAAGTAGGGATGCACAGATACACATTTTTTGGGCCGATACGTATATCCGATATTAAGGATGGACAATATATCGGCATCAATTTCAGTATCAACCGATGTTAGTCATTTTGAACATATTGGTATCGGTTCGATAAATAAAACTGGGCCGATATTAATAACCAATATTTTTTCCATCTCATCTCCATTTGTTTGCCTGTTTCAGGGGGGGGGGGGGGTAATTGTTTAGTCATGTGAACAGTGAATTAAATAATCTCTAAAATGTTAATGTGTGTGGTGTGTATACATAACAATGTAAATTCAGCTTTGATAATTTTCATTCTATACAAAATCTACTTATGGACAGGATTTCTAGGTGCAGCCAAGGTGTGTAGGGCGTCCGTTTTGGTGGACTGAGGATCAGGTCTCTGCTTTTTGCAGATGATGTGGTCCTGTTGGCTTCATCAGAACGTGATCTTCAGCTTTCGCTGGAGCAGTTCGCAGCCGAGTGTGACGCAGCTGGGATGAGAATCAGCTCCTGTAAATCTGAGACCATGGTCTTGATTCGGAAAAGGGTAGAATGCCTTCTCCAGGTCAGGGATGAGGTCCTGCCCCAAGTGGAGGAGTTTAAGTATCTCGGGGGACTTGTTCACGAGTGAGGGAAAACTGGAGCATGAGATCGATAGGCGGATTGGTGCTGCGTCTGCAGTGATGCGGGCGTTGTACCGGTCTGTCGTGGTGAAGAGAGAGCTGAGCCAGAAGGCGAAGCTCTCGATTTACCGGTCGATCTACGTTCCTACCCTCACCTATGGTCATGAGCTTTGGGTAGTGACCGAAAGAAAGAGATCGCGGATGCAAGCGGCCAAAATGAGTTTTCTCCAAAGAGTGGCTGGGCTCTCCCTTAGAGATAGGGTTAGAAGCTCGGTCATTCGGGAGGGGCTCGGAGTAGACCCGCTGCTCCTCTACATCGAGAGGAGCGAGTTGAGGTGGCTCGGGCATCTGGTCAGGATGCCTCCCTGGTGAGGTTTTCCGGGCACATCCAACCGGGAGGAGACATAAAGGTAGACCTAGGACACGGTGGAGGGACTATGTCTCTCACCTGGGCAAGGAACGCCTTGGGATTCCCCCGGAGGAGCTGGCCCTAGTGGCTGGGGAGAGGAAAGTCTGGGACTCTCGACTTAGGCTACTGCCCCCGCGACCCGACTCCGGATAAGCGGATGAAAATGGATGGATGGATGGACAATATCTGCTGATTTTAGAAGCATTAATATCAGTATATCGGTATCTGCAAATATCAGTTATCGGCCATAACAGTGATCTCAATATCGGTATCGGCCCAAAAAATTTCATATCGGTGCATCATTAATTAATATCACTGCTGTGGCCGAAAACCGATATCTGCTGATACAAATATGCATGCATGTATGTATGTATATATATATATATATATATATATATATACACACACACACACACACACACACACACAGTGGCATTTACGCTTCTGAAATCTGCACATTTTGAATAGACTGAAAATTATGCAAGCTGAATACTTGAATGTTTTGCTTTCTATAAAGTGAAATTTGCGATATGTAATTATATATTAACACATTTACGCTTCTGAGATGATTGCCACTGGACTAAACAATCACACATCATCACCCCCCTCACCATCATAAACACATACACAAACAAAAGCAAGATGAAATTAATTCCATTTTTGGTTCTTTTTAAAACACAGCAAAGGTTTCTCTTCACCTTGCTAACGTTTCGTTTGCCGACTGCAAAACATGGGTCCGCGTTTTTGATGTAAACGTTCTAAACTGCGGAAGTCCTGAGGATGTTTTGCAGTCTGCAAACGAAACGTTAGCAAGGTAAAGAGAAACCTTTCCTGTGTTTTAAAAAGGACCAAAATGGAATTAGAAACTAGACACAGTAAGAACACACCAAAGTAGATGGAATTAAAACTGCTTTTTAATATCGACCCAGTTTTACTTATCAGACCAATACCGATATGTTAAAAAATGACTAACATCGGACGATACCGATATTGATGCTGACATATTGTGCATCCCTGATCCTAAATCCCCTTTTCTGGCAGTTTCACACCCCTAGTTGCCTAATGCCTACTCAAGACAACGCTCTAATGTATAATACTTTGGGGAGCATTTATTCCTGAGTTTATTTTTGCAGTGCAACATCACAGTTACAATTTCATTGACATCTTACAGCCAAATCAACAACTTTGAAGGGTTTATGACCCATCATTTCTACAATAATCACAAGGTAGCTGAGTATGAGCATTTAAAAGTGCTGGACTCGTTATGCTATGGGTTGAAGACCTGCTTGGGAGGCTTACGACGGATTTTCATGTCAAACAGGATGACTAAACACGGGGTATGACTTTAAAATCTAAACACGTATCACGTGTGTTACAGGAAAAAAAGTCTGCTGGCAGAGAGGGGAGAGCCAGTAGGGAGGAACTGACCACACACACACACACACACACACACACACACACACACACACACACACACACACACACACACACACACACACACACACACACACACACACACACACACACACACACACACACACACACACACACACCTAGATTAACAGGCTCTAAGACAAGGCTCCGATGTGCAACACAAGCTGTGTACATACTCTGAATGCCTTTGTTTAAGTAGCTAACTCAGCAGCTTCTACATTTAATGTTAAGTGTTTCTAATATAAAACGGAATGATGAGAAAGTGTTACAAAAAGTACCATTTAGTAGTCCGCGCTCTAGAGCCTGTTCCGGCGAACTAACCAGGACAAGGTAACCAGCTGAGCGTGAACATCACGTACCTTACGGCGTTCAGATGCTGTGCTCGTGGACTTCCAGTGTTGGCGTTTGGCTTTAGAACGCTCAAAATGTTCAAACGGCTAACATGTTTTCTCTTCAACATGAGGCGGAAGGCCAGAGAAGCAGAAAACAAAAAATATATATTTTCTCACCGCTGAGAAAGTCAGACAGAGAAGCAGGACACATCGGTCTTTCCTAACCGTAGAAAGTTCCAATGAGTTTCGTCACGGGACCGCGCGCGCAGCCACGAGCACTGCTGTCACCATAGATATCATATATATTAGCTAGATCCCTCACCCGCGCTGTTCGTCAGGGGATCTAGCTAATATGATATCTATGGCCTCAAGAGCTCTCAAGCAACCACGCTTCCGGTAATGATTTTCAAAATAAAACAAGGAAACTTGGAAAGCTGTGCATATACAGGTGCTGGCCAGTAAATTAGAATATCATCAAAAGGTTGAAAATATTTCAGTAATTCCATTCAAAACGTGAAACTTGTACATTATATTCATGCAATGCACACAGACCAATGTATTTCCGATGTTTATTACGTTTAAATTTGATATTTATAGGTGACAACCAATGAAAACATCAAATCTGGTATCTCAGAAAATTAGAATATTCTAAAGGCCAATGAAAAAATGTTTGTTTCTCTAATGTTGGCCAACTGAAAAGAATGAACATGAAAAGAATGTGCATGTATAGCACTCAATACTTAGTCGGGGCTCCTTTTGCCTCAATAACTGCAGTAATGCGGCGTGGCATGGACTCGATCAGTCTGTGGCACTGCTCAGGTGTTATGAGAGCCCAGGTTGCTCTGATAGTCGTCTTCAGCTCCTCTGCACTGTTGGGTCTAGCGTATTGCATCCTCCGCTTCACAATACCCCATAGATTTTCTATGGGGTTAAGGTCAGGCGAGTTTGCTGGCCAATCAAGGACAGGGATACCATGGTCCTTGAACCAGGTGCTGGTGGTTTTGGCACTGTGTGCAGGTGCCAAGTCCTGTTGAAAGGTGAAGTCTGCATCCCCATAAAGTTGGTCAGCAGCAGGAAGCATGAAGTGCTCTAAAACTTCCTGGTAGACGGCTGCATTGACCCTGGACCTCAGGAAACAGAGTGGGCCAACACCGGCAGATGACATGGCACCCCACACCATCACTGACGGTGGAAACTTTACACTGGACCTCATGCAACGTGGATTCTGTGCTTCTCCGCTCTTCCTCCAGACTCTGGGTCCTTGATTTCCAAAGGAAATGCAGAACTTGCTTTCATCAGAAAACATAACTTTGGACCACTCAGCATCAGTCCAGTCCTTTTTGTCCTTGGCCCAGGCGAGACGCTTCTTGCGCTGTTTCTTGTTCAAGAGTGGCTTGACACACGGAATGCGACACCTGAATCCCATGTCTTTCATGAGTCTCCTCGTGGTGGTTCTTGAAGCGCTGACTCCAGCTGCAGTCCACTCTTTGTGGATCTCCCCCACATTTTTGAATGGGTTTGTCGTCACAATTCTCTGCAGGGTGCGGTTATCCCTAGAGCTTGTACACTTTTTTCTACCACATTTTTTCCGTCCCTTCGCCTGTCTGTTAATGTGCTTGGACACAGAGCTCTGCGAACAGCCAGCTTCTTTAGCAATCACCTTTTGTGTCTTGCCCTCCTTGTGCAAGGTGTCAATGATTGTCTTTTGGACAGCTGTTAAGTCAGAAGTCTTCCCCATGATTGTGGTGCCTTCAAAACAAGACTGAGGGACCTTTTAAAGGCCTTTGCAGGTGTTTTGAGTAAATCAGCTGATTAGAGTGGCAGCAGGTGTCTTCTATATTCAGCCTTTTCAGAATATTCTAATTTTTTGAGATACCAAATTTGGAGTTTTCATTAGTTGTCACTTATGAATATCAAATTTAAATGTAATGAACATTGGAAATACATTGGTCTGTGTGCATTGCATGAATATAATGTACAAGTTTCACGTTTTGAATGGAATTACTGAAATATTTTCAACCTTTTGATGATATTCTAATTTACTGGCCAGCACCTGTAGACCACAGACATTAATACAGCGTAGTCGCCATATTGGGTGAGTCTCTAGCTAATATGATATCTATGGCTGTCACCATCGCCTCAAGAGCTCTCAAGCAACCACAGCTTCCGGTAATGATTTTCAAAATAAAACAAGGAAACACGGAACGCTGTGCATATAGACCACAGACATTAATACAGCGTAGCCGCCATATTGGGTGAGTCTCCTAACTGTTGAGATGTAATATTTTAATTTATTTTATTTTTATCAGCTACTGCCACAAGTGAATGACCACAGACATTAATACAGTGTAGTCGCCATACTGGGTGAGTCTCTAGCTAATATGATATCTATGGCTGTCACCATGCCTCAAGAGCTCTCAAGCAACCACGCTTCCGGTAATGATTTTCAAAATAAAACAAGGAAACACGGAACGCTGTGCATATAGACCACAGACATTAATACAGCGTAGCCGCCATATTGGGTGAGTCTCCTAACTGTTGAGATTTAATATTTTAATTTATTTTATTTTTATCAGCTACTGCCACAAGTGAATGAGTTAAAATACCTTGGGGTGAGATATTCATGAGTGAGAGAAAGATGGGGCGAGATCAATAGGTGGATTGGTGCTGTATCTGACTGCAGTAAATAATGCAGGCGTTGTACTGGTCTGGCATGGTGAAGAGAGCTGAGCCAGAAGGCAAAGCTCTCGACTTAGCGGTTGATCTACATTCCAGCCCTCTTCCATGGTCACAAGCTTTGGACAGCGACCGAAAGAATGAGATAGCCGACACAAGCAGCCAAAATTTCTCCGCAGCATGTCTGGGATTTCCCTTAGAAATAGGGTGAGAAGTTCAGTCATCCAGGAAGGGCTCAGAGTAGAGCTGCTGCTCCTTCACATCCACAGAAGCCAGTTGAGGTGGCTCAAGCATCTGGTTAGGGTGCTTCCCAGTCCCAGATACCTCCCAGCTGAGGTTTTCTGGGCACGTCCAACCGGGAGGAGACCTAAAGGAGGACCCAGGACACGCTGGAGGGACTAATGTTTCTCAGCTGGCCAAGGAAAGCCTTGGGACTCCGCCGGAGGAGCTGGACCAAATGGCTGGGGAGAGGGAAGTCTGGGCTTCTCTGCTCAGTCTACTGCCCCTGCAAACCAACCCCCAATAAGTGGACAAAATGGATGGATGGATGGACAGGTATGTATTTATATTTTTATTATTATGCCATATTATACGTCTGATTTTGTGGAAAAGCATAATAAAATTTGTTTTGGGTTAGGGAAACACATTCCTCAGTAGAAATAATTGCACTGGGAGCGAATGGAGGCCCATCCAAGATGGCCACTACGAAAGCTTCCATAGGCAGCAACAGCCCATGGGGCGTCTATGTACGTGATGTTTGTAACACTCTACTTTCTCCATTTATAAAATGTGAAGTGCTTTAGCCACTTTTTGGGATTTCTAACAAACTATTTGCAAAACTCAAGCATGCTTTTATGCCGTTACTATTATCTTTGGCTCCAACTAAAAGCAACAACAGAAATTAAGCTGTGGATTATTAATGAAAATTGTTATTATTACCATCTAAGAAACACGCTTTAGTGGTCAGATGGTAACAAAAGTGTCATATATATGTTAAATATATCACCTCTTTCGATTTTCCTGTAATTCTAACGATTCTGGATATGCTCAAACGTTGATAAAACATCAGCAATTTGTACAAAACGTGTAGCTCTTAGGTAATGTGATGACAGTGAGACTCAGCAACATCTTTAAATTTGACCCATTTTTGTGTTGGCTAATGTCGGTTATCTGTAACCAATAAATGATTTAATCAGTTGTAGATCAGCGATCATAGCCAGTACTTCAAAAACATTAACACAATACTCAATAATTCAATGAACAAGTGAGAACACATTCACGTAACGAATAAGAAAAATATTATATGGAACAACGCTGACAGTTTAGACTTTTCAAACCCAACACCCAACAAGACAGCTGCTCTTTTTAAGTTCGGGAGATGTCGTCTCTCAGGGTGGCGTCAATCCAATCAAACCCACCCAGGTGAACCTCTGTGTGACAGAACTTCTACGTCTCTAGGAAAATATCTCATCCAAGAAAACCCTACAATTTCACAACAATTCATACCACATATCACAAGTAAACAAGCGTTGTTTAATTCTCTTTACACAAAATCATTACATCTTGTTACAGCTGTCGTACAGATGTATCAGCCATGTTTATTTGCTTTCATCTTCTGATGGATCGGAAGTCTTCCTTCTGTTCATCACTAGAAAGATTCTCACTTCTGGACTGTAACAGATTACAAAACAGTAACAGTAATTAAATCTGAAGTTAAACACATTTTACATAAATATGTTTCCAATCAGATTAAATGTTAAAGCTCCTGAGCTCCTGAGTTAGGAAAACTCCAAATCTCGCGAGAATTCATCTTGCAGCGTAAGGTTACTTATGGGTTGTAGAACTGAGGAGCTGAGATGATCTGCTCAATGAAGTCGTGTAAACCAGCTCGTCATTGCTTCAGGAGCTCTGTCGGGTGGATTTGAGTAAATACCAGCGGTGTGACCAAGTCACTGCTTTGCAAGTCACAAGGAAGTCACAAGTCTTTCCAGTCAAGTCCAAGTCAAAGACAACCAAGTCCAAGTCGAGTCCAAAGACAGTGATGTGGAAGTCCAAGTCAAGTCCATGTCCTTAACTTTGAATTTCAAGTCATAATTAAGTCATCTGTCCAACTTCAATTTAATGGCAATGATAATAAATAAATTCCAGAAATAAAGCTTCTTAAAGCTTTGTTTATTTGCTCAAACAAGCAGAAAGTGCAACTGAAACTGGTTATAAATAAAGTGCTGCTGCATTTAGCAGAACAAGATCACACCCAGAACCAAGAATGATTTATGATTTTTGTCCATGTCGTGCCACTTTTGTGCTAAAATATCAAATATGCTCAAGTCAACGGATGCAAGTCGGCTCAAGTCCGAGTCAAGTCAAAAGTCTTTATAGATTTTATCAAGTCAAGTCAGAAGTCATTAAAATAATGACTAGAGTTTGGCTTGAGTCCACGTCACGTGACTCGAGTCCACATCTCTAGTAAATACAACACTAAGCTAACATGGATCTACCCATGTGGGTACGACGTATTGTACGTTAGCATGCTGTGCAAAGTTACCTGGGTCAAAGTTGTCCCCAAATATTCTCTTGGGAGGAATTTTTAAGTTCATGGATGGAAACTGTTTTCTTAACTGTAATAAATGAAGAAAACAGCAACATATGCATATAAATGTAAAACAGAGGGAATTTTATTATTTGTTATGTTCTTGATTTGTTGTGAAATCAACTCACTATTTTATAGTTTTTAAAACTCTGCATATCTCCTGAAGACGAACCATTCCTCTCGTTCAACAGACACAATCACCTTGTAAACCTGTGATAAAAAAAAGCAAGAAGAGTTTATAAAACGAACGATAAATGACCCGCACTTGTATAGCGTCTCTCAGAGTAAGGACTCCAAAGCGCTTTACACTACAGTGTATCATTCATCCATTCACACACACATTCACACGCTGATGATGATGAGATATGATGTAGCCACAGATGTCCTGGGGTACACTGACGGAAGAGAGGCTGCCGAGCGCAGGTGCCGCTGGTCCCTCCGACCACCTCCAGCAGGCAAAGTGGGTTAAGTGTCTTGCCCAAGGACACAACAGCAGAATTCTCTGTCCGGAGCCGGGATCAAACCTGCAACCTTCCGATTACTGGACATCACGCTATGCTGACGTTGGGGAGACCTGGTTGCTCTTCCATCTTCAGCTTCAACAGCGTTCACAGGTGCAAAGGTGTAAAGTGATGAGTGTCCCAACATAAGGATTCAAATGTACAGCAAATCAATCCTCTTATACATTTATTTGTCTATTGCACAACAAAATATAGCGCAGAGCCAGTTTAGTCTTTTGCTTTAGCTGCAAAGACAGAACTAATCACATAAAGGGAGCTCCTCTTTTTTGTGGTTATAATTTATTTATTTATCTGCATTGTGACGGTTAAGTATCCTTAGTTTTTTGCCTGGATTGTGTGTTTTTTAGCAGGACATCTCATGAACTAGTGGATGAATTTTAGCAATGCCTCAGTACCACATTCTTTCCAAAGTGAGTACTTGCTGATACCGAGTACCAATACTGAGTAAAATACCGCTGACCTATATCATGTTTTGGTACAGATTCAGCTCAACAGAAAATAAGAAGTCAAATACTTGTCTTAAAAAATGTGAAGGATATCAGTCTGTTGATGATCTGCCTAAGCAATTAGATTAAAAAGAAATCTGAGCATTGTTTCCACTCTGAGCTTTTTAGAAGTGACACTCTGAGCCGAATCGCTTAAAAAGAAGGATGTGTTTACTTGATGATGATTTTTAGCTTTAGTCTGTTATCACGACTCAGCAGTGAGTTGGTGATTTACACTGAGGGCATTGGCATTAACTAGCATAACGCAGCTAATCGTTTTGCTTTCAAAGCTAAGTTTTAATAGGGAAATGGAGAGTGAGTTTATTTTAGCAGTCACACGTCACATCAAGTAAAAAGCAAACAACCATAGGGTTAACTACAAATGGAAAGACGTGGATTTCCAAATAAATTCAGACAAAAGAAAAAAACAAAAGTATATAGGCTAGAAGTACAAGACAAACTATAAGAATAATCTTTTGTGTTACACTATATTAAAAAATCAGGACAATATTAAACCTGAAGCAAAAAACAGCTCAACACACAAATAAAAGCATTTCCTCACCTCTCATGAACGTCAGGAGAAGCAGGAATTTGTGTGTTTTTCCTGCACAAGGTTCCAAATATTAATACCAGCAGCCAAATACTCTATCAACCACATTTTCTTTATTTCAAAATAAAACTAGGAAACAAAGTCTTTTACACATTTTATGTATATTTATATGTCTTTATTTATTATGATTTTTACAAAAACAGATATATGCACACATGTATTATTTCTTGCTGCTACAATCCAAGTCTTTCTGCAGCATTTTAGGCCATTACTCTGATTTCTAACAAGCTCTTTGCATAATTCAAACAAACTTTAATTCAGTCGCTGTTATCTTTATGCTGGTAGTCTAAAAATACTTGTGCAATTATGATGCAATAGGAAATTGCTCATTTTGTAATCAGATTCAAAATTGTGTGAAATCGCACAGTATAATTTGATTAAGTCCAAATGTATATTATTATTATTATTATTATTATTTCATATTGTTATAGTAATTATTATTAATAATAACGTGAGTGGAATTAAAGAGGCTTTTATTTTCATCAGAATACAACGATCCTACTTCCGCTTTTCCGTCTTTAAGAAGCACACAGTAGTCTAACAGTGAAAATGGGACACATGAGGGACACCTACTATTAGAAAACTGTAAAATGTCTCATAATTTGCATCCAAAATTTTAAAGGCTTACAGGGGAACAAAAGAAAACTTTCTATTGTTATTATAGATAGTTTGTCTGCTAACCACTGCAATTAAAAAAATTCAGAGATACTAATGCTAAGATTGCATGTCACGGGGAAAAACCACCGGTGAAAGTCTAAATGCCCACTAGATGGCAGCAAATTCCAGTTTCTTAAGGCGGCAGAGAAAGTTCGCTCTCAAACACAATGCAAATATTATTATATCACAAAGATGATGTAATATTTTGAGTCACAGATGTTTTATCATGCCAATTATGAGCAACATACATTTCACAGTTTTGCACACGAACCCTACATGATCTGGTTTGTAATGAAGAACTTCACGAGGAGCTATATGTTTAAGATATGAGTGATTAAATGTGCAAATGTTTGTTTTATGGGAAAATAGGTTCCACATCTTCTGTCACCAACATCCCCAAAGGACCAAAGCCCCCGCAGCCCCGTCAACCCGTCTGAACCCTGTATGTACAGTCTATGGTCTGAACCCACCACATCCATTCTCCCGAGGAGTTGTGAAAGTGAACACCCGCCTCCCTCAAATCTCATCCAATGAAGAGTACGCTCGTGAAAAATTCAACCAATCGGTTACGAACAGTTCCTCCTCAATTGACCTATTAGCTTTGAGCATTCACTTCTTTTCTTTGGCAGCCCAGTTTTGACCAATAGGAAACGAGGCCGCCTGCGCAGAGGGCTGGGCGCGAGAATCGGCGGGATGGACAAAAATCATAACGCCACGGAGCTGTACGCACAGGGGAAAGATTACGAGAACCCGTTCTGACGGCGAGTAATGAAAGTAATGTGTCGGTTCCTCTATCTAAATACCGGCGTTTTGTTGTGTAACACTACATTTTTAAGAAAGACGTACCAGCAAGGGACACAAGGACGACTTTCATATCTGCCGAGGCGATTTTATCGGAAGTGAAAATGGCGTTTGCACAGAGAGCAATGTTATGAAGACAGTTAGCCCGTTAGCTAGCCGCACAGTTACCGCAAACAAAACAGCAATGACTAACATCAGTTTCTATGGATAAACCTCTGTTAATGCGGGACTTCAGAAAATTTCCAAACACAGCTTCGTCTTTGATAATATTCAATCATCCTACTGGCTATGGACAACGTCAAGTCACGCAGGTAGGTGATTTTATTAGATATGGTTCACTTGCCATCTTTTTGTTTGCCCCTTGTGATCTTATCAGCCTATAAATGTAATAATATTGGATAATTCAGCCTGAATGTTGTGGAAGCAGGGTGGGCGTTAACGTTCATGTGCACCTGAACATCTCAGAAGATCTACTGTAGAGGGATATAATAAAGAACAATAATAATAATAATAATAATAATAGCATAATAATTCAAAAGAGCATTACCCAAAAGTGTAGTACTGGTTGAACTAACCCTAAATATTTTTTGTTAGCCTCAAGGGCAACCTACTGACCTTATTATAACTTGTAAGTCGCTTTGGACAAAAGCGTCTGCTAAATACATCAACATAAATGAATAAAAAGCAAGACTAAAGTGCATACTGCAGTTTACTACTATTTCCCTCCTTCATTCCTTTTTTTTACTGCAGGGCAAAAAAGACGTGGAGAAATAAACCTATAAGTCCATGAAGCTCTTTTAATGTACTCTGTCTCTGAGTTGAGAAGTAATTGAAACCAAAAGCAGTAAATACTTGAGTCATGTGATTCCTAATCAAATGTTGCCATATTATGATGCAAAATGTCACATTGATTGCTGTATTTATTCGTTGGTTACTGATTATGAAAATCTGTGTTTTTGGCATCTAACTCACAAAACCGTGTCAAACAAACTAAATTGTTGAAATGATCATGTTAAACTGTTTTTTGATTTTTTATTAATTTAAATAACCAGCAAAACTGTCGCAACTAAAATATAAATCATCACTGAAATCTTTCTTTTGTTTATCAGGGTCAGTTTCAGTCCTAAAAAATTAGGACATTTTGATATTATTGGTAAAAAGTATTCCAGGTATTGCTATGTGATTTAAAATTATGCTAAGCTAAATGCCAGGACTTTATATTAGTGTGTTTATTTTGTATTTTGAACCAGTGGACCGTTAGGGCTTTGCCAAGCCTTTGACCACACCTCCACCTTATTCACAGAGGCTCACTCTCATGCACCTCTGCTACTGAAAGGCTGCTGTTGATGCGAGATCACCAGTTTCATTACACCTCTCCTTCCTGTTCGACTTTACGTCCAGACTCGGTCACTTTTCTCCTGCTCAAAGTGAGAAAATCTGGCCTCATAAAGGTTTCTACAGCAAAGAACGTCTTTTTTTCTTACTCAGATACAAAACCTAAGTCAGTGTTGCACAAATCCGGTCAAACAAGTAGTTAATGCCAACATTCTGAATTAGATTTAGCATGGTAAAACTGGGCTTTTGTAATCTCCCAAGAATGCAGTGAAGAACTGAAATGGGACCTGGTTTAGTTGTTGAGAAGAAAACACTCCTAAGGCACTGATGGTGAGCAGAAAACAATAGTGTTTTTACTTTTTTCTGCTTTTTTCACCTGTGTGTTTTAGCACTGATGAAGACGACGAGCTGCTTTCCACAGATCCAGAGAGTAAAGAAAAGAACAAAGATAAAAAGACGCTGTGCAAAGTCAAGTGGTCTCGGGATGAAGTGAGTTTTTCAAGTTCAGACTAAAAATGTAAATGACTGCTGCCCTAATATGTAAGAACAACTTTAATTGCACCCTCATTTAGAAAGATCAGGGTTAACATTTAATTCTCACCGTCTATATTTTCTGTTATTCTATTTTTTAAGGATGAAAAACTGAAGAAACTCATAGAGCAGCATGGAACTGAATCCTGGAAATTAATCGCTAACCTTTTTCCTGTGAGTATTAAACAGAAATCATTTTTAATATCTCCTTCATGACTCTTACCTGCACCAGCTGCATTTGGATGTGTAACTGCAAAGATACAGTTAAACACAGCTGTCATTGTAGCTGACAAAAGGTGTTACACTTTGTGTCACAGGGGAGGACAGATGGTCAGTGTCAGCACCGCTGGCAGAAGGTGCTCAACCCCGAGCTGGTAAAAGGACCGTGGACAAAAGAGGAGGATCAAAAGGTAAGTGGAGCTGGGAGGTTCTGTTTGGGAGAGAGGGATGACTAAAGAGCAGAAGGATAGCAGAGCTGTAGGGAGTTGGTGAAGAACGTAATATCTATGACACTCAGAGAACCTGTTGTGTCCTCACGCAGCTGTTTTCCCGCTTAAATTGGGTTTATTTATCCCCCACCCGCCCCTTTTCCTATTTGTGTGTGTGTGTGTGTGTGTGTGTGAAGTGAAATATCCATTACATCATTCTTTAAAGAAAAAAACACACATGCACACTTTCCAAAGCTAGAGTCCAGCCCTTTCTTAGTCAGGGAGATGTTTTTTTTAGCTTATAGAAATGAATTCCTTCAATGGATCAATGCTGCTAAATAATGTTCTTTAAAGAATAGATTCAAACTGATTTTATTACAAGTGTTTACATAGAGCCTAATGAGCTTTGTTTATGCCCGGGCTATTTATTAATGCTTGTGGTTTGCTGTTGGTGCAGGTGATCGACTTGGTTCACAAGTATGGCCCCAAGCGCTGGTCCGTGATCGCAAAGCACCTCCAGGGAAGGATTGGGAAGCAGTGTCGGGAGCGTTGGCACAACCACCTGAACCCGGAGGTGAAGAAGTCTTCGTGGACTCAGGAGGAGGATCAAATTATCTACGAGGCTCACAAACGGCTGGGCAACCGCTGGGCAGAGATCTCCAAACTCCTTCCTGGACGGTAAAATAACACCATAGTGTTTTTATTTTCTTTCAGTCAGTAAATTTTAAAAGATGATCAATCCTTCCCTCAACAGGACAGACAATTCCATCAAGAACCACTGGAATTCCACCATGAGGAGGAAAGTGGAGCACGAGGGTTACCTGCAGGACGGCTGCAAGGCTTTCACCTCCAGTGGTGTCAAAAGACGTCACAGTAAAGCTCCAACACCAGCAGAACCCCCGCTATGTGACCGCAGCCCTCTTCCTGTGCCTGGGCCCAACCAGGTCTCCTTTCAGCCTTTACACTAAGAGGTCCATTGGCTTCTTTCATTTCTGCTCCTTTTCTGAGTTGCTGTTGTGTTACAGATGGCTGGATTTTCATACGATCCTGCCAGCGGACACATGATGGACAGCCTCTCTGAAAACCCCGGCTTCATGCTAGTGAGTCTTTCTATTTAAATCTCTTTTCACTCCTTTTATTCTCCTATCTCTACTGTTGTTGTGGTGATTGCTAACTTCGGACAAATCAAGCTAATCAAAAACTTGACTGTCCTGTTGTTTTCCGCTATCCCCGAATAATCGATTTGTGTCTAAATTTGTTTTGTTTTCTCTCCTTCACTAAAAAAAAACTTCTCAATTCTCCACTCTTTTTTTCCCCCTTCCTGTTTTCTTTTCCTACCCGGCCGTTTGTTTACTCCAGCCGTCCTGCCTGGATGATCCTGACAGAGAGCAAAGAATTAAGGAGCTTGAGCTTCTACTTATGTCAGCAGAAAGAGAAGTCCAGCGGCAAATGCAGTGCAGAGGTTCCTGTGTAAGAACACACTCCAAACGTGTGTTAGCAGACCTTGTTAGCATAGCCTGCGTGTGTCTGTAGCTCAATTACACTGTAAAAAAGCTAATTTCATTCAAAAAATACACACAATCACTAAGAAATCATTTAAAAATGAACATTTTTGTTGCTTATGAACTTTTTTGCAGTGTATACCCATGAAAACAAGAGTGGTGTGCATTTATTTGTGCCTATAGGCTGGTTTGCTATAGTGTTGCTATAGTAACTACTTTTCCCATCTTGCTGCTCACTCATCTTGCCCTGCGGCTGTGCTGTGTTGTCACCCCACCTCCTGCAGAAACCCCTGTAGTTCTGATCACTCCTTTCATCAACACTGAAACTTTTTCCACATCGCATCCTTAACTTGCTGCTAGTTTCATTTTGGACCAAAAAAAAAAAAGTCCATCTGCGTCCTCAACACCAGTTGTTTTTCTGGCGACCCCCTCAGGGTGTGGATCCATACCCAGCCTGGTCAGACGGTGTGTCTGATGACGTCTTCGCCACAAGCAGCAGCAGCCTAGAAGAACCAGTGGAGAGGGAGCCCTGGAGGGGTCCAGAGATCTCGCCGGGGCCTCCGACACAGCTTCCAGTCTCCCCCAGTAAGTTCCTGTCTGTAGAGGCCAGCGCTGTGCTCTCCAGCCTGCAGACCATCCCGGAGTTTGCAGAAACCATGGAGCTCATCGATTCAGTGAGTAAAGAAAAAACAGGATTTTAAAAAACAAATCAGTTGTACATTTAAAGAAAAACTTTGACTGTAGATGTATTTTACTCAGCAGGACCCCGCTACGTGGAACAATGCGGCCGCTTTAGACTTGCCGAACACAACGCCGCCCCTCAGACAAAACCAAGCAGGCTACGCAAATCCCTTGCAAGAGAAGGCCGTTTACAATCTCATAGATTTCACCGCCAATGCTCCCAGTGTCGTCTCAGGCAGGAACGCTGCTCCTTTTGGTTTGGGGGGCGGCATCAACCCATCGAAACCCACCCAGGCATCCATCGGGAAGAAAAGGAGGAAAGACAGAGGGGAACCTCTGTGTGAAAGGATCTGTTCATCTTTTTTGGAGAACATCTCACCCAAGAAAACTCCCACAAAGTCGCAACATTTCACGCCATCGCGAGTAAATGAGCGCTGCTCTATTGTCTTCAAACCTCAAACCAGAATATTGCATCTTCCTACTGCCGTTGTACAGATGTTTTATCAGTCATGCACCACATTTGTCTGTCTTGTCAGCTCTGCAACACATCAGGGATGGAGCACCTGAATCTGGATGATCCCACCCTGACGTCAACCCCCGTGTGCAGTCAGAGGTGCATCCTCAAAGGAGCTACGCCTAACCACCAGAAAGAGAATGATGGGTAAATAAGTGATCATTAAAGCTAGATTGTGCTTTTAATAAACTCTTACTATAATGACAACACTTGTGTAGTTCCAGGACTCCAAAAGTTCGTAAAAAAGCCGCCGTTCTAACCCCGAGAACTCCCACTCCCTTTAAAAACGCTCTGGCTGCTCAGGAGAAAATGCATGGCCCGCTGAGGTTGGAGGTAGGATTTGTTTTGTGTGTGGTTCGTTATATTCCTGATCAGTTTGCGTTGTAGTTTACATTCATCCTGTCGCAGCCACAGCCTTTGGCATTTCTCGAAGAGGACATTCGAGAAGTCCTGAAGCAGGAGACGGGAACGGACATCTTCCACAAAGCAGACTTCCAGCTGGACCACCGAGCGTGGAAGCACCATGTGAGTTTCACTCCTCAATCAGCTGTTTTTTGTTCTGTTTAAAAAAATAATTGAACCAAACCGGAGTGATCTAACACTGACAGCGACTCTTCTACATTTAGATGGACGGCCCGGCTAGAAAAGTGCGCAAGTCTCTTGTTTTAGACTCTTGGGAGAAGGACAGTCTCGATGTCCAACTCTTCCAGGAGCAACTCAACAATGCACTGGTAAGTCACTTAGGAAAACTATTTTTGTGTCCGCAATATAACAAGAATCATTAATAGCAAATAAAAGCACTGAGGTTTGTGTGACAGAAAATCTTCACTTTGATTGACCGTTCTGTTATAAAAGACTAAAACGTAAAAGTTTGACAAATGCCTGATGTCATATTGCAGTTGTCGGAGTCTCTGCTGACAAACTCTTCTTCACTGGTCGACCCTGAGCAAGAGAAACGTGGACAGGCTTTGCCTTCTAAGAAAGACGGTCCCTCTTTAGGAGTTCGCAGTCACGCTCAGCAGTTCTCTAGCCCTCCTATCAAGAAGGTATCTTCCTTGATTAAAGCACCAAAACCCGCTCACTCACAGGTGTGTATGAACAAAACATCAAATATTTTATTACAATCTAAAGGTTTCTGCATCCTTCTTGAAGTGTGTTTCTGTCTAAAAGTTATAAAGATCTCTTTGTAGACCGCTTCCTGAAGAGCCTTAGCTCTTAGCTAATGCTAACAGCTAGTTGAGTGTATTGACCCTTTGCACCGACGTCACCTAATCACGTGGGCCCACCATGCTGGACGGCAAAAGCATGTAATCAGTCAGCGACACGAGTAGTAAACAAAGGGGAAAGTAGAGCCTGAAATTGTTTTTGCGATCAAAACAAAACTCCTCCAGCATTCCTTCAACTAGTTCATGCCCAGTTCAGTTATCAGAAGAATTAGCGCATCTAGCGGGGGCTCATAGAGAGCGGTACGTTAGCTTACCTTCTCTCTGCAGCTGTTCACATGTTGCTGGCTTTGCCTAAATTCACCCCTCTGGATTTATAACTTTATGTTATAAACAGCGTTTCACTTTACACCGAAGCTGATTTTTAAAAAGTCCGGATCCCTACCAGCTTCTGTTGCTGGTGGTGTTACCGGGTTCAGCTGCTGCTCTCACACCAAAATGAGAAGATCTATGAACGGCGATGCTCATATAAATTAATAAATAACGTAATTTTAACACACGTAATCATACATCGGAGCTTTAATATTGTTAATAATTATCTCGCTTTACACTACAGTGGACGGCGTGCATCATCTGTGGTGAAATACCCATCCATCAGGATTATCAATAGCTAGTATAAACACATCACATTTATCCCTGTCCCTGTCTTCCTCGTGAAATAAATGAACGTTAATCTTACCCAGTAAAAACATGTTCGCTGCAAATCTGAGGGCTGTTAGTCCGCTTGATTGATCGCTGCAGTTCATCTCCGTCCTCAGACTCCATCAAAGTTATTAAAAAGACAAAACGAGTCGAGTTTACGTCCTTGTCTGTTAGTGCAGCCAACCACACAGCAAGCTAAAACCATTTTACTGCCAAATCAACTAAATAAAAGCGATAAAAGGCTACAAACTGGCTTGTTTTGACTACCTTCACTGGAGTTTCTACAGGTGTAAACGGACTTTTTGCCGCCCATCATGGCGAAGGGGGCGGTCACATGAGTGGCGTGACGTCACGTGCAAAGGATCAATTGCTGCTGTCTTAATGTGACTTAAAGGGACATTATGGAAGTTTGACAGCCAAAACATGTATAGAAATAATAAATTTCTTCTTCATTCATTCTCCTGCAATGCCCTGGTCCTGTAGAATGAGCCCTGGCATTTTTACTGTGATTGCCTGTTTTTCTGTAAAATCACAGAAAAAGAGAGCTGCACGGGTCGAGCAGGCTGCTTCATGCGCGTTCACGCTCAGGCATAGCCCGTAGCATTTGCTATCTGTAGCTTTAGCAGCAGAGAGAGAGGCAGTGCCAACTCAGCGACTTTATCGCTGTTCCTAACGCCTAGTGATGAACCTAGCTACATTTCTGAGGACACTTAGCTACTTTCTTCTAGATATTTCTTGCAAATTAGCAACAAAATAGCCATTTTTGCTTTGAACCGTTCTTTGGATTGACGTGTTTCCAGATGTCATCAAGGATATAAATGTTACAGATAGAATTAATGTTGCTGGTGCTTTAGCGATGTAAGATGTCTGACTCTCATGCTGAAGACCTGGTTTTGACTCCAGGTGTGAACATAATTTGTTATTTGGAGTTGCTTTATTACATTAATGATATATTTTTTTTACAGTAATTAGACACCCAAATTTTTATTTGAGACTCGCCGAAAGGCATTGAATTCACGGATAAAAAAGATGTGGGTTCAACTTTCATTTTGGAACAATTTTTCAAGCAAGGGAAGGGAATGATCTGAGCGTGCAGGAGGACTGACCCATCTTAAACCTTTGTCGGCTGTGCTGAAGAGAAAGGTACAGAATCAAATTATTTAATTAATTAGCTGCGTGTTCTCCTGTCCTCTGTCCTCCGGGCCACACACACACACACACACAAACACACACACACACACACACACACACACACACACACACACACACACATACTGCACGCTCGGCCGGCCGACAAGAAAGTGCAGCTGCAGAGACAAAGGCACATTATTTTTATTAATTTGCTGTGTTCTTCTGTCCTCTGGGCCATACAAACACACACACACGGGACGGTCTCAGCTGTTATTTTCGTTAGAGTGTGCACGTACAGCATGCGCACCTCATGCACGAGCTTACTTTTGAAGCTGCAGTTACGCGTTATGCCTGAGTGATGATCGCGAGCATAAAAACTTAAAACTTCCTTAGAGTCCCTTTAAAGCTCCAAAATTTCACAGCAGCTCAAACAAAATTGTTTTATAAACACCAAAATTTTGATTTGCAAATTTTTTTTGTTAATATTTTTCCAGTACGTCATTTCTGGAAGCTACAGGAGCGCTACGTGTTGTTGCCTATGATACATAACAGTTACTCTAGTAAACAACCAAATTCCATGTAAATAAGTAATGCAGAACTGATGACAGTATAAATGTTTATATTAATAATATTGCGTGAACTGCTATCAGTTAGCGATAGGCTTTTTTCTGATGTTAGCTCACCAGTCTTGTAGGACCTAAATGCTGTTTAGGTCCTACAAACAAAAAGAAATGTTGAATTTACTCGAACCAAGTTATATTATCAACTGGTTCCACTAAACCTAGATGCTTCCACATCCTGGTCGGGTCACACCAAAGACTTTAAAATGGGACCCAATGCCTCCCTGCTTGACGCTCAGCTTTAAGAGGTTGGATTGGGAAGTTAAACCAGCAAATGGTTCCTGAGCGCAGCCACAGCTGCAGCTTACTGCCCCCCACAGGAAGGGCCAAATGCAGAGATGTAATTTCACCAGTGTGTAATGATGACTAATGGGACTTTATTGCACGCATTGACATTTAGCCCCGGTTTTCCACTGGATGTGTAATGTAATAGAGGCATTTTACCTACAAACTCTCTTTCAAACAAGAAAATGTCAGACGTGAAATGGCAGCGAAAACGTTCCACGCATCTGGTCTCACAAGGTCCAAGATTACATGTCATTTCGGCTACGGGGCGTCACAGCTAACATTCTCACTTGACTTACTTGTTAAACAACTGGAAATCTGCATGTGACTTTTGTCTTGAAAATTTCCAGATGTTTTACACTGCTTTCATGTTTGACTCTTGTCTGGCCCAATCTGAACTACGTTCTGGAAGTGCGTAACAAAACGTCAAAAGTGTAAGCAACTCATCTCTACGCTTCTGGCACGCGTCCAGAACGCAGCACATCCCTGCCAGTGAAAACGCACCCATCCAACAAAATGGCGGCTAACTGCTGTGTACTACACTTCACCGACATTATGCAATGCTTACAGTTCCTATGGCAAGGCCTGATAACAGCGTATATCTCTCTTTACAATTAAGCATCTAGGTTTAGTGGAACCAGTTGAGATAACTTGGTTAAGTAAACTCAACATTTCTTTTGGGGGGGGGGGGGGGATTATTTTGAACTTTAGTACAGAAACACACTTTAAGAAACTCTTTAATATGCAGGTTAAAGAGTGAGGTTGTCGTCCTAGTCACAGTAACCAGTTACCTCTTCCTCTGCAGGTAAGTGAGTGGGAAGCAGTGGTTTATGGGAAGACTGAGGACCAGCTCATCATGACAGAACAGGCTCGTCAGTACCTGAACCCCTTTTCATCGTCTGGCTCTACCTCAAGGGCTCTGGTGCTTTAAAGGCCATCCCCTTCAGCTAGCAGCATTACATCCGACTCAAACGTCCACCAAGTCCCCGTGGGAGACAATCCACGGAGCAGAAACACCGTCCACATACAGGCACGGCTGCTGGTACTGTTAACGCATGCTTAGGTCACGTAGTTCATACTGATCAGTAGCTTCAGACTTATACAGTGGGGCAAAAAAGTATTTAGTCAGCCACCGATTGTGCAAGGTCTCCCACTTAAAATGATGACAGAGGTCAGTAATTTTCATCATAGGTACACTTCAACTGTGAGAGACAGAATGTGAAAAAAAAATCCATGAATTCACATGGCAGGATTTCTAAAGAATTTTTTTTGTAAATCAGGGTGGAAAATAAGTATTTGGTCAATAACAAAAATTCAACTCAATACTTTGTAACTTAACCTTTGTTGGCAATAACAGAGGTCAAACGATTACTATAGGTCTTTACCAGGTTTGCACACACAGTAGCTGGTATTTTGGCCCATTCCTCCATGCAGATCTTCTCGAGAGCAGTGATGTTTTGGGGCTGTTGCCGAGCAACACAGACTTTCAACTCCCTCCACAGATTTTCTATGGGGTTGAGGTCTGGAGACTGGCTAGGCCACTCCAGGACTTTCAAATGCTTCTTACGGAGCCACTCCTTTGTTGCCCGGGCGGTGTGTTTGGGATCATTGTCGTGTTGGAAGACCCAGCCACGTTTCAACTTCAAAGCTTACTGATGGAAGGAGGTTTTGGCTCAGAATCTCACGATACATGGCCCCATTCATTCTGTCCTTAACACGGATCAGTCGTCCTGTCCTCTTAGCAGAAAAACAGGCCCAAAGCATGATATTCCCACCCCCATGCTTCACAGTAGGTATGGTGTTCTTGGGATGCAACTCAGTATTCTTCTTCTTCCTCCAAACATGATGAGTTGAGTTTATACCAAAAAGTTCTTCTTTGGTTTCATCTGACCACATGACATTCTCCCAATCCTCTGCTGTATCATCCATGTGCTCTCTGGCAAACTTCAGACGGGCCTGGACATGCACTGGCTTCAGCAGCAGAACACGTCTGGCACTGCAGGATTTGATTCCCTGCCGTTGTAGTGTGTTACTGATGGTGACCTTTGTTACTGTGGTCCCAGCTCTCTGCAGGTCATTCACCAGGTCCCCCGTGTGGTTCTGGGATTCTTGCTCACCGTTCTCATGATCATTTTGACCCCACGGGATGAGATCTTGCGTGGAGCCCCAGATCGAGGGAGATTATCAGTGGTCTTGTATGTCTTCCATTTTCTGATAATTGCTCCCACAGTTGATTTTTTCACACCAAGCTGCTTGCCTATTGTAGATTCACTCTTCCCAGTCTGGTGCAGGTCTACAATTCTTTTCCTGGTGTCCTTCGAAAGCTCTTTGGTCTTGGCCATAGTGGAGTTTGGAGTCTGACTGTTTGAGGCTGTGGACAGGTGTCTTTTATACAGATAATGAGTTCAAACAGGTGCCATTAATACAGGTAACTAGTGGAGGACAGAAAAGCTTCTTAAAGAAGACGTTACAGGTCTGTGAGAGCCAGAGATTTTCCTTGTTTGAAGTGACCAAATACTTATTTTCCACCCTGATTTACAAATAAATTCTTTAAAAATCCTGCCATGTGAATTCATGGATTTTTTTTCACATTCTGTCTCTCACAGTTGAAGTGTACCTATGATGTAAATTACTGACCTCTGTCATCATTTTAAGTGGGAGAACTTGCACAATCAGTGCCTGACTAAATACTTTTTTTGCCCCACTGTATTTTAACATATTATTTAAAAGCCGACATAACGATACTGGTGTGTCTCGCCCCGTTGCTGTTATGAGATAAAAACAACACTCATGCTGCCGTTTTTAAAATCACACTAAATCACACTTTTAAATACAACACCAATCATTGTTTTTCATTAAAAAAACAGCAGCGTGGTTGTTGTAACAGTATGTGGGAATGTTTTCTGTCAGTATTGCACTACTGAGATAATTTTGCTGCTGAGGAAGGAGCGTGATTATTATTATTATTTTTTATGAGCAGACTGGATAGCACTTCTGAATAACAACACAACGTTTCCTTTCCAAGGCCATAAAAAAATCAGCTGAATGTATTTCATTGCAATGGAAGAACCTCAAACATGGAAGGGTACTTTATTGTTTATTTCTAATTGTTTTATTTATTTTTCAGTTTTTAAAGCTTAGATATTAATATAAATCAGACAACATAAGGTCTAACTGCTGACAAAACAGCCTAAAAACTCTCTTGCTCTAAGCATTGCTACCTTTTATTTTTCAACTTTCAGTCCCGGTGATTCATTCTGACTTCATACCACAAAAATCAAGCATTTGGCTGAGAAGGATTGTAGTTTTCATGTGAAGGCTGTAGGTTCTATTTATTTACTATTTATTTATTTCTTTGAAAAAGAAAACCTTTAAGAAGAATTATTGAAGAATTTTATCAATCTTTTCACTTTTAAAATCAGGATTGGGCTACAGTTCATTTTCCTGCACTGCCATTCATTTTAATTTGAACTTCTCTTGATCGTACGAGATGTAGAAAATAATGTTGTAGATATGTGAGTGATGTTGTAACATAGATGAGGCTTTTTCCTCCCCTTTAAATTAAATGTCGCTGTTAGGTAGCAGGACACCATCTCCGACCTCTAATCATGGACAAATTGCACTTTTTATTCATTTGAATAAAAATTTTAAGTTCATTTGAAGGATGTAGCTCTTGTTTATGTGTTTTAGATGTGTTTCTGTCTATGTTAGTTACTGCTGCTTGATTTTCTCCCGTTTGGCTGTGAAAAGGTGTGTTAAGTTCTCCTTGTCCAGTATCTCACTAGGCTGTTGACGACCAGACAGCTATGCAAACTTGAAAGAAAGTCGACACATTTTCAACTTAGAACAAGTCTAAATCGGTTCTTAAGTTATTCTTTTACGAAGTTTTATATTGTCAGTTCATGAGGGATGTAAGATGTAACAAACCGCTATTTAGTCAAGTCAAAATTTGTTTAACCCTCCCACCGTCCTAATGGGTGTGACCCTGTGAGGAAAGCTGACCATTGAGCGGGGTTGATGGTTTATCCCTTGGGTCCATGTGGCAGGGGTGAGGAGTGAGCACCACCTCACCCCTGCCACATTGACCTCAAGGGATAAATCACCAACCCTGCTCGATGGTCAGCTTTCCTCACGGGATCACCCATAAAGACAGTGGGAGGGTTAAAAAGCACATTTAAGAAATATCTGCTAACTAAAGTAATTAATAAAACAATTATTAATATAAAAGCAATGTAAATAAACTCAAGTACAATAAAATACAACATAAAGCAAAATAAGGGAAGATTAACACAATATGGGGGTAAGAAATAGGGGTATTCATAAGTATTTTCAGCTCGTTAAACAACACCAGACAGCTACAATTTATAAGCGTGACTCTCCCATATTCCAGTCAGAATCGACAAAGCTCCTCGATTAGAAGCAAAACATCTTCAAGAAGTCAAATAATTCCAGTTGTCTTATTTAAACCCTTTGGATTATCATGACTGAGAACCTTCAGTTCAATGGCTATAGCTCCCACCCCCTGCTTCCCCTCCCCTTCTGAAAGGACTTCATATCGCACAAGCATAGAGAAGGCAGGGCTTAAACAATAGTACAATGTCGTTAAACTGATCACTTAACTCCAATACACAAAAGATAAATTCTTGTTTTGTTCCCCACCCTCCCCTTCCACAGTTAGCTTGTTAGTCTACTGACATTAATTGAATTCAGTTCAAGTTAGTATTCAAGCTAGTGCCACATTAGCCCTTGGTATACACAGCATACAACAATTATCAGCCCTACTTTTCTTTTATTTAAACAAAAAATGTGTACAGTTCTCTAAAATATTGTAAACTACTTAGTATTTGCCTGTCCAAAAGCAACTTTAGCAAAAAGATCACGAAGTCCCAACGTAAATTCCACTCAATTGTCGTAAAACAAAGTAGAAGGAATCGGTAACTTCGGCAATTGCTTTGGATGCCCCATTGCAAACTTCCGGCGTCACTCTGTAGAGCTTACTGGGGATTAGGAGGCATTTTTGTTGATTGACGGCTCCCTGTTGCAAATATGCAAATCTATTGATCTGGAAACTTTAGGCTGGAATAAATTATTTGTTATGCTTTAAAGTAGTGATGCACCGATATGAAATTTTTGAGCGGTTACCGATATCCAATATTGAGATCACTGTTATGGCAGATAACCGATATTTACAGATACCGATATACTGACATTAATGCTTCTAATATCAGCAGATTTTGTATAGAATGAAAATTATTAAAGCTGAATTTACCTTATTATGTACACACAACACACACATTTATGGTTCAATCGCTGTCACATGACTAAACAAATACACATCACCCCCCTCACCCTCTGAAACAGGCAAAGAAATGGAGACGAGGTGGAAAAAATATTGGTTGTTAATATCGGCCCGGTTTTATTTATTGAACCGATACCGATATGTTAAAAAATGACTAACATTGGCAGATACCGATATTGATGCCGATATATTGTCCATCCCTACTGTAAAGGCTAAAGGAGGGTTTATCTGGGCCGCTCCACCAGATGCATAAGCATTGCGTCTGCAGAACGTAGTATGCAGTAATTAGCCGTCGTTATAGAGGTAGGGTGCGTCTGTGATGTGTCGCATTTTGAACGTATCCCAGAAGTGTAGCTACGAGTCGGTCTGCTAAATTTACGCGATGCACTTCCAGAACGTGTCAAGCTCAGCAGTTCAGATCAGACCAAACAGGAAGTCAACTACAGGAACAGTGCAAAATCAAAACTTTTCTAAATAACCTACACATGCAGATATCCAGTTGCTTAATTACATAAATAAAGAACTTCTTTACCTGTGAAACCTCCATAGCCGAGGTAAACAGAACAGAAAATAAATCACAGACCCTTTTGGATACATGCTGCCATCTTTCTTATTGCTTAATATCGTGTAACCCGCCAAAATTATGCGTGATCATCGACTTCTCCAGTGATTTTGTGACCTCACGGGACCATATCAGTTATGAAATATTAACTACTTTATATCGTAAAACAGGGTCAGATAATGACATTTAAGCATTTCTGAAGTTACTTAAAATTTAAATAACGTATTCTAGCAATAAACAGAACCTTTGATTCGTAGACGAAAATCAAAAGTTTGAACATTTCTGACCTTCTAAGGCTGCTAAAAAAGCTCTAAGTTAATGTTTTTTAGTTGTCCGTAACAAATTTGCGACTTTTTACTGTACAAAATATTTGAATTGCATTGTTGAAGACAAAAAAAATTGCGAGAAAACTTTCAAATCTTCATTTAGAATCGTTGAATTGTTGCTATGTTTTTGCAACAAATTTTATAAACAGCCAGATCAAATTTAGTTGGTAATTTACCACCGACAGTCACAGCCGAGTGAGATACTCACTTCCGTAAAAAAAAAAAAACTTCCAGTGTCTGCTTCCATCCTGCTGAAATTCCCTTAAATCTCCACTGCCTCGCCTATTTTTAAGATTCTGCAATGGAACATAAATGCTTCGAGTAAAACATAAATCCAAGCAGAATCAGGTGTGGCGTAAGAGGAAATGTCTTCCACGGGAAAAGCTTGATCCATGACTCTTTTCATAATCTGCACTACAGCTACTAATGCTTATCAGGATTATCCTGCATTAAACGTTTGAGTGAGAACAGGAAGGGAATCATGTCAAAGATCACTGGAAAGATCAGGACTGTTGGAGCTCAGACAGTGGATTAAGCATCTAAATATGTTCATTTTTGTAATTTAATCTGATGGCCGAGATGTGTTTAATCTGTATATATTTGTGCCGTATGTTCTGTTTTTTCAGTTTGACTTGAGTTTGTACATTCCACCTGTTATAATAAATGTGCTACCATCACTTGGCCGTATCGCATCTTAGGTTTTAAGGGAAATAAAGATGCATGCAGGATAGTGGCAGCTGCCTTTATACTACTGTAGTTATGCATGAGCAGCACATTTACAAGGTGAATTGTGCTATTTTATGCAGCGTTTTCTATAATAACAGGTGATCGGAATCCTGCCAGCTGGTTTTGTAACTCTGTACTTAATTTGGAAAAATAAATGAATCTATTGCATCACTCTGGAGGCATTTTGAGTTTCCTGTTTGGGTCTTTCTTCTTTTGCCAAGATGCAAATTAGAGAACAGTGTTTCTGCCTCGATGAAGATTTCTTATGATGCTCTTAATATTTCTGACAGGCTCCCAGCAGGAACAGCAACATCCCGAGTCTTTTTTTCTCATAAAGCTGACTTCTTAGAAGCAATTTTCTCAAAGATTCATAAATATATGTATTTTATTTTATGGGTAGAGCCAGTGAGAGCTGGATATAAAATCTGATGTTTGAGATATCTCCACAGTCTCCGTGGACGCATACGTCCAGGGACATTAGCCCCCCCTTCCACCAGAACAAGAGGCCTCTCCACAGGGTCAGTTGCTTGCCCTAAAGGGGCCCACTCAGCCGTGACTTAATGCCCCGGGGGCCCTTTGTCCTTTCCGCTCGCTCTATTGCCTCCCCACCCTTCCTGATGGAGAACACGTCAACCTGCTGCACGTGCATGCAGACAACGTTCACATAAACACACAGGCGCCACTTAATCAGGCTGTCAGGAGGTTTTTTGTTTTTGGGATACAAAGAATCAAAACGTGCTGGTGAAGGTTCAGTCATCCAGATCAGGGTGATCCAAAGGGGTTCGATTGATGACAGCTGGACTTCTTTGGTTTCTTGAAGACGTTTCGCCTCTCATCCGATGACTTTTGTCAGTTCTCACTGGAATAAGGGAGAGTCTAGCTTACGTGTTCGTGAAACCAAAGGAGTCCAGTTGTCTTCATTCGAACTCCTTTGGAAAGAATCAAAATCCAGCCAGCATTGCATAGATGGAGCCTATATGGGGATATATATGGGCAAACCATATGGGTACCAACGGGGTTATTCCACAGTTTTTATGGTGGCCCCACATGGATTTGCCCACATAGATTTTAACAAGCCCTTGTATGAGTCATACTATCTGGGTCCTTCTGAAACCCATGTAGGGCCCATTAAAGTCTGAGACCATCATGGATACATATGGGCAAACCCATGTGGGGCCCACACATGCATGCTGGCTGGGAATAAGTCAAAATCTGAACCCATCATTGTACAACTTTTAGATTCAAATGAGGATTTTATTGTATCAACACTTATTTACTTTTATCAGATTGAAGGCTAATCAGTGTGTGATGAATAGACTAAGTCATGTTTGGGTCTATTTTTGCGTCTACCTTTTACATGAAACAAAGCCTCAGGCATCCCTTCCCTTTCTTCCCTTTTCAAGCACACACACTTGTAAGCATGTGCGCAAACTCCCAAACACACACTTTTGTCTTTGTGTATGCTAGACAGCAGATGGGAGCCTATTATAGGGCTGACGGCACAGTCATCTGGCAGGCAACCCCTTACCCCCACCACCACCTCCCCCCCCCCCCCCCCAACAAGACACCCAACACAACGCAGCAGGGTTCGGAGCTTTGAGGCGGGAGACTCCTCAGCCCAGAGAAATGTGTGTGGTTAAAACCTGGCCCAGGCCTTTCGGCCCACTTTTATAGGTCACCGTTGCGTGTGCCAGCCCTCGTCAGACTGTTCAGGCTAACATTTTGTCATGTTTTTGCTGTTGTCGACCTTAATACATTTGAAAACCTCTCTATTCTACTCCCTAACTGACCTGAACACTGTAAAATAATAGATTTTCTGGTTTTAATCTGGAGAAAATGCACCTATCCTACATTTTAATAAGAAACTCATTGAGTTGGGTCGACATGCTTTCCTTAGGGTTGACTCAGAATCTGTTTTTATTAGCCGATATCGCTGCAGAGGTTTTAATTTCCAAAAGTAGAGAAAGCACAGGTAGGGCTGCATTCTATTTCAGCAGCTGCACCTGCTGGGCGTTCTAACAATGCTTATAAACAATAGGTCCTCAGAATGGAATGCAGCCCTTGTTGGTACACCTTTCAGCTTAACTGGGTCGGCTGAGCTCAATTTAAGTTACTTTTTAAAAGAAAATATAAAATGATTTGATGACATTTGAGTAGTTTTGGTTCATATCTCCTTTTGATAATTCTGATTGTTTCACAAAAACATCTATTTTTTTAAATACTGAGAGTATACTTTAAACAACTAAAATTCCTTAAGCTCTCTCCTTGTAAAAATTAACATCAAATGACTTATTTAAATTAGGTAAAAAATAATTTACAATACAATCGTCTTTTCATTCAACAACTTGATTTTTTAAGAGTGATTTTCTGCAAATCTCATAGAAAATATTGTTTTCTAATAAATGCAGCTTTTATTTGCTGCTTTATTCTGATAAAACATGCAAAAATGTTTTCTGCTTGGTGCAAAATAAAAATTAGGTTTAGCTGTGACGGCAAAAAAAAATAATCCTTTTCTCTTTCCTGTGTGCGTTGCACCTCCCAGACACTGGCCCCAAAGTGACTGGCTCCTCTACAACAAAGGAATAAACTAAAGTGAATGTCAACCAGCGGGGGGAAGGATGATTTTCCTGTGGATGTCGAGGTTAAGGTTAGTTCTGAATCTGCTCTGGCAACCTACAACTCGCCCTGCAGAGACGTGCGTGCGCAGCGGCACCACAGAAGAAGACATGAGACAGATCTGAGAGCTGCTTTTGTGTTGCTGGGGCAAGCGGCACGATTCCTGCTCCTTTCAGTGAGCCTCATTCCCACTGGCCTTTGCTTTAGAGGGCTTTATTTCCTCTCAGGCGAGGGAGGCTCAAAGTGTGTCACAAATAAATGAACAAGAGCTCATGCTTACAGTAATACAGTGAAAAAAATTCCCACTAAGACAAAATATTGTTAGTCAGGACACATTTGATCTTTATTGTGTGACATAAATATTATTACTAATAAAGAACAAGCATCAATACTATTGAAAAGTACATCAGATTAGTACATGAAATTTAGTTACTATACATTGGCAGCTCTAGGGGCAGGGCCATGGGGGCACTGGCCCCTTCTGAAATCTGAGAGATTATTGGTGGGTACAATTCCAAATCCAAACACTAGTGGCGCTAATGAGCCAAATAAGAATTTCCAGCGTGAAAGCTTGTGTAAGGATGTTGGACTAATACTTGGCCCCTCCGTTAACATTGGGGCCCCTTGATGAGCCCATCCCCAGAAAAATCCTAGATCCGCCCCTGCAACAGTACAGTTAGCTTTTTAATGCTAGGTTGTTACAAATATAATTACTATGGTTTGAATCTCATCAGATCATGGAAGTGTGTCTCCAAGTAACATCTCACATCATATTGGAGACACAGAGTTTACTTTGACAGGAAAAGACCATTTTGGATTCTTCAAATAGCTCCAATCTCAATAATTTCATATCAGTTCATGCAAACGTTGCTTTATAAACCTTTACAGTGCTTTTAGTTTTATATTACACTTGTGTTTACAAGGACTAGCCACCATCTACCATTCAACTCTTCTCCAAACTTCAGTTACAATAAATAATACATTTTCTTAAAATTATTTAAAAGATCTAAACTTTTACATTCTTCTTGTTCCTTTCCTGAAATGTAGCAGAGCAAAGTGGCACATATGGGTGGTTAAGACATATTTTTTATGTTCCCTACTAACAAAACTGCTGATCCACGCAGGAAAGGAGCTGCTCAGTCGCTTATGAAAGCCCCATTTGTTGTTCCCTGGCATTCGCTCTTTTTTCGGCACTTGGACAAGATCCTGTGTAGCAAACTCGGAGATCTGTGTATCTGATGGTGGGAGGTCACGGGCTGGGGCAAAGAGTTCTGGGGCCGCTGAACCAGGAAGGGGGCCTGGCCCACGTCCAGCCCCGCTCCTCCCTCTCTTCTGCTCCCCCTCCTGAGGGTCTGCAGAATGTGTCCACTGGGGGACGAAAAAGGAAGCAAACACAAAAAGCCTGCTTATTCCTTATGACCTAAATTTCACTGCTAGCAGGCACAGAGATGCTCAGAGCTGTTCGGTGTGTAAAACCTGTGATTTTCTATGATATTTGTGTGCACATGTTGGATATTTGCATTCTATGGAATTTATTTCCTTCAATAAAACAAACTTAATGTTTAAAAAGATAAATTTTAACAATAATTTCATTGATTTTTAGTTTAAAAAATGCAAGAGATTTCATTTGAGTGTGTGTAGGGGGATGGGTTGGATAATGAGCGTGCTTTGTGTTATCTAACAAGAGGCGAGAGGGACCACCTGTTAGGGACTCTGATCAGATCTGGACATGGGGGATGTGGGGAACATCTGCTGGATGCTGAGCGCAGAAAGACGCTGTAGTTATTGATCGAGTTGCAGTTTACTTTCCATACCTATTGCGTTCGCCGTCCTTCGCCGTGATCCTCTGAGACAAACTCCTCCCTGGACCTTTAGGAGGCAGACGGGCCTGAGGAGGAACATGTCTGTTAGTTAAAAATGTCCCACTTGTTCGCTAAAATAGTCTAACCTGCTTGCTTTTTGCTCTGTGTTTCTTTCTGTAGAAACATCAACAATTTATAGATTTGAGATCATTGCTGCACTTCAAATTATTCGTTAATAGTGAAAAATTGCTTAAAGGGCAAAATATCCAACAGTCAGGAAGGTTAATGTATACCAATGGTGTGTTTATCACTGCAAATAATAGCTATTCTTTATTCTCATTAGGTCAAACCAACAAATTTAATGTACAAATTAAATACGCCAATCAGAAGATGTTTTGTTAAAATGAGAGATTTTATGTAAATAAAGTCAACTGTTTAAACATGGTGGTGACACGATCATGGTTTGAGCCTGTTTTGCCCAGCATGGACTAAACAAGTGAGTCATCTAACAAGAATAAGACCAACAATTCCACCGATGAACCAGTAAAGCAAAGTCAAAATCTGTGTTTTAAATTGTGTAAACCAAAGGTTCCAATCTTGATCTGTAAAACAGTTTGAAAGGAGACACATTATGAAGTTTATTTGCACTAAATCCCCCTTCCAGAATGAGCCATTTCAGGGCTCTGTCACTTTAAAGAAACAAGCTGGAGCCCCACCCACCCTGCAGTCAGGCTGCTACAAGCTGAGAAGCTCCGATATCCAACAGGAGCTTGGAGCAGAACCGCTGCTCCTCCAGCAACAGCTCTTTCTTGTACTTTAAAGTTGGTTCTATCCTCATTTCCCTGCTGTGACATCACAAAAGGATATTCTTAGAAACGGTTTGTCATAGGCATATAATTCCTAAAACCAAACACGTTTTTTTTTTTCACATTTGGAGTATTTACAGAGGCAGTAATGACTCACATGGCAGAAAAAATTTTGCAAACTTGAATTTTACATAATATGTCCCCTTTAAGGCATCTTATTTGAGGAACTGGTAATCTAAAACCCACCAACATTCAAGATTTTAGGCTGTTCTGTCCTGAAAATTGACTAACTGATCATTCAGTTAGTCAAACACTCAGATTAGTACCTACACTGGATAGATAGCTGCTTCTCTTATTCTTGCCACTTTTTACATTAATAATTTCATCATGAGTGTTTTATTAGTTCTTATATTTGCTTATCTCTTAATTAATTTTTTTCTATCTTACCTTCTGCACCAAAATACCGCAGCAATTTCCTAATGTTGTGACTTGGCACACATATGGCAATAAAAACTTCTGATTCTGATTCAATCGAGATTGTGAGTGTGGAGAATCAGTTGTCGCAGCAGTCGGTCTTCTTCTGCAGCATTACTAAACACATTCAGGCTGCCAACCAACCTGGCTCAGCTCCATCACACAGGAGGAAGGGAAGTAGCCCCACTGTCCGTCCTGCAGCCGCCCGAACCACCTCTCCTCCTCGTGTTTGGACAGAACCAGGATGATGTCACCCGGAGACAGAGCCAGCTCGTCGGGCCAGTGGGGTCTGTAGCTGTGCACCACCACCATCTATTTGACAGCAAGAGATAACTACATCCTCTTGGAAAACTTTAATGTTTCTCTGATTTTAAATGAGTTAGTGACCACTATGAGTCAAATCACAGAGATCAACAGCCGCTGACATTCTCCCGAGTCTGGTTAGAGCTCCTCAAAACAGTCAGATGAGACTCTAACATAATGGTTTATCTATAAAAGCATTTGTAAATGTGTTTAAATTAAGAAAATTCAAATATTTCTGGATGTTTTTGGGCAACAGGGTAAAAAATCAAACTTGCCTTTTCAGCTTCAGCTCTGTACCGAAACCTCCCTGTTGACCATTGAGAGGAAGAATGAATCAGCATTCCATATGTTGCATGTTGTAACGGCTGCTAAGCATGACAGCAGATTTACGCAAGCATTTCCTACAGCTGTGATCTAAATCATGTCAATAATGTCCTGCTAAAGCCACACACCGCTGCAGACACAAATTCACTCACCTTGTGGGGCGAGGACTGTGGTAAAGACCTGGAAATGCTCATTGCTGTGTGTGTAGATGCGCTGCATGATGTGACTCCTGCGTGCCTCTGTGCTCTCTTCTTTAAATAAATGCACCTGACTAATCCACTGCAGAGCTGACTGGGGGGAGCTGGACACAAGCAGCAGCACGTCCCTCTGCAGAGCAGACGCACTTTTATTTATTTAAAGCTCGTGCACGATTCTTTTTAACATTTTAGCTCAGAAAATGGGAATAAACTAATCTCTGTACGTTGTTCTTTGACCACCTGGAGGCCTCTGACATGATGATTCATAATTCCACATCATCAAAAGAGTTTGATTGATTTAGAAGTATTGACTGTGCCCTACTTTCCAGAGGCACGCGTCAGCAGGGACAAAGATGAACCCGCTTGGGACGAGGAGGTGGTGGAGAGCTCAACAGATGGTGATTGAACATCCCCCCCATTCCCCTGCTGCGATGAAGCTCAGCTGTGAGCTTGTGTCAGCAATTAAAAAGCATCCATCAATCATACAGAAGAAGCTGCTCAGCCGGAAAATCAGATCCAGAGCTAAGTTTTAAGATTTTCTTTAAAAAAGCTCCACATTTTTATTGTTGGTTCCATTTTGATTACCAGTGATCGAAGAAGTACTTCACTGATTTATTTACTAAAGTAAAAGTACAGACATATAGGTTAAAAAAATAGGTAAAAGTGGAAGTATGAAAGAAACTTTTGAATTAAGTAAAAGTATTCAAGTATGCATTATCAAATGTACTTCAAAGTAAAAGTAGTCAACTATCATTTCAACATGAGCTATCTGTGTAGAAGCGTGCTGTCGGATAGGGGGAGGGGGCAAAGTGCGATTTAAAGTAACACTAAATAGGTTTTAAAACTTTGAAGGTGTAGATGAGGATCTTTTTCTTAAGGGTGGATCATCTGAACCATCGGTCTGCATAAGTGTCAATCATTCTGGTGAACCATTCACGCGAGGCCGTTGTCATATGTGCTCGATGCTGGGTAAATTTCACTTCCTGTGCATGCGCAAAACACCCTGTCACTGGTTTTCTGCTCGACAGGAAAGCTAACGTTTGGCAGGCTATTTGGAAAAATTCATTTCACATTACTGCTAGAAGAAGTTGGCTGCAAGGCCGGCAGATACTTGTAAACAGAGTGTGCACAAAGATAACTAAGCACATTTTTTTACCCAAAATATAGAGAGGGCGGTCCGTTCCCGAAATTCAGAAACATTCTCCACCTTATATTTAAGCTAGAGCTTTAAAGTTGATTTCAGTGATTATTGAGTAAAAAAAGTTTGACCAGTTTCATGTTTGACACCACTCTACAGCCCTCTACTGACCAGATACTGCACTTAACAGGTTTTTTGGAGCGGGTAGGTGCTTTGTAGGGGGAGCGCTTTACCTGCTTTACGGCTGTTAGCTGTTATGCTAGCAAATAGCTTTTTCAGTTTGCTAATTGTCAATAAAAAGCAAAAGAAGAAAAAAAGAAGTTTGCTTTTCTGTTGGCATCATGGCGGGGCATGAAAGTAAAAGTAAGAGAATAATGTCTTTGGAGGTAAATAAAGATCCAAAACCAGAGTAAACATCAATGCGGCCAACACTAGTTTGAGGGAGCTAACGAAGGCTACTAAATCACGGATTGATGATGACCTGACTTTGTTGCTGCTGGACATAGTAATATTCATTTGTCCAACAATGTGTTTTTTTTACTTTGTGGTTTATTTTAGTATTAGTTGATTCATGTCAGTGTTAACTCGTTAACGCTAGCTACAGCAGGCTGCTGCAGGGTTGTTTACGACAGTTGAAATTCCACTTTCAACCAGTAGGGCGGAGGAGCAGGAAACAGTGCAGTTACTTTAAAGTACTATTACCTTTGGAACTGCAGTTTGGCACAGTTTGGGTGGTGGTCGGAACAAACGTAAATTAAAGTACTTTTATAAAATGTAGTGGAGTAGAAAGTACAGATAATTGCTTTAACGTGCAATGGAGTAAAAGTAAAGAGTAGGCCTCATGAAAATGGCTTACGGTGAGGAACATAAGTATTTGAACACCTGGCAATTAGAATTCGGGCTCTCAAACCTGTTACTGTACCTTCAAAAAGTCCATCTCTACTGCACTTATTAATCTAAATTAGTAGCACCTGTCTGAGCTTGTTAAAGACACCTGTCCACCCCACACCCTGTCACACTCCAACAACTACCATGGGCAAGAGAGCTGTCAAAAGACACCAAAGACAAAATTATGGACTTTCAAAAAGCTGGAAAGGGCTACTGGGCAATTGCCAAGCAACTTGGTGTGAATAGGTCAACTGTTGGGAGCAACTGGTAGAAAATGGAAGAGGCTAATGACGACTGTCAGTCTCCCTCGAACGGGGGCTCCATGCAAGATCTCACCTTTTGGGGTATCACTGATGTTGAGAAAGGTCAGTAATCTGCCCAGAACTGCACGGAAGAAGCTGGTCAATGACATTAAGGGAGCTGGGACCACAGTTTCAAAGGTCATTGTTGGTAGAACGCTATGCTACCATGGTTTATAACCATGCATTGCACGGAAGGTTCTCCTGCTCAAGTCGTCAAATGTCCAGGCCCATCTGAAGTTTGCTAACGACCATCTTGGATGATCCAGTGGAGGCATGGGAGAAAGCCACGTGGTCAGACGAGACCAAAATAGAACTTCTTGGTATAAACTCCACTTGTTGGAGGAAAAGAGAAGAGTTGCATCCCACGAACACGATCCCTACTGTGAAGTTTGGGGGTGGAAACATCATCGCTTGTATTCAGAAGAGGACGAATGGGGCCATGTATTGTGAGATTTGGTGCAACAAACTCCTTCCCTAAGTCAAAGCATTGAAAATGGGTTGTGGCTGGGTCACTGACCCAAAGCACACAGCCAGGATAACCAAGGAGTGGCTCTGTAAGAGGCATATCAAGGGTGTGGAGTGGCCTAGCCAGTCTCCATCCAGACCTATATCCAATAGAAAATCTTTGGAGGGAGCTGAAGCTTTGTGTTGCTCAGCGACAGCCATGAAACCTCACGTATCTAGAGATCTGTGTGGAGGAGTGGGCCAAAACCCCTGTTGCAGTAAGTGTTCACCGAGGTGTTCAAATGCTTGTTTCTCACTAAGTAAAATACAGATACAGAAAAATTATACTCAAGTACAGGAACAAAGTACCTATACTTATATTCCATCCCTGTTGAGTACTTGGAAATAAAGCTCAGGATAAACTGATCTGAAAAAAGAAACCTTAAAATGGATTAAGACCTCATTATCGGTCGCTGCTGAAGTTACATCACCTGTTTAAAGCGTCCTTTATCGGTTTAAGTTGTGTGCAAACATACTGAAGGTACAAATCCCAGCTTTGAGCTTCCATTAGTGCTACCTGCAGTCTGGACACAAAGACTTTCCGTAACTAAAAATAACGTCACAGCTTCTTAGAAAAACCTCTCTGATGCTCACTTCTAGGAAAGAGAAAATTAGAGCCGATCTAGGACAGATAAACATAAAAGCATCCTTAAAAATACACCTGAAGGCCTGCTCTGTTGTAAACCTGTGATCAGTATTATGTAGAAATAATATTTTACATGTTTGAACCAAAATGCTGATCAGCTCTATCGATCTGGTTTAATAATCATCTTAATTTTCAGTTATTTTCAACATTTACAGTAATAATCAATAACAGCAAATATTCCTACGTTGCTTTGAATGAAAAAAATGACATCACTTAAATTTATTCAGTCTGAAAGTTATATTTATCTGAAATTTTTTTCCCATTTGCTATTTTATCTGATGTTTATCGGTAAACAGATTTAGTTCTTCGTGACCCTAAAGCATTGAATTATATGCATTTTCAGTGCACTTTTAGATTACAGGTGATCCCTCGTTTATCGCGGTAAATGCATTCCAGACCTGGCCGCGATAGGTGAAAATCCGCGAAGTAGGGACACCATATTTACAGTACAGTACTATATTGAATTATCGTATGATCACATTCTTTTTGTGGGTAAAACTCAAGAAAAATCTTTTTTTACTTGTTTTTTTTAGTTTTATTACAAAAAGTGCATTTTATGATGAAAAAACAGGAATTTCTTGATATTTCGCATAGAAAAATGCCGCAAATCGGTGAAAAATACCGCGAATCGGCGAATTTCCCTTGAATAAGGCTCCGAAGAAAAAATCTGCGAAGTCGTGAATCCGCTATAAACGAACCGCGAAGTAGCGAGGGATCACTGTACTTGTTTTTCTATATAAATGTAACTTCAAAATCTAAAATGAAACATGGACAAAATAAGGTGAAATACTATTTATTTGTAAATGTATCCATTTCATGAATTAAGGTTGAGACAAATAAACACGCAACATGACAGTCACAATTTTAGGATGAATTTGAGCCTTTTCTTCCAGGTTTATTTGAATATAAACCTAAAAAATTAAATAAACACTGATTATAAAGCCATTAAAGTTTCAAATGAGGCTTTTTGAAACTATTGGTTTTCTTAAACACTTTTTCCACCTAAAAAGGTCTAAACTTTATAATTATGACAGCAAATTATTTAATCTAATGTTAATTCTCCCAAAATGCTTTGTTGCTGAACTAATACAACTCATACATTTGTAAAATTAACCATAAACAACAGATTTGTATAAATGACACCAGATTTCTTCTTGAAAGTCAAAATATTGATGTTTTAAATCTCTTATTTCAAAAACACCAACGAAAAATAAACATCAGTTACTTATCGCTGCTGTATGAAAGTGTATTTTTTAAATATTTTTTATTAAAGTTCTCATTTCTTCCCAGGTTTTCCTCTCCTCTTTCCCCCTCCTCCAGCTTTCCCAGCCTTCCCCCCTCCTCCAGCTTTCCCAGCCTTCCCCTTCCCAGTCATGTTCCCTTTCCTTCCCCTCTTCCCACCCCCCTTCCTGCGCTTGGCTGCAGCCTCCTCTTTGTCCTCCTCCCTCATCTGCTGATTCACAGCCTTGGTGATGTCCAGTCTGGGCTTCTTGCTGCCCATGGTTTTCAGCAGATCCAGCTGCTTCTGCTTCTCGCTGGAGAAGTCACCGATCAGAGGGTCAAACTTCCTCCTCTTGCCTGAGTTCTTTGGAGGTTTCTCTTTGGGCAGGTCGTCCTGGAACCTCCCAACAGATGCTGTGGAGACTTTGGCCACACTCACTGCTTTGGCCAGCTCGTTTCTGGACTGCTGAGCTTTGGGGACCAGTCCCACGCCGGGGGTTTTGACTTTCTGCGCCCTGGCGATGTTTTTCAGCCGGTTGAACTCGTTTTTAGCCACTCGCTCCTTCTTGGCTTTGACCCGTTTAGCGAACTGGTCCTCGTTGGGGTCCGCAGTCTCTGGCACCTCAATCAGCCACTCCTTGGTGTCGTCGTTAGCCCTCTTGTAGCCCCAGCGTCTCTTCCACTCCTTCGCGGTCTCATCCCAAACCAGATTGGTTTTCTTCTTCTTTTGGATGCCTTTCAGCTTGGCGAACTGCTCCCATTTGGTTGGAGGTCTAGGCTTCAGTGGGGGCTTCTCTCTCGGCAGCCGGGTGGTCGGTTCCGGTAGCTTAGCTACTATCACCTCCTCGACCCTCTCCGTGGGGAGTTTCCATATCTCGTTGATGAGAAGTTGTGTGTTGTCACGAGCTAGCGACCGCAAGAAGTCCTCCTTCTTCTGTCCTCTGAAGTCCCGCGTCTCGATGCGGTTTTTGTCACAAGCTAGCAGGTTACCGAGGTCGAAGTCCAGGTCCAGCTCCTTCTGGACGGTGATACTTTTCAGTTTTTCAGCCTCTTCTTGCTCGGCTTTGGCTAACAACTCCTCCACACTGCTCGCAGCCATTTTTCTGAACGCTCAACTCCCCACGTGCGAATCCGGAAAAACAAGGCAATGTACTTCCGGGTCGTGGGCAGCAACCGGAAGTTCTCATTTTGGCCACTAGATGGCACTGCGGTCGCTGTTTTCACCAAGAGTACAAAACAGAACGAAATGAAAAGTGACGGAATAAATGTGATTCATTGTAAGCCACAACAATAACAATAACAAATATATACAGACATATGAACATGCTAATCAGCTGTGCTATCTTGCAAGTTTATGTACACACAGCAGAACATTAATTAATTAATTCATGGTGCTTAAGGACGCCAAATATAAACAAAAACTTAAAAAATGCAGATCTTTTCAATGAGATGTTCAAATTTAAATTTTTCTACTATGCATACTTTATTGTAAGCACGCTTCTATGATTTAAAACTGAGTTCAAACAAGCCTATTGCATCATTATGTTGTGTAACAAATACACACTTGCATATTAATCATTGCAGCTTGTTTACATGCATTTTTAATGCATTTAATTTGTAAGCACCTTTCAGGACTCTCAAGGTCACTTTAACAGAAACGACATGATACAGGTTAAAACACTGTTAAATAAAAAATGCAAATCAAACAGTTAAACAGATACAAGTTAAAAATGAAAACAGTAAAATGCTAAAATACTAAACTAACAATTCAAGTTAAAATTATCAACAGATAAGTCATAAATAATCAATCAATAGATCATTATCATAAAGATATTCATTGCACATTGACACATTAGTTAAAATCTACATAAAATAACAGTAGGAAGAACATAGTCAAGCAAATGTTTGCGGTTACATTAGGCATTTGAGAAAGCCTGCCTGAATAAATGAGTTTTCAGTAGTGATTTAAACTGGATGCCATGTTTACATGCATTTTAGGATGGATCTGCTTAAATTAGAGAAGACAAATGCACACGTTCCACAGCTTCAAAACATTACGTTAAATTATTATGTTAGATGTCAAGAATTAGAATAAACGGCTTACGTAAGTTTAAAATCTTTAGAAAAGGTCTCCAAGTACCATCAGCTTTTGTACACATCCCTCTAAGTTTACTTTTAGGAGTACTGTAAATAAAATCATTATGCATAATTTATGAATGCAGAAATTTAAAATGATGCAACAGATTTCTTATTCTGTGACTTCTGGCTAAAATTCTCACTTTTACGGTATATTTGCTATTGCAATTGCTGACCCCATAGAAAGTTGTCCACATTTGGCAGAATTTTGCATTTTGTTTCGAATTAAAATAAGAAAACAAAAATTTTCACCACAACTTTTTACTTTATGAATGGAACCTTCTAAAGACAACAACAACAAAATTGTGTTTAATAAACCAGAATAGTTAAATAAGTTTAATAAGATTGGATGAAATTGTAAAAATGTGTATGAAAATGACCAGTTTTAATATATTAATATACAGTGTTTAGAAAGTTCCTGCTCTCAGACTCCTGTAGTGTCTCTGGATCATTTAAAAGTTTGCAGCTGTGATAAACTTCCCTACAGGATGGCTGAACATGTTTTCATGTGAGATTAAATCCCTTGAATTATTAATACTACACCCCTTCTCATTGTTGCACTGTGTACCATTTCCCCTCACAGCTCTGGTACTTTAATAGCTCTATTTTTATCCTCATCTTCTCTAATTTGGCTGCGGGAGGTTGGAGGGGAGGGGGGTTCCACAACAATCGGTCGCTCAAAGACGACGGTGCCATTATTTTGGGCCTCAGTAATTACATTCATCGCCACACTTGCCATGTGAATACTAACTCCGTGCCAGGCTCAGAGATAAGGTCACAAGCGATGCTGTGTTTGGAAATGTGAGGAGGAAAAGCGTAATTATTGGCCCAAAGTCCCGGTTGTGATTAAGTGAGGGCTATAAGGTCCTCGTTGACGTGGACATATATCATCCACCGTCTTTGCTCTCTGGCCTCGTCTGCTGGTCCTGCTGACTTTTGATCTGTGGAGAATTCAGCCAAACAGGATTACTTTTCCACGGTTTTTCTCTTTGTGAAAGGATGCACAGGCTGGATAAAGTTTTCTATGAGCTGCAGCCGTGAAGCAGAGACATTTCTGTGTGGATCTCCAGAGCTTTAAAGAGGATAAGACTCAGGAAGAGACCTTTGCACAACATATTTCTGCTTTCAGTGGCGTGCAGCTTTGGTTATATATTTTCTTAACTTAGTTTTAGCCTGAAGAGTTCAATGCTGACTTTTCTTCCCCCAGTGTGTCCCAAAAAGGGGCGTTTTACACATGCAGCGGGTTTGCTTTTGTGTTAGCTGGGCTACAATAAATAAAAATCCAGAATCTTTAGTATAAACTTCCATTTGCAATGGATAAAGAAGCAGAAAGCGCTTACATTGTTTTTATAAAGGTAACAGAACATATATAAAAAAATAACGTTAAGTGATGTATATATTTTAAATCTATATGTTTTAGGTCTATAACTTTTATTTTTATTTGTTACACAGCTTAGAAAATATAGTTTTTTACCTAACATGTTTTGGCTAATGGCTCTAGCCATCATCAGAGTTCACCAGTGTTGGTGGCGTCACTTCCGTTAACCAAAACTTGTAAAACCACAAGTTTTTTACCAAGCTGTGTAAAAAAAGTAGAATGTAATGGATTAGGAAGTTACACACAGAACAAATGTACAAAAGAGAACGTTTCAGGTCTGTTAGCCGGCTAGAGGGGCTCATTCACGAACAAGAGATGTTGCTTCCAGCTATCATTACTGAAGTAGGGAGAGGGGCTTAAAGATGCAATTAATTTCTCTGCCTCTAGGTGGTGCCCTCTGACAATAATTTCTGCGTTAAAGGTAAGGTGAGGGGAGCTGCTGCTCTTCCACATCAGAATGAGGCAGCTGAGGTGGTTTAGGTACCTGATTAGATACCTCCTGGAGTTTGAGTTTATCTTTTTTTTGATGTTTTCTGGGAACATATCGCTGGGAAAAGATCCCTGAAAATATGTAGAACTTGCTCGATGGAATACATCCTTCCCAGGCTTGAAGACACATTGGGATGCGCCAAAAGGAATCAGAGTGTATGGAAGACTTTATCATGACATTTATTTTATTTAAGTTTAATTATACCACATGGCTAAAAGCTGTGAACATTGACTGTTGACAGATGAACCTTTCGCGCCTTCACCCGTAGGTTACTGAAGCCCAGTGGGCGGCTCCCATCACCGTCGTCTTGGCCAAGTCAAGTGTCTTGTCACTCCCGGAAAACACAAAAATGGAGCTGAGAGCAGGGCTGTGAGGGTGGGGGCAGATGAGCGGCACCCAACAAACTCTGAGCTGATGCAGCTACAAGCTAATCAAAGCTAACGGAGCTTGGCCAGCGCTTTTAGCCAGAAAACAATGATTGAGTGACTCTGCTTCCCTTTGTCTTTTAGGCTGCAGGACGAGGCTGAGGCCTTCCCTGAAACAAGCAGCGGGCAAACCTCTAGCGCTGACGGCTCATCTGTCGATCAAAAGGGCACACCCATAATAATTATTAATTTCAAGCTTTAATTACATTTGAAAGGATGTTACAAAAAATATTCCCCCCCCCAGAGTTATCATGATGGTGAACTAGATCTATTAAACCTAAAATGTTTTTTTGCACCAGGCTGTAAACGTGTTTATTTCTTCTGTAAAGTTGGCATTTTTAACACAGGAGTCAATGGGAGCCTGCTCCTTTCTAGAGCCAGCCCCTACAGGATGAAGGAGGAACTGCAACTTTTGTCACTTCCGCGTTGACTTCACTTTTAACAGACGATCGCCCCTCCCTTGGCTTTGAAAGTGGAAAAAAAGAGAAAACAGTCAACCAACTTACCTCACTGGAAAATAAAAGTTTATGCAGAAATTAAAAAAAAGCCTGTTTCTAACATTTTCAGCATTATTCTGCAGTGATTTACTTTAAGCCATTCTAAAGATAAATGTACCCGCTCTGTCCCCATCCAAACACAAATCCGTCATTGTTTACCAGATTATTTTCTCACCTACAAAATTTGCCACATCCTAATATATATTTATTTTTTCCATTATAAAATAAAAACTTTGAGGCCAGGGTGGGATGTGGAAGACAAATGAAACCAGAGACGTTTTCCTCCTAAACACCTAGAGCCATTAAATCCCAGGATACAGCACTGGGCTATTATCACCTGCTTCATTGTGAAAGACATCCTGCCATGTAACAGAATGACTGAGATATAAATAAAGACTTTAAGCAGCTTGCACATTCATAATTTTTATGAATGAACACAAGCGCTGAATGGTTCACCAAACAGGGACAAACCCCTAACAGGATCATTGGTTTGCATTATTCAAAAGCCTGCAGAGCTCCTTCAAGCTCTTAAACTCATGTAAAAAATGTTTAATTAATCCACTTTTTTAAGCATTTTTCACAGTTTATTTTATTGATTTACAAGAAAACAGTTAAAATGTTGTTTATATCAAAATAAAAATGTCATAAACTGTTGCATTCACTGGTAGCTAACACGATTCATCAATTACACAAGAGAGAGAGTGAGGAAAAAAAGACATTCATGCATGCAAAAACTAGCTTGAGGCTTTAAACTTCCTTCCTCTTCCAAAAGTTGACCTGTTAGCATCAAAGAGGAGACGAGAGCGCTGGAGGCCCACACACAGGAGAGCAAAATAATCACATCAGCACCATCCTGGAATAAATGAGACGTGATTAGCTGCTGACAGTTTGCTTGTGTATTTTTAGTCGTAGAGATATTACATAAAATTATGTGACCTACTTGGCTTGGGTACAGGGAAGGTCATTTTACATGTTTTGTCAAGACTGAGAGGAACATCTCTCTGTCCGTCAGGCCCTCTGAGAGCGTTTACAGTTTGTGAAGGTTTTCTGCCACGATGATGGACATGCTAATGGGAATTTTAAAACTACATATGCGATTTAAATACTTTTATATAAGCTACTCCTAAATAAGCAAGTTAAATGTCATTTTCCACAAAATCAGCATCTGAGCAGCTCTTTTCACACTAATTTGTCCATCCAGAACTACAAA